GAACAAATCAGATCAAAACATGCTATTTATACTATTGTTAGTAACTTTTGTAATTATATATTTTTTGTATGATTGTGTTTCTGCCGCAGGACACCTTAGTTTGGGATCAATCTCTCTATTTCTCTATCTATCAGTGTGTCTACTCTGTTCTCTGGGGTCATGCTAAAACGTCTGCTCTCAGCCTCCTCCAGAGCCTCAGTCAGTGGGGACTGTGTGCTCCCAAAGCTCAGAACAACTTTTGGACAATCCATCTTCTCCTTTTGGGTTAAACTGGGACTCTCTCCTCACTGGGCTAAAACTACAGACTATTTTGTGTTCTGTAATGTGAAAGCCCCCTGTGGACTATAGTGATGAAAACTACATTTACAGCAATGCATCTGGTCTGTCCAATGTTATTGTTATGTCAATACTCAACATATCTATCTGTTTATCTATCAATCTATCTCACATTCTCTCTGGTACTCTCTATTCCACTGAAAAAGCTTATCTAAAGATGTGAAAGCTTTTTTTCATACATGAGAAAGAAAGTGATTCCAAACCGCTTCGAGAGCCAGGAACTAGTTAAAATGGATTTTATTACAAAGTTTTAGTATTAGTTTTAGTTTCTTATTGTTTGTCACATACACATTACATGCAGTGAGATTCTTATGTACAGCAGATGTTCAGTACAGTATTTGGAACGCAGAATAAAACAGAAACAGAGTTAGGCCCGGTTTAGTAGTCGGGAAAGAAACTCATCCTCTCAGTCTTGGTTTTGAGGTACACATGTAAGTTCACTGCTGGATAAGGATAATATTTGGCGTTTATGTTTCGGAAATGCATTGGGTTCTTGTTTCTACTTTTGTCAAATGACGTCAAAAAATAGCACAGAATTACACTTTTCTAAAAAAACATCCTCATTCTTCACATATTCTGTCTCTGTCCGATCCCACCGACAACATTCTCCTCCTTCAAAGCCAGCGAGCCCCCAGTAAATCTCACTTCACCACTCGTGTTTGGTGTTCTCAGTAGGTGGGCATCCCTAAATCAATAGCTCAAAAGAATTGTGATGTGTCCCAGGCCTTTAGCAGTGCCACATCCTGCAGGTTGAAACCACACTCCATCTGGGTTTGGTTAGAGCCAAGACATAAGAGCCGTAAAAGTAGTGAGAGGAGAAACCGAAGGGGGCACCGCCACCTCATCCAGCCCCGGAGCAGCCCTCTGCACCCGCCTCTGATGTGGTCGCCGACAACAGCATGCGGCTAAAGCTGGCAGCGTTCAATTCTGACCCCATGTCACCAAAACAACCAATTCAGATTCATCTATAGCTGACGTCTATAGACAGTTTATTAGGAGTGTACAAACCGAGTGCTGATGTCATAGTGTTAACTCCAGCTAAACATAAGCTAGCTGGAGCCAATTTCCTTTTATGGGCATTTTATCTGACAGCGTTAGCTTGTGTTGCTAAGGCCTCTGATTTGTTCAATTCAATTCAATTTTTTTAAGTAAAGCCCTTAATCACACGAGTTTGAAAGTGTGATTTGTTTTTGCAAGGTTTTAAAATCTGTCTATTTCCTTGGAACCTGCCTCGGGACTATGGCTGAATTGTAGCAGTTATGCAAAGTCCGGCGCATTTACAGTGACGCTTAAAGCATCAATGTTGTTGAATGTGCATTGTCCCAACTCAATAATCAAATAAATTAAATGAAACATTAGTTGTCTTGAAAGAATTCTAATTCATGAGCACTTCCCTATTGGGCTTCACTGAGTTAGTAGGTTAGCATTGTCCATATACAGTATATATATCCAGTCTATGCCAACATCTTACTAAGGCTGATGCACAAAGCAGCTGTTAAATATGCAGCCATGTATAGTTTTTGTGTGTAAATTTACATAATGAACTTAACTGTCTAAAGTGACATCACATAGATCCATTATTTTGTTATCAAAATACAATGTTTCGAAAGCTTTTTCAACACCGAGTAATTATTCTGATGTGGTCAAGCCGACAGGAAACACTCTATATTTAGTGGCACTCGATCGCTCCTCTGTCAAACCTCGGGAAGTCTCTTTGATGCTCCGTTCACAAACACGATGAATGGATGTGGAGTGACGTTCATAAGAATACATTTGCACATCTATGCTCTGTCTTTGTCCGACTATAATCCTAATTACTCCACAAGTGTCATCTGTGTCCAGGTCTGCAAACAGGGGAGATTATTATTATCATCATGGACTAAAACACTCAGAGGCTTTTTGTCAGGATAACTGTGTCGGAGCTTTCACACCACATCAACAATAGGTGTTTTCACCATGGGTCAGACAGGAACATAAGGAAAGGGTCCAAACTAAACTTCTGCCAAAATCAGTCTTTTAAAGTCCCAGCACAGTGCACCCAGGGACTCACTATTTAATCACTACAGCAAGTGTATCGTCTGTATGGAGAAATAAAAACAATATTTATTTGTTTCACATGACAGGTGTTTAGTTTACCGCACGGTGCTTTGGAGCATTCTACCTCGTACAGGGGAGGGGGACAGGAGCGAGCCCGCAACTAGTGCTTAGTGACTAGAGGAGAGCAAAGACTTCGTAACACTGCCACATACTACGTTGTTTCTGTACAGTTGCGGAGTACAGAAGAAGTTACAGGTCGCACTGATTTTGCAGAGTTTGCTTGGTTTTACGTTAATATTTGTGATCGCAAAAATCTGGAGGGACTGTAAAGTACCGCTATATTTGGTCAGTGTGTTCCCATTGAACACACCTTGGCAACACAATAATGGATCCATCTGACGGATCCATCTGACAGATCCTGGTCGTGATCTGTTTGCACCAGCAAACATTGCTTCGATGACACCACAGATATTCCACCTCAGGCTGTAACATAAATAACTCTCGTCTTCGTAAGAACCAATTTCTTCCAGCGTCAGGTTGTTATTCCAGTTTACTGCTCATTAACAGGAAGCTGGAAGAGGACTCTTGCTCAACCAGAGCAAATAGACGGTGCACATGACTTATCAGCACCTCATGGCTTCGTTGGTGTTTACACTGCTGGGCTTATTTAGTTCACCTAGTTCAACAAGAAGGGAATGAAGGCCGACAACAGAGCTATCATGGGAGAGGTCCCAGGTTAATGCTGGAGGAACAGGTGATAACACGGCGGCGATTCACAGTCAGCACAGCCGCCAGATCTGCTTTGATTGGTCAAGAATATTTATGTGACATGTTTGAGCGCTAAACATCTATGAGCCAGACTCTATATTCGTGTGAAGTAAAGGCATGAAAGTACAAGGGAATGGGCGGGGACAGGTAAAGCAATCTAAATAAACACAAAATAGTGTTTAAGTGTAAGTTATTAACTAGTTATTAACTAATTCTCAACTCTGGATTCAAATACAGCACATATTGGCATAAATAAAAGAAAAATGTTAAGTGAAAAAGTACACATTATTTCATGATAAATGTAATGGAGATGCGTAATGTAGCCATATATTAAGTATTGATACTAGTTTTTAAAAACTAATATTATTATTTTTATTTTTATTATTTAAATCGATACTTGGCAAAAGCATATCGATAATCGATCGCGTGAGAAAGTATCACGATACATCACAATATCGATTAGAGATGCACCGATCCAGCTCTTTTACTACCGATACAGATACCGATACCAGAGCTATGGGTATCTGCCAATACCGATATTGACCGATACCGGAAATGATCATGCTAAAATGTATTTAATAATTGAACTCTTTGTTCAAGTAACTGCAAAAGCAGTGGATGAACTAAAGCGCTAAACTTTCCAGATAAAAATGGATTCAACATAAATGTGCAAAACTGCAACTATGTTGCAGCTGCTCAATGTTCACATTAAACATTCCAACACTGTATTATACCTTATACATTTATTGAATATAAATGTACTTATATTAACTGTGTTTGAATAAAAAAAATACTTACAACAAACAAAACACGCTGCATGAAAATGTAAATAAATAATAGTACCGTAGCTTTAACTGGATTTCAGATATGTATTTGGCGACGGCATGTACCTGGGTTCCAAATGGTCTATGGGGCTGCGAGCCCAAACAGATGAACTCCAACACTTTGGGGTTGTTGCTGAAAAGCTTTTTCTGACGCTGCGTCAGTGTCATCTGCGTCTCGTTGTTTTCACGTAATCTCCTTTCGATGCAAAAACTCCTCATGCTGTTTCTCGTGGTGCTTAGTCGTGTTGTATTTCGCTAGTTTACCGCCGCGTGAACAACGCTGATTCTTTCCTGCTCCATGCTGTGTTGTTGTTGTTGTAGAGCGCCACGAGGAAGTGACGTGTACTGTACGTGAGATCTGATAAATTACTTTTAATTAATTCATTTTATACGTATATGTACATTATGCACAATGTATTTTAAGACATTGTGCGGTACCTGGTATGTATTAAAAAATATATATAATTTTTTTTTAAAAAGAAAAGAAAATGGATCGGCAGCACGGCGCCTCTCTCTACGCAGATATCCGATCCAGTATTTTTTCTGGTATCGGCGCCGACATCGATACCAGTATTGGATCGGTGCATCCCTAATATCGATTTATTGTCACACTCCTAATCTTAACATTGTGAAGCAGAAAGTACTGCGATTCAAGCAAAATATGACTCAAATGCTTCACTCAAATGTCACATGTATTATGGTCTGCACATTAACCCCAGAGCAAAAACTTTATCCTTGAACTTTCAGGACACAGGAGCTTATTACACAGCTCCCAGCACATCACTTACAATATTCACATACAACAGACTAGAGTCACAAAAACCTCAGATGGAAATTAGCAGGGTAAACTCAGTGAAAACATGAACGTGACACAGATAATTATCTAGTTAATTATCGCAATACTTTACTACTGTATCCATCTAATACTGAACAGAATAGTTTTTTTCCCCAACACTAATAACGATAAAATCAAAATACAATGGATCCAAAAGGATAATCTCAGATACTTTTTAGTTTCATGTTTGTCCCACTCACCATCTCGTCCAGAGCGTAGCGCAGAACACCGTGCTCGTACAGGATGAAGAACCGCCGCTGCCATTTCTGCGCAAAATGGGGAAAAAAACGTTAGCTTACACTGTAGCTTACACTGTAGCTAACACAGTCAAATCAGTGGGGGCGGGTCCCGGCTCAAAAAGGGGAAATTTTCACAAACACTGTCACATACAAGTTACAATACACACAAGACACACAAAAAACGGCATGCCTGTAAGCTCACTCCTAGTCGGTGGGGGTGTACCCGGAAAGAGAATTACCCAATGCTTTTGTATGGCATCTTCTTTCCTCACAAAGACGGCTTTACAGGATGGTCCAAAAGTCACTCTTGGCCCAACGCAATACTGTCAATGCTAAAAGGATGACTTTTTTTTTTTTTTTGGACCTGTCTGGTTTAGCCGCTGTGGTCTTTTGAACGCACTCTTTAAATGAATGGGGCTCGTGCCGGCTAACGCATGCGCAAATGTGTTTTATTTTTTGCACATTTTCCAGCCCCACAACCATTTTTTAAATAATCCCACAGAAGGCAAAAGCGATGGCAAATTAGTTTTAACGGTGGATATAGGCGTGACCTGATCTGTTAATATTCACAGTCTATAAGTAAAACGCATGTGTAGTTTATTAGGGCTGAGGTCACGCTTAGGGAAACTGTGGAATTATTTGCAGAAGAGACATTGATCTGAGAGATGCCATTTCAGACACTATGTTAACACACTCTCAAGGGGACGCACGCCTTTTCAAAACAGTTGCCATGTCTTCTCCTCTGGCACGAGGCTACGAAACTGTATTTCTCAGCTTACAACAGTCAATAAATCCTACATTTCCTCGCATACATATTCCCCGTATCATAACATAGAGGATGGCGTTCGGAGCTCGGTCTGGGCAAGGTCCCATGTAAGACGTATCAGTTCATCGCCCCATTAATGAATATTGATTCTAGCACAGCCGATATGTCCACATCTCCTCGCTAATCTCTCGTCTCATTGGCTGGCTCGGCTCCATGCTAAATACACCTTTTAGCCTCAGTGTTACATTTCCCTTGATGGGAGAGCACTGCATCAAATATTAAAAGGTGCTTTGTAACCTTAAAACCACATTAAAGTGTCCGATAAGTTTGCCGATAAGCTTTGGCAGAGTATGAGAAAAGCAGTTTTACAGTATGTCGCTTTGCTGTCACTGCCGTAATAACATGTTTTGTGTGTTTTGGAGCAGTTGTAATGTATAACCTGTAAAACCAAAGTGTTGTTAAAATATGACTCATTTAAAGTGACACTTGTATTATTTATGCGCTGGTCAGTCAAAGCTGTGCCTCGGCTTGAGATGGGACCGCTAATTACATAACCGCAACCTGATTGGACGAATGGGCTCAAAAGTGATGATGTCAAAGCAGCTGCGGACTGTTGACAGGAGGCTGAAGTAGGATCCAGGGTTAAACACACACACATATATACAAACATACACATACACATATACATATACACACTAGGGCTGAAACAACTAATCGATTAATCGACGACTAATCGATTATTGAAATAGTCGACAACTATTTTAGTAATCGATTAATCGTTTTCTGGTTCACACGGACTCAATCAGAGCAAAAATGACATGAAAATGTAGTATTTTTGATTAAAACCGACTTTGTTTTTATAATTTCATGAATATCTGTCTGTCTCATCCAATCAGAGCAGAATTAGCACAAAGAGCCTGTTACAAACATTTACTTTAAGTTTACGCCATCAATACGTCCTCGAGTGTTGCCACTTTAGCTTTTTGTGATGAAAAAATATTTTTTTTCTACACAATTCACAGCCAAGCGATTACTCGATTAATCGTAAAAATAATCGATAGTTGCAGCTCTAATACACACACACATACACACATACATATACATATACACACACACATACACATTTACATATACATATACACACACATACACATATACATATACATATACACACACACACATACACATATATATACACATATACACACACACATACACATATACATACACATACATAAGGACGGAAGCACACTGACCCGCACACAAATGCAAAGACAAATACACATACGGACTCACGCACAAACACACACACATAGTTACACATTCCCTCACACACACAGACACAAACACACACGTCCATATGGAAACCATCAGGGCGGCTGTGTGAACTGGGACGTTCCTCCCCCATCCCCCACGGCCTCCCCTCTCCTCCCCCACTCCCCTCACCTTGACTCCTCCTCGCCTCCCTCTCCCCCCGACTCTCCCTTGCCTCCCCCTCTCCCCTCACCTCGACTCCCTCTCCACCCCACGCCTCCCTCGATTCTCCCTTGCCTCACCTCGCCTCCCTCTCCCCTTGCCTCCCCCTCCCCTCCACTTGCCTCCCCCCTCGCCTCCCCCTCTTCCCTTGCCTCCCTCTCTCCTCTCCCCTCCCCTTCCCCTCGCCTCGCCTCCCCCCTCCCTGGGACGCAGCGGCACATTAGAGTCAGGAAGCAGATAAGTGGGACGTGAGTGTCCTGTTTTGTGGCGTTGGGGGAAAGGAAACCGTGAAGTGGAAAAAGAGGATGATCAGGTCAGAGAGACGCTCCTGCTGCAGACACAGAGCCACTGAAATCACACTCATGAGCAATAACACAAAGTTTGTTCCCGCGGTGACACGGACGATAAGTTTGTCTTGAGGAGGGAGGATCCTGTGAAGCGCCTTCTTTCTGTAAATACCAAAATAGAACGCTGCTGTCTCGAGCGCATCAAAGCAAAAAGGGAATCGGCTCAGCAGAGGCCACCACACTTTTCTAAGATAATAAGTTTATTTAAAGCTGGGTTACCTAATTTTCAAATAAACACAAAAATGGAACAATGTAATAACTTCTGTATGTCCCAGGCCCTCATGCTGCGTCATGCACAATAGTTTTACTTGCTTTTTTATTGTGATAAAGTTAGAGATTTAATGTTATTTTAGTGTTGAGTTATTAGGGTCATCTTGCGCTGTTTGCTCCTCATTCCTACTGTTCTGTAAGTGGCGACGCAACACTGAAATTTCCCCACTGTGGGACACATACAGGATCTCTCATATCAGTTTGCTTCTGTCTTTCTCCATCTTGTTTGCAGTGTCGTCTTTGGAGCTTATTTGGGACAGAAAATGAGAGGACCACTCCTGCCCAGCCAATCAGCTCAGCCCAAAGTACTACAATCACTTAAGTTTTACAATTCTTATTTTTCTTGCTTATTTCTAGCTGTAAATGTTACTGCAGTAAAGTGTTAATAGTTTTGCTGATCTAGACCAGAGCAGAGAGGATGCATGGTCCCAACCAAGCAGATCAAACAGAGATCCACTTCAGGAATGCTCTTTTTATAGTTAAAAAACACTAATATATGATTCAGAATTTCACTCTGAACCAGAGCGGAGAGAAAATGATCCGAACCAAGCATCTGACATCAGCCAGAGGATAGGAAGTATCTCATCACCAGCAGCTCCACCACCTCTGCTGCTGTCACTTAAAGCTGCACTAACTCAATTTGTGAAATTTTCGAATGTGAGCGCTGGCCTCGCTCTTTCTGCTCGCCCTCCCCGCACGGAGCTTTCTGCCCCCACTACCCCCTCCCCCTCAGCCTGTGCTCAAATGCTAATTGTTTACGGAGCTCACATCTCACAATATGGATCGCACATTTGAACGTGGATGGTGTCACGATAGAATGATTGAACTGGGAAGCGTGGAGGAACGAGACTTTTCTTTGGCTGTTTCGTTGAGTAAGCAGTAACCGGAAACGAAGACACGGGAAGTTTCAGGTTAGCCTCCGCCGCTTGTTTACCTCAGCTGTCGGTGCTAACAAGAGACCTGTAGCTTTTCTCAAGAAAGTGGGGGCCAGTGGTCCGCAGTGATTGGTCACAATCTGGTCCCGAAAGAAATTCTCTTCCTTGTTGCACAAAAACTCGATCTAAAATGAAATGACACGCCAGCACAAACCTGCGCAACTTATTCTTCAAAAGGGCGTATGTCCGAATGCACTGCATGGACATGGATTGAATTTTCGTAATGAATACAAAAATAAAGTGAGGTAATGCAGCTTTACTGTTGCACTTTATTACTATTGTTAGTAACTTTTAGAATTATGTATTTGTTGGTTTTTATGGATGTGGTCTCCTACAGGGATGTAGGCTGCTCGTCTATGTAGACGGCTCAGTGTGGTCTTGTTGTTTGTCCCATTAGAAAGAGTTTCGTAAAAGTAAATGCTGAGAACAAATCAGACTAAAATACTGGCTCCTTCTTATTATAATCATGTTAAGTTTAGCACCGGTAAGAAGGAGTCATTCTTTGTTCTGAGAGTGAGGATCCTCTTTTCCACTTTTCTGTCTGAAAAGGCTGATGCACAGATGTGACAGAGGCCAAACAAACATGTGAAAAATAGTGCGAGGACATCATTAAATCATTTTAGGTCTTGAAAATTGTTTAGCGTTAAAGGGCCATTATTCAACAAAATATTATTAGGAAGAGAAAAAAGAACTCAACTCCCACCTGGTCAGCACGCTCAGGGTCATTCCTCTCTCTCTCTCTCTCTCTCTCTCTCTATCACAACCTTTGCACTGTAATCTTTATCTTTGTGGAAAACCTGCATAACCCTAATATTATCCCACTAATCCAGGGGTGTCCAAACATTTTAGTTCTTTACTAGACTTTACTGCACTGCTAAATTTCTATTGTGTGTACTGAATGCCCTTTTTATTTAATCTTTATTTAACCAAGAGAACCTCATGGAGATGGACACTTGTTTATAGTAGTAGTTTTAAGACATTTAAGAAGATTTTTTTATGCATTACCTTTGACTCTTACAACTTTGACATAATCCCTTGTGACCCCGCCGCCTGGGACTGCAGATGAAAATAGCCTTGGCTAAAATCTGACGTGTCGAAAAACATGTTCAACCGTATATGCTAATTGACATCTGTCCCAGTCAAATAAAAAAATAAAAATAAAATACTTGAGCCAAAGCAAATTAATAGTTTGTGACTTCCTCTAACTTACTATGGCAATTTTGAATAATTCTGATTCTAACGTATCCAGAGGCCAACAACCCGGATCTTGGGACTGGATTCAGGCGGTTCTGGGGTTTGATATGGAATATGACCTTGTCCATATCGATTCAAATCACAGCTACATTCGTGTACAATAAGAAATACTTTCAATTTTGCAGCACACACAGGACAGTAGTAAGAGCACACAAAGTATACAATATGAGTAGCTGCTATGTATCTTAGCTAGCTGTAAATGCTTCAATATCATTATAAGAGATATAAGACATAATAGAGATTTGCGACACAATCAAAAACAAATATCAGAACATAAAACTAAAGTCAACAACTGGATCCCAGAGGTTCTGAACTTTACAACAAAGCATAGCATGTCCATACTGGTGGAGCTGAAGTTTGCTGGATGCAGGCCCGTCGGAAGGGCTGTGCGACCTGTGCCGTCGCACAGGGCCTCGCACCACACAGGGCCTCGCAATCCTTCCTTTTTTTATTTTTTTTATTAAATAAATATACTAGTTCAAGAGTCCCCAAAGGGTGGACTGCGCTCCAAATTCGGACCCCTAAACCCCTTTCTCTGGACCTCTGATTTATTTTGTTCAAAAGTACATTATTACAAGTGAAGTCAAATTTTCACCAAAAGCGATTTGTAAACAGGCAGGCGCGAGGGCAGCTATGTACGCAGCGGGTCCTCCGAAAAAAAACTTTACGGAGCTGTCAGATAACTTTAGCAGTGTCTGAGTGAAGAAAGTAACGGGAATGAGCGCAGTGTACGGAGAGATGGATACTCGCGTCTTCCGTATGAGGAGGAGGAGAGAGGAGTGTGATCAGAGGAGGAAGAGGAGGAGCTGCAAAACAGGTGTGTGAGCGCTGTTATTGTCAATGTTGAGCCCGAATATCCACATCAAAAACATATTATAAAAGCATTAGCAAACACTGTATGTCCAGCGTTCATGCTACTGTGAGTGCAGTGGATTTTGGGCATAAAACACCTTGTTGTGGTCAGAGTGTGTGGTGGAGGAGATTGAGAAGGAGCGTATGTTGTGAGTGTGGAAGCATGGCAAAAACAATATTTGATGAGGAAAAAAATAACAAATATTGACTCCGCCTCATAGACATTTTGGCGCATTTTGCCGTAATCTAACAATTAGAAAAAGAAGAAGACTCCTTTTGGTTCAATCTTTTGAGTTGCTGCCATTTTGCCACAGGACGAAAGAGCCATGTCAGCTAAAAAGACCGCGACCAATATCGCAATGCCAAGCGCGGTAACAGTTTGTGTGTGGGTGCGTGCGTGTGTACGTGCGACGCTGCATTGGAGCGAGGACACACGTCTGCGCGCGTGCTGATCTCTTCACGCACAGCGCGAGGCGGTGCTGAATTCATGTCAAATATTATAACATGAAAAACTTTCCTGAGATCTGGGAAAAAGGTGTCAGGGCAGGGCCTCGCGTTTCAAGTTCGCACAGGGCCTCGCACCCCCCTTGCGACAGGCCTGGCTGGATGACACAGTGAAAGTACCTGATTGGCTACTTTGTGTTAGCAAGTAAGAGTGGGCCGCGTTTGGCTCGCGGGCCTCAGTTTGGACATGCCTACCCTCATCATTTAGTTTCATAAAATCATATTTTAAAGTTTGCTCACCCGAGATCTGTGCAATGGATTGTCAAAATTAGTTCCCTCTGGGGCGAGCAGCAGCCACCCTCCGTATATCGGCTTCGCCTGGAAAACGAGAAAAGACAATTACAACGTGTTAAGCAAGACATAATTACACCTCTACATCATGCATTAATTACTATTGTCACTACAGATGGAACGTCCTGGTGTTTCAAAGGGAAGCAACTCCCCCCCACACACACAAACACACACACACGCACACACACAAATGCAGTTTTGGACCAAACACTAGACTGTTTAAGCCATGAGCTGTCTGCAGGCTACAATCTCCTCCAGCTGGCCGGGTTCCAGAGCACCACGCTGCCACAGAAAGAGAGGAAAGGCCAAAACACATGATTTTCTCTCTGATCCTCTAAGTGGGTGGACTGGTGGGTGGAGGGGGCACCAGAAGGCAGAAGCCAGCGAGAAAAATAGAAAATGAAGTAAGGACGTTTCTGCAGAGACGCTTTCTCAGAAGACGTGTGTGTTACTTTTAACAATTACAATAAAAAATAAAGTGTTGATAATGTCCATGGACGAGAGAGAGTCATATGCCATCAGCACAGAGCATATCTCTGGCTTCTCTCGCCCTCTCTCTCTGGTCTCTCTCTGGCCTCTCTCTGGTCTTTCTCTGGTCTCTCTCTGGCCTCTCTCTGGCCTCTCTCTGGCCTCTCTCTGGTCCCTCCCTGGTACCTCCCTGGGCTCTTGCTGGTCTCTCTCTGGTCTCTCTCTGGTCCCTCTCTGGTCTCTCTCTGGTCTCTCTCTGGTCCCTTTCTGGTCTCGTTCTGGTCTCTCTCAGGCCTCTCTCTGTTCTCTCTCTGGTCTCTCTCTCTCTGGTCTCTCTCTGGTCTTTCTCCGGCCCTCTCTCTGGTCTCTCTCTGGTCTCTCTCTGGCCCTCTCTCTCTGGTCTCTCTCTGATCTCTTTCTGGTCTCTCTCTGGTCTCTCTCTGGTCTCTCTCTCTGGCACTCTCTCTCTCTGGTCTCTCTCTGGTCTCTCTAGGGTCTCTCTATGGTCTCTCTATGGTCTCTCTCTGGCCCTCTCTCTCTGGTCTCTCTCTGGTCTCTCTCTGGTCTCTCTAGGGTCTCTCTATGGTCTCTCTCTGGCCCTCTCTCTCTGGTCTCTCTCTGGTCTCTCTCTGGTCTTTCTCTGGTCTCTCTCTGTCTGTTCTCTCTCTGTTCTGATGTGTGTGTCTAATACCCCCATGATAGGGCATGGTATATTACTGTATACGGCACAGTATAAAATTGTATTGATTTTCATTGCATCCTGTGTATTGTGTTGAATTGTGAGAGGGGGTTGGGAACAAATAAGTATATCTGCTTCATCCAACCCCTTCTCAAACCTGTGTTAGTGTAAACACATGTGGGATAGTGTTCTGCAGGTTTGAGAAATAAATCAAACTAACTAACTGACTTGGTTAAATTCCTCTGGTGCACACATGGTCCGCTGCCATGGCTCAATGGTAGGAATCTGTGCCTTAGAAGAACGCACACACAAGACTTCACTCGCAACTTGGGCTCCTGCATGTAAACAAATCCTGCATAATTAAGCAGCAGTTTGAATGTATTCTCATTTCTAAAGCATGGACATTTACAGGCGCCACTAAACGCAGCTGTACACATTCAGTACCTCACTCCCATATATAAAAACATGCAGTAACTCTCGCAGGCACCAACTTACAGGGAAGTTATCTCTCCAATCACTCTGCAGAGGAGACGTCAGAGGCAGAATCCATAGAATAAGTAATAATAATAGCTTGGTAAGTAAACAGCATTGGGGATGATCCTCGACTTTCACATTTATGGACATTGGTCTCTGCCCCTTTTGGACCAATATGTTTTTATCATTGCACTGTGCCAAAAACGATAAATTATGAGGTAATCATTGCTTGAATTGAGTGTTTTTTATCTTAATCTGAGGATGTTCTGACTGAAAATTTGCCGATGTTACAAAGTCATTTAGTCTTATTTCAAGAACTGTTGCCGACCTACTTCACCCAGAGGCTACTCCACCTCTGCGGCTGTGACCCATCCTGCTCCACCCAGAGACTACTCCACCTCTGCTGCTGTGACCCGTCCTGCTCCACCCAGAGGCTACTCCACCTCTGCTGCTGTGACCTGTCCTGCTTCACCCAGAGGCTACTCCACCTCTGCTGCTGTGACCTGTCCTGCTTCACCCAGAGGCTACTCCACCTCTGCTGCTGTGACCTGTCCTGCTCCACCCAGAGGCTACTCCATCTCTGCTGCTGTGACCTGTCCTGCTTCACCCAGCGGATACTCCATCTCTGCTGCTGTGACCCGTCCTGCTCCACCCAGAGGCTACTCCACCTCTGCTGCTGTGACCTGTCCTGCTCCACCCAGAGGCTACTCCATCTCTGCTGCTGTGACCCGTCCTGCTCCACCCAGAAGCTACTCCATCTCTGCTGCTGTGACCTGAAGAGCTGTTGCTAATTATTACTATTGTTGCTTTATTTTCTCATTCCTAGAGAGACATTTCTTGTATCTTTTTAAAACAATATCACTTTGCTTTGTCCCATTGGCAAATCTTGTTTTAAGGCAGTCAAAACGTGCTCAAATTTGCTGCAAGTTTTGCCAAATTTGTGCAATTTTGGACGATTTTTGCAATTTTTCATCACTTTTTGCAGTGTATTTCTTGTGTTTGAACTGTTTGATTCTCTGAGCTGTGTTGGTGAATTTGAAGATTGCTGTGATTTAGGGCAATACAAGAACACATTGATTTGAATTGATAAATAACTAATGTATAGGATGGATTAAGGTCACCATACATTTCACAGCTATGCAGTTAAGTCCTATTTGACCTGACAGGAGGGGTGCCCTGACAGGAGGGGTGACCTGCCAGACCACCTCTTGAGACTTCCAATCTGGGTCACTTTTACCCTTCAATGGTTCAACTATTAAACGCAATGGGAGGCTGCTGTCAGGGAAGCAGGCTTGTTCCAACATGCCTGATCCAATGTAGGAAGTCCTGGCATTGATCCCAGTGTGGAATCAATACTTCTCAGCAGATGTTCTAAAGCGCCCAGCTTATAGACGTCATTACTACAACTGTATTATTACTGTGTGACGTGAGCTGTGAGCTGCCTGTTCTGGAGGTTCTTTATGAATCCAGACTTTAAAAACCGAGCTCTTGGAAGTCTTGGGTTGCATTAACCTGGCCTGTAGGGGGCGAATGAGCAGAGATGGGACAACTCAGTTTTGCTCCCATTGAAAACCATGTAAATCATGTCTGTTTGGAGTCAAAAGGTCTTAATCGGGGACACTCAATTCTAAGGGAGTACTAAAAAATATTTCTCAAAAGAGTCTTGATTTTGGGCATTTTAGGAAAAAAAACTGAAGAAATTGCTGCGTTTCATTCTGGTGGCCTGCAGGGGGCGCTTATCTGGGAAAGCCTTGATCCACCTCGCCCGCCTCATTCAAGTGATTTTTTTGTAATCCTTTATATGAGACCACAGTTGGAACACGGAAGAAACTCTTGTCTTTCTCTCTATTCGCGCGGTTGCTACAACTGTACACCGCACAAAAAGATAGCATTTTGACTGCGCTTCTTCTTCTACTATATCTCCGTGTAAATACCTGGCAGACTGCACCACCAGAGTACGTCCGGTCCGGTCCGGTCCTGTCGTATGTAAGTCATTCGCGCCACTGCCCCGACGTCATATGAAACCCAAGAATAATCAATGACTCTTCTGGCCACCCTGGAAAAGCCATGTTCCAGCTTCTTCCATCGCGATAACATGCTAACATGCGAACAGCTTCTTTCCACAAGCTATTATTATCAGTTTAAACAAAGCCCTTTAAATGATCTTGCCTTTGTAATAAAACTGTTTTACTTTTAACCTTGTTTACTTATGCACTTGTCTTGTGCACACTGGAGACTTGCGGATGTAGTCCAATGTGGTTTTACTGCAAATGGCAAATAAATGAATCTGAATCTATGTGATCACAGGTTGAGAAGAGAATTCCTCAACAACACACAAGGCCTCTGGTGACAGCAGCAGGGCAGATGAATTGTAGACTGCTAACACAAATGGCACAAAGTCAATTGAGTCAACATCAGCAGCTGATAAGAGGCTGGGAGGGAGGGAGGAGGAGAGAGCTCTATATCCATGAAATAAGGTCAAACCCAGCGGCTACAAAGCACGTCCAACTGACCCCAACCTCTGCATTATAGTCTCTTGACACATGGCTGTTATTTATGTGCATGTAAAGCTGAAAGAAACACACATCTACGTGACCAGTGACCAGTGTGTGACAGGGGCTGACTTATATTCACCTGGTTTAGGTCCTCATCCAGGAGCAGATGCGACTCCCGGGGCTTGAAACAATTCTGGCATTTACTTTTGTTGAAAATATTGGCTTGAAATTTTCGACAGGCATTTTCCTTCAAAGACATGGCTGGTTCCAAAAAAATAATAAAAATAAATAACAAATAACAAAAAAAAAAGGAAAATGAGTCCCTTGCGTAAAAAGAATGTGAAAAGTCAATCGGTGTTGTTTCTGCAGCCAAACGGAACAAATCCAACTAAAACAAAGCAAAATGAGTAGATAAAAACCAACGCGCACATCCCGGCGGGGGGTCTGTCACCGGAGGCTGCGTCCACCTCGCTATTATTACTAAGTTATATCGAGAATATTCATCTCGCTCAGGGGTCTCGTCGCTTCCACTTTCTCAACTTGTGTGGGACAGCTCAGTACAGAGGAGAGACCGCTCGCAATAGACGCTGCACTCGCTTAAACGCAAGGCAAGTTTATCTGTATAGCACAATGCAGGCACAAGGCGGCTCAAAACGCTGTCACAAAACCCCCGCGTCGTCCGGAGAGCTCTGGCCGCGTCCCAGGTGACACTCCGGGCCTGGACTTCACAGCAGAGGTCCCGTCATCCTCCATGGACGTCGTTTCTCTCTTATCTCCCACACCAGTCAGTCCGCTGCTCAGGCCTCTCCCGCGGGCCACACGTCACAGTCCCCGGGGTAGGGTCTCCATGAAGGGGCTGTCGGTGCGTGGAGCCTCGGAGGTCCGCTGGTCGCGCTGGTACGCAGTCTGCAGCTGATGTTTTCGTGGAAATCCAGCCTGGGACGGACATCCAGGAGAGGGGGAGAGAGGGGGGAGGCGGTCAGGGAGAGTGTAGAGTGAAGGACAGCGCCGTTAGCCAATCAGAAGCGAGGGCACGCCTACCTGAGCGGCTGTGTCCAGTTCTGACCAATAGGAGGCTCCAAACACAGCGCCCCTGAGCCGTTAGCTCCGCCCCCTCTCATATGGAGAAAAGTTTGGGTGCAAAAGTGTCAGTTGTCGTCTTGACGTCTGTGCTTGTTATTATCGTGTGGTACCCGCGTGTTCTGCTAAATGTGACAGACTTTCTTTAACACAAATATTTAAAATAAGTAAAATTTTATCTTACTAAAACTTTAGCTATATTTTTTTATAAATGCAAATGATGTCATGAAGTGAAATAACTAATATGGAAAACATATATGTACAATGTAGTGCACTATTGTTATTCATAGGCTTGTTTTATTATTATTGTGTTTCTGTGTTCCAACTGTTCCCGTCAGACATCTGAAGCTGTGCAGGACAGTGTCTGGTTAGTTCTGGATGGGAGACCTCTGGGGACCACCAAGGGCCACAATGAGGCGGCTGTAAAGTGCCAAACTGTTGTGTCCTTAGGCAAGACATTTCGCCCACATTAGAATTAGCCTGATGTGAATGGTTGGTGATGGTTGGAAAGTCGGATGGCACATACTGGTTGCCTCACTTCTGTCAATGTGCCCCAGGGCAGCTGTGGCTACAGTAGTAGTTTATCACCACTGTGTATAGAGTGAAAGAATAATGACATGTGAAGCGTCTCTGAGTGTCCTGAAAAGAGCTATATAAAACCAATACATAATTATCATTACTATCATTATTAGGACCCAAAGCGAGCCTTCTTTAAGCTGAGGTAACTTTTTAATTCATCAGAAATCATGCACACAGCTTGTCCATCAGAAAGTTTTGTAAAAGTGAAATGTGGTGAACATGTTATTTCTTGCACACCTGTGAGTCACTATTTCACTCTTTGGGCTGAGAGCTGATTGGCTGAAAGAGGGTGATCCAGTTTTTTCACTTTTCTGTCTGAAAAAGCTGAACTAAAAACGTGACAGAGGCCAAACAAACAAACAATGTGAAAACTAGTGATTTAACTGTTTTAGAGACAAGAACTAGTTACAGATGTTACAACAATAGTTTTGTCCTCTAAAAGTTAGATACCCCAGCTTTAATAAGTGCACAGTTAAGAAGAGCAATTACATCAAGAACAAATAGGTAGAGCCAGATTCATCAGGTGTTAGTAGAAATAGGCCTGATAATGTTCCATGCGGTAGAGCACCACCTGTTGGTCATTGAGCACAACTATCTTTTTAAATTCATATAGCTGTTTTTTATTTAGAGATTATGGAAGTATTAAGTGTTTGGTGATGATTCCATTCAAACATGTGCACGTCTGACACTATGGCACATTGGTACAAAAGAATGAAAGGTGTGTTTGTGTATTAATGTACATGTGTATGTATGTATGTATATTTGTGCACATGTATCTATTTGTATATGTGTGTGTATGTATGTATGGTTATGTCTGTATGTGTGTGTGTGTGTGTGCGTGTGTATGCAACCATATGAGGTGAATTAAGGTATTGAGGGATGTCAAAGTCAAATACATCAAGGGCCAAAAAAACAAATTTGCTACAAGCTGAGGGCCGGACTAGCTCAATGTTTATTAGAACATACTAAAATGATGCAAATAACCTCTGGAACCAAGACCTAACACAATGTAATGTTTTTTATTTAATGATTAAATTAATAATCCAATATTTATGTATGGCTCTGTCAGTAGTTAAGATAAATGTGCTCTTTATTTATCCCCGTACGGCAATTCATCCTCTGCATTTGACCCATCCTGATGCCGCTAAGGCGTCCGTCAGGAGCAGTGGTCGCCGTAGTAACAGCGCCCATCTCCAGTTGTTGACGCTCGGCTTGATCAGGACCTGAACCGGAGGATTTTACCTATTTTTCATGTTTTTAGTGGTAGGTGAAACTGGAGCACCCGGAGGAAACCTATGCAGACATGGGGAGAACATGCAAACTCCACTCAGAAAGACCCTGTTTCGTCCAGGATTTTAACCCAGGACCTTCACCGTGTTTTCAAGTGAAACTATTTTCCGACAGCTCACAGAAACACAAAAACAAACTTCCTTCAAAGAGAACCCACACATCCTGAACATTAAAGGAATAATCCAATATTGTTTGTTATGTCTCTGTGTGGGCCGGTTCTAATACTAATCAAAAATCCTCCTGGGCAAAGATCACTAATTCAGCGGCAGGACTTTGACACCCATAGTACAGGGGGTGGGAGCTTTTCATTCTGACCTTTTCTAACTCCTTTCGAACTTTGACATGAGTGAAAAAAAATACGGAAACCCTTAAATGTATGTATGAATGTATGTACGTTTCTGTCATGTGTAATTGCTGTAATTTTCATAATAGATTCCTGTTAATGAGCTTGAAATATATAAATCAAAATAAACCGTGAGCCGGACTGGAGTCACTGCTGCCTGTTATCGTCCACTCTCTCGATGCGGTGACATTGAAACAGCTCAGTACTTCACCAGGAATAGACAAGTCATGAGGCTGATAAGACATGGAGAGGTTTGAAAATATATATTTATACTCTTCATATCTGCAGTGAGTCATTCAGCATTTTTATTTAAACAATACAATTCAAGCGGCAAAATCAAAAAACCGGGAACAGCATTATGTCATACTCATTTGTAAAGCATTGTAAATTGTACAGGTCAAAACGTACCAAGAAAAAGTCATAGAATACATCAGAAAACTTAAAATAATTGCATTGTTTTTACGCATTGATTGAACAAAAATATTCTAATCGCTTGCGTTGTTGCTATGCGGTTGCTATGCGCTGTGAGGTACATACACGGTGTCAAGTGGACAATAGGGACCACATGGAAAGCACACATTGATAATTGTGGTGGTTCTCGTTCACGGATGTAAAGGAGGCAGTGTTCAGAAAAGATCTGCTTTTTTCTTCATTTCGTTCCGTTTCCAAAGAGGGAGTCTGTCAAAATCGTGGAGCTCCATCCCAAACAGGTCGAAGAAAGAGTCCGGAGACAAATGCCGCTGAAACAAACAAAAACAAATATTACTTTCATGTTTTCCAGACACTAAAGCTGTGATAACTAGGGCTGCAAATCGGTAAAAAAGTGACGATAAGATGGTATTGGGATGTTTGGGCCACAATTCAATATTATTGGGATTCTGAACATATCGCGATTCAGGAAGTATCGCGATTTCATTCTGCGATGTATTGAAAGTAACACATGAAGGTGATCTCCCAGCACATTACTTACATTATTCAAACCCAACAGACTAAAGTCACAAAAAGCAGACATTAAAAAAGATTAAGCTAGCAGAGTACAGACCTTTTCATTTCTAGCTCCAACCTGTAGCTCCCCAACCCCTTTCAAGCAGCTCGCCAAAGGATATTGAATTTAACAAATGATCTTGAATGAATACATTTTGAGTCATTTCATGTGTATAATAAAGGGCTTTACAGGATTATGGCATATTTATCATGTGTTCTCCATGTTTTGTTGTAATTATCAGATAGATTTTTGTTACGACTGCAAAAAGGAGTAGCTCTCTGCCTTATCGTTTGTAAAAAAGTAGCTCTCCAATTGAAACAGGTTGGAGACTCCCGTTCTAGCTACTCTTTTTGAGCACCAAACATGCCTGTAATATCTTTTTTTTGTTCTTATTGTATAACTTGTTGCACAAAAAAATTTAATAAAAAGAACGATAAACTCAGAGAAAACACAAAAGTAGAACAGATAATTATTGAATGAATATATTGTATGTATTAATCAATACTTGCTCCACTGTATCTATTTAGTTGTGAGCACTAAATATCGCGATACGGAACAGAATCGATTTTTTTTCCCTACCACTAGTGATAATAATGAAGTGCACCTCAAGACATGTCCTGTCTACGTCTCTGGGAAGTTTCAATCGCCCCCTGCTGCTCACAGTGAGTATTTCATATGGATAAATCTGGAGAGAAATACAAGATTAGGAAAGGTCCTGGTAAAAAGCAATAAAAGTGGAAATCATGAAACGGTCACAATGGCAAAAAGCACAACACAGAAGAACAAAAATGAAAACAAATACTTGCTTTTGGCTGCAGCAAATTAGGCAAAGACATTCCTCTGCCCATCCGTGCAATCGGAGAGCCACAGAGGAGCTACAAACATGCAGTGGAGATGGAGCAGGTCAGATTTACAGCCGGCATGTGTCAGTCGGAGGCAGTGGTGGGGGTTAATGGTGGTGGAGAGCCGCTGCTGTCAGTCTGTACGATGAGGATGGAGCCCTTACCTTATAATCTGAAAGAACAAAACAGAGGCCACTCAGAACAATTACACACAAAAGAATGAGTATGGTTGAAGTGAACGGACGTTACCTCTGTCTATGTTGCCGTTGTACTGCGAGTAATCAGCCACCATTTGCTGCTAAGTTGAAAAAAACAACAAAAAGAGAGTAATCAACCAACAATATGATCTGTGTGCCTAATGTATTGCTTTTATGCTTAAGTATTGAAATAAAAGAATCAACGTGTGTATCCAGGGTCTAAATGTATATTGGATACATGCATCACTGCTGCTGCTGAGGCTGCACTAGCACTGATTATTATGGTTGTGAGATTTGGGCAAACCTCACTGAGCCTAAGTGTTGAGTCCACAGGAGCCTTGATCTTTTAGTGGGGGCTTCAGTCAAAGTGGGGTTAAGTGTCTTGCCCAAGGACACAACGGCAGCAGACATCAGTGGGAGTCGGGAAGTAGAGTTGTCCGAGCAGAGTGTATGGACTATAGGACGCTGTTTATTGTCAAAATAGATGAAGTGAATGAAGCTAAAGAAACATCTAATCATTAAATCATGTCCAGTTGTCGACATTAAACATGAAAACCTGCGGCCTATATTCAAGCGCAGCCTGTATGTGAACATGGGTTTTCTTTTCAAACGTCGGTGGTGCAGCTTTTAGTCCAGAAAAGACTGACGGTAGATGGCTTGTTCCAATGTTTTAGAAGTAAATCTGAACAACATTGAACTGCGTATTTTACAGACTCTAAAGGAAAAGTAGAATTCAAAGTCAACGTTTTTGTTTTCATGAATGTAGTGATTAAGGAGCGACAGCAGCTAATGTAAGTGTAGCATCTTGGGCTGTAACTACAAAGTCTGTGCTTCTGTTTGTGCTCTCGCTGCCCAAACCTTGTACAGGGTTATATAATGGGACTGAATTATTGTGGCAATAATAGGTTGCGTTCATGTGACATCACAGCGTTGCAAAGAGCCTACAGCAGGAGCGCGGCTGAAGGATCTTTCTCAGTAACTGTCATGGTTTAGATTTATTTCCTGTTTTATTTTGTATTTTGTTATATCTTGTCTGCTTTGGTTGCTCTTCCTGTTTGAAGACCCGCCCTCATGTGTCTCACCTGTGTCTCGTTAGTCTTGTGTTTAGCCCTGTGTGTTCCTTCACTCCCTGTTCCGTCATTGTCATCCCTCGTCTGTTTTAGTTCTGTCCGTTCCCTGTGTTTTTGGTAGGTCTTGATTTGTATCTTTTTATTAAATCCATTATTTTTTGCAGTTTTGTATTTTGGGTCTCATTTAATTTCACCCACGTGACAGTAACTATAAGTGTCAGGTCAAGCTTCACATCTGAGTTAAAGGCATAGAGGAGGATTTTCCCAACGTTTAGGAAAGAACCGCCCTCTCCACTTTTTGAGCAAACTCTATGGTCTTGTTTGTCGAGCACGTTTCACCAGAATGATTCGAGGACCAATATTCTTGATGATCCATCCGGGAGTTTAAAATCCTCCTATACTGTATACCTTTAATAGCTAAATGCCAATATTCAAAAACATATGTGATGTGATGTCGGCCAGTAGAAAGGAATTATACGGTAAAACTTTCTTTTTCAACATTTCTTTTACGCGTTCAGCTGAAAAACATATTTAGAACACTCTGATTTGTACACGCTGTATTTAGAGTTCTCAGGTCTCTGCACTGGCTCCTGTGGCTCAGAGAATAGACTTTAAAGCAGCTCTGTTTGTTACAAGTCTCTCCAGGGCCTCGCACCAAAATACATCTGTGACATGTTAGTGCCATATGAACCAAGGAGGACTCTGAGGAAGCACAGGGACTGGCCTCCTGCTGGGACTCTGAGGAGCACAGGGACTGGCCTCCTGCTGGGACTCTGAGGAAGCACAGGGACTGGCCTCCTGCTGGGACTCTGAGGAGCACAGGGACTGGCCTCCTGCTGGACTAATCATGGGGAGGCAGCATTTCACATTAATGTAGCTAAACTCTGTCTTATTCTTTGCCGTAAAATGTTTAAATCCAGGTTGTGTGTAGTTCTTTTTACTCTTTTGTATGCACTGAAATAATTATAAACTTTGAGGTCTTATTTTTGTTAAATTGTTTTATGTTTTATGAACTGTGAAGCACTTTGTTTCACTTTTGTGACAAAAGACACAAATACAGATTGATTGTTTGACGTCATCTTGTACCTACACATTTTACTACTTTAATCCCTACTTAGTCGCGCTTAAAAATGCGACTTCCATGTGCGACGTCCATAACCGTCCGCGGCGCTTACCGGATTGAGGCCGTTCTGGGCGTACCCTGGCAGAGAGCAGGTCTGGCTCGTCAAGCTCAAGTCTGAGACACAGTGAAAAGCACAGATTAGCTCACAGTGAGATTTTTAGACTGACTCGTCCCTGGGAATAGTCTGGGTTTACTAAAAATAGCCCTTTAGCCTGTCCCTGTGCTATTCCCATATAATAAGGGGACAGAAGGAGCACTGTACCGTGTTGCCTGTAAATAGGAGGTCTGGAGTACATGTTGTAGACTTGATCTGTGATGGAAAGAAATATTCAGTTTGACATTATACAGGATCAGAATTATTGTTATTGCCATTGTGAGTAACAGGAACAGGAATAGGATTTTTTCTACTTTAATGTATGTATTTATTTAGTTGAATTTAGTACATATTAGTCAATGTGTGTGCAAACAGCGTCAATATAAATATGCTGGAATTAGCTAAATTGCATCCTTTGTCCTAAGGCAGGTGGAAACACACAAACACACACAGTTAGGCAACAGTACAAACAATAACACAACCAGCACAACGTAAAGAATTTAAAAGAGAAAGAGAAAGTCCAAGGAAAAGGAGAACTTCGGCTGTGGGAGGACGAGCGGTTTGATTTGAGCCATTTTTTCAGGCCACCTTTAAATGTTTGGTCTCACAGTTACATAAAGAATGGTATGGCATTTTGGGTTGTTTTAATTTAATTTTAACATTTATAATCCTTTTAATGTAGTAAAATGTGACCTTTTTAACAGTTTGTTTCATGGGGAACACCAGTCACTCCATTTTATTCCATAAAAGTAATTTCATTTCTTAAAAGATATAAATACACACAACACACTACTACAACACACAGAAATACATGATAAAGACGTATTACTAATGTTGATGATTGAGGCTTACAGTCCATTTCAAGTTCCTGAGATGTTTTATATGTTTTTTTCAATTTTGAGCCAACTCTGCACATTATAACAAATAACATCTTGATAAATCTTGTTCTGCCGTTATAATAATCCTATATGAATCACCGTTTGTACGCTGAATTTCAGAAGAGAATGGACTTTTGAACTATTTTCTAATTCCCATCTGTGTATGAAAAGTCCTGGTACCATTGGCCTTCACCTTCGGCCATCTATCCTCAATGAAAGAAGCAAAAGACACTACAAAGTCTCGTGTCGTCTGCAATAACAAGTGTTTTTCAATCACTGCAAGGCCATAGTAGCTATAGTATCTCCATGGAAACGAGCAAGTTGTCCGTCTACCAGAAAAGTTACTTATTACAGGTGAAACTCGCTCAAAAGTCCATTCACTCTTGTCCTTCAACTTATCTCATTACAGAAGAGAGGCTTGTAAAATATAAATATATTTATTTTGATATATTTTTGTTCTCTTGTTGTGAATTTTACTTCCTGTCTGTTTTGTTGATTGTCTGCCCCACCCTGATGTGTTTCATGTGTGTCTCTGTGTCTTTATCAACCCTGTGCTCCTCTGCCCTTGTTGCTGGTTCATTGTATTGTCTTTGTCTGTTCGTTATCCTGATTCCTGTGTTTAGTTTGGATTCTGGTGTTATTTTTTTCCCTGGACTTATATTTTATTTATCATTAAATGGCATTCTTGCATTTTGGGTGAACATCTATGTCTCTATGTATCTATCTATTTCTCTATGTATTTATCTATCAATGTGTCTATGTATCTATCTATGTGTGTCTATCTATTTACGTCTCTATGTGAAAATAAATCCCATGTAGTACCGTATCACACCGCTAGAGGGAGCAGTGGAGCGCCCTCTATGTCCTGTAACAATGAAGCTTTATGCACTTGTTTGAGTCAGTGAGGCGGTGCATCATGGTCGGGCAGCTCCTCTAATAGGAGACTAGAACAGAACATTAAGAGTGAGGAGGGAGGAGGGAGGAGGAGGAGGAGGAGGAGGCAGGGTGCTTACCTTTGTGAGGAGACACAGAGCTGTGACTGAGAGGGGGCATGGGGCCATTGTGGGCAGAGTGCAGAGAGCGGAAAACTGCCAGTCCTACAGGAGCGAGGAGGAGTGAGGAGGTGACAGAGGAGAGAGGGAGGTGATGGCAGAGGAGTGAGGGAGGTGACAGAGGAGAGAGGGAGGTGAAGCAGAGGCGAGAGGGAGGTGAAGGCAGAAAAGGACATTTAACACCAGCTACATCCGTCTCTACAGCGTAACTACAACACTACAGTTGTCCTTGAACATTTACACCAGGCCAGAGATGTCCCTTGCCCCGTTTCCAACTACCCTTACCCTAACCCTATCCTACTCTACTCTACTCTACTCTCCCCTACCCTACCCTACACTAGCCAACCCTACCCAACCCAACCCAACCCTACTCTACTCTACTATACTCTATCCTACCCTACCCAACCCAACCCAACCCTACCCTACCCTACCCTACTCTACTGCATTACACTTTCAGTATCTGGCACTGTATTCTAGCAAACCACCCACAACAAACCAGCATCCAAAGATATTCCTTGATAGCACCTGGTGGCCAATAGCTGTCTGTTAGAACACGTTAGCATCAGTTTGACCAGCTTTAGTACCAGCAGGACCGAGAGGGACTAAAGAAGGACCTGGTACTGGGTGAACAGTGGAAACACTCCAAATCAGTAGAGTAGCGTAGCGTAGTGCAATGTAGAGTAGTGTAGCATAGAGTATAGTATAGGGCTATTGTTTTGGCCATACTTTGAGGTTATGAATGATAATACATCGTCAGTGGTTGTGTGAAACTTTATATTGTCAAATAAATAAATACATTTGCTTTTTTCAAAGTATAAAATCATTAAGCAGCTGGTAAAGGTTCTCTCTCATCAAGTTCATGCGAGGTGGCCCAGGAATGTACAGATATATATTTTTCCCCCGAAGAACCAACAGCTTTACCATCAGAAGAGAAAGAACCTCATCCACAACGGCCACAAAAGACTCCAAACTGTCACAGGCGGTAGAGTGGTTAGCGCCTGTGTCTGGCTCTGATCCTAGTGTCTGCAGTTATCTCGGGTTGTATCCCATCCGACCAATCAGCGAGCGGGGGAGGCGGGTGTTGTAGGGAGGTAGTTTGGCAATGGCGGCGAATACTATAGTAAAGAAATCTGTTCCAAATATCAAGAAACTGAATCCAGAGAAATGTTTAGCAGATTTCATTGCTGCAAAGATGTTGTGGCTCTACCCCTCCACGGGCTCGGTTAGTGGCAAAGGAGATGGCGAAAGCTAGGCTAAATGCTAAAGCTATGCTAAAAGCTAAATGCTATAGTGACTCACTTGGGCACATTACAAACGTCACGGCAAACTCAGATCCAAGGAGTTAATCCCACCCACCTGTTAATGGATTTCAATGGAACTAATCCAGGCCTTAGTACGAAATGAAATGTGTACGTTGGTATGGTAAGACCAGGCTTATCACTCACACCACAACCTCAACGTCCTCTGTTCGTGCCGCTTTTAACTATTTTATTTAATGTACTTTATTTTCAATGAAAGGCAATCTCAGGTGTCAAGAAAGGCACCTAAGAATTAAAATGTGTAAATATATTTATTATTATTACATTTATTGACTGACAATGAGTGCTTGTGTTATCATTCATAATCCTGGGAATATGGCCAGAGCCTTCTCAGACGTCTGCCAGTGTGTTGTGTGTTTAGACGGAGACGCACAACTGTTGCATGGTTGTTGGTTCTGACCCGGTCTGTGGAAGTGCTGAGGAGATCGGGACGGAGTGAAACTGTGGCGGTTGTGCGAGGCATACGCTCCGAAAGATTGCTGCGTTGACGATTTTGGGATGTGTCTCCTCAGTTCATCACTGTCCTACAAAAGACGAGGGGCAATTGCATTAGTGCCATTTGCAGTAAAACCACATAGGAAAAACTGTGCAAGACTGCTCCAGTGTGCACCAGACAGAAGACAGTGTTCTACAGCGTCAAACGGAATCTTTAATATTGATCATTGATTCGCTGCCGATTGCATGATTATGTGTTTAGAAAGGACTCCACTAAAGGACAACTAAAAAAAAGAGTTCTGAGACGGAACATGTTACAAAGTTAATTTTGATGTCCCGCTGCCTTTATTATTATTATTTATTTATTTTTTATTTTTCTTTACATACATTATCTATTTTTATTTATATATTTTTTATCAAATTTTTACTCTATATATTATTTATTTTTGCTTATTTTCTCCATTTATTTTATTTTTTCCAATAACTGTGGTTGTACTGTCTGTGAAATGTGTATTGATTAATGTATGACTGCAACAAAAAACTAATAAAAAATACATTACAAAAAATAAACACAGTAGAAAGGACTCCAGGACTCCCTTGACTTTCCCGGTTAATAATGATTAAATAAAAAATAATAATAAAAGTAAAACTGCTGTGAGAACATCTTCATAGAGAAAATTGTTACATATTGTGTTGTTTGATTAGAAATACTTTAAAAACACATTTTCATTTCATTCTAGAAATATCTGTGTCATGAAACCTCTTCTCACGAATTTAAGTTTGTGGAAGGTTCCAAAATCTAGTTTAGCTTAAGATTCAGATTAAGTTTAGTTTATTTGCTATTTGCAGTAAAACCACATTGGAATAAACATGCAAAGGTCCCCAGAGTGCACCAGACAAGTAAAAAACTATAAAAAGGTAAAAAATACAGAAATAAAATAACATCCAGAGTCATTTTCTTCCGCCTTATCCGTTGCCGAGTTGTGGGTGGAGCAGTCTAAGCAGAGACGCCCAGGCTTCCACTAATGACCAATTAACTCAAATCATGTCATTCACTTTTCCACTTCACAAAGAAGTTCATAACTCTCACTTTGTACGGCTACAGGAAATCAGAACATGATGTTTATTCTGTCGTTTTTGTATCAACGCTCACTGTAAAAAGAGTAGGCAACCTTTTCCGTCTTTCTGCTGTTTTTTTAAATATCACAACAACACAAGAACATGAACAAAACTTCAAATAACTTGCTACAGCCCGAGGATCATTGCCAAAGAGAGAAACTGAATGTAAAAGAGTTTGAAAGCAATAAAAATATGAAACATTATTTTTATTTTGGCCTAAAATAAAAGGTACTTACTTCTGTGCTTACTGACATATTGGCGGGAGACTGGAACAATAATGAAAGAGAACAAGATATGTTAACATTTGTTTGTGAATTTATAATAATATAAAGAAACAATTCACCCATATGCACACACACACATACAATAAGATATACTCATCGTGTCATAACATTAAAGCTTGTAGACAGTCTGTTACATAATATTAATTTATATTTTTGACAAGCCATCTGCTGCTTTGTGTCCATGCAATCATCTAACACAAAAAAATAATTTGATAAAGGATTTACTGCCGTCACCCTCGAACCCCCGACAGAATAGATGTTATAATTTCAGCAGGAGATCAGGGGCTTATGGGAGATTCCCTGTTCATATCCAAACTCATGAAGCAAGTGTCGGTCTACACAAATGTCGGTCTACACAAGTGTCGCACAATTATCCCACGGCTCATGGGCCTCACAGGAAGCAGCTGTGAAGCATAACTGCGATATACATAACTCCTAATAAGAAAAAATAATATTGAGTTCTGTATCTCTACATTATGATTACATAAGGCCAATTGCAAACATTTTCCCATAAGAAAAAAAAAAAGAACCAAAAAAAGACATACTGGTTTTCACAAAATTGGTTTCAGGAATAGAATAAGTCACAACATAAAAAAAATTGTGACAATTTTATTATTGTTATTATTACAGATGTTTGTGTTTTAGATGTTTATATTTCTAATTGTTATTTTTTGTATTCCTGAAATGTTTTATTGTTTCTCAAATGTTCTTTCTGTGCCTGTTCATACTGGGTTGCTCCTGCATGAATGGCTCTATATATATAAGTTTGCTCTGCCTATGGGGAAAAATAAATAAATGGATATTATTATTTTTTTAAATGCTATTAAAAGAAACTTAATTATTAAAATATATTTTTTAAATTATAAATACAGATGTCTTCATGTTTATGTATGCATATATATTTATACTTTACTATTTTGTATTGTTTTTAGTCCTAAAATGTTTTATTGTTGCTTTATGGTTGCTTCTGCATGAAAGGTGCTTTATAAATAAGTTTTCCTTGCTTTACCTCGGGGGGGGGAAATAATCAATGGACACAACCAGAAAGGAAAACCATTTAAAGTGATAGTCTGTAGCTCTAAATGAATTACAAATTTTAGGAAATGTATTAAATTGACCTCCTGGCCTTAAATGTTGATATAAAATAAGTCATTTTATTAATTCCAATATTACGGGTAAGTCCCGCCTTCCTTCTCTTAGCTATAGCTCAGAATCCACGATGCCGTCCAGTTTAACCAATCGAGTCATGCCAAGGGCTGTCAATCATCAGCTCTGATGCTTGTAGCTGCTGATGCTCAGTTGTTTGTTTTCACGGAGCCTCCGAATCAAGCCTCTATTAGGCTCTGGAACTACATGAAAACTGAACAAAGAATTCTGAACATCTGCGCTGAGTTACTCATTTATATACTGAACCTATATCCATAATCATTTATATACTGAACCTATATCCATAATCATTTATATACTGAACCTATATCCATAATCATTTATATACTGAACCTATATCCATAATCAGATCCTCTGCAGATGTGTCCTATAATGTGCAGTTCATGATAATAGCTTGTTCAGGGTTTGCCGCGATCGCTTTTTTGTGTGCATAAAAACATTATTTTTTTCATTAAAACGTTAACAAATAATTCTGAAAACCTCCGTGCATGTGTATTAATAATGTATATGTATAATGTGTTCTTATTAACATTTCAAAGTGTTACGGAAACGTACGTGTAGACCAATCAGAAAGGAAGGGGGAAGAGCTTGCGTCATTTTTTTCAAATCAAGCACCTCTCTGTCTCTCTTTCTGACAGTCTCCAGACAATCACTTTAAATGATCATAAAACAAAAATTGCGTTTACAGAATAATTATAACAAAACTTAAAATCCAAATAGTGAATGATGTCACATGGACAAAGCCTTCACAGACACACAACAGATACAGGTGTAATCTCATGCACATGTGACAGTGATGACCATAAAACTCCACCCAGTGTCCACACAATGTCCACCCAATGTCCACACAATGTCCCTACAGTGTTAACACAATGTCCCCACAGTGTTAACACAATGTCCCCACAGTGACAACACAAAGTCCCCACAGTGTTAACACAATGTTCCTATGGTGTCCACATAATGTCCCCACAGTGTAAACAAAATGTCCACACAGTGTTAACACAATGTTCCCACAGCGTTAACACAATGTCCCCACAGTGTAAACAAAATGTCCCCACAGTGTTAACACAATGTCCACAGAGTCCGGACAATGTCTCCACAGAGTCCGCACAATGTCCCTACAGCGTTCACACAATGTCCCCTCAACGTTAACGTAATGTCCACACAATGTCCCCACAGTGTTAACACAATGTCCACCCAATGTCCCCACAGTGTTAACACAATGTCCCCTCAACGTTAACGCAATGTCCACACAATGTCCCCACAGTGTTAACACAATGTCCACCCAATGTCCGCCCAATGTCCCCACAGTGTTAACACAATGTCCACCCAATGTCAGCACAATGTCTCCAAAATGACAGAGAGAAAAACACACAGATCAAAGCACAGCGGGGGTGCATTGCGATGCTGTTACCTCGCGAGGGCTGACACTGTGCCGTCCTCTGCCTTTGGCGTCCGAACCACACGAGTCGTTGGCACATTTATACGATATCATATCTGGATGCTCTATTTCATATATAGCCTTGACTCTGGGAATTGCCGCTAAGTCTCGGTAATCAATGATCTCATTATCTACTTTTGCCTGGGACCAGGATAGGAGAGAGGAGAGAGGGAAGGAGGAGGAGGAGGATGAGGAGGAGGAAGAGGAGGAGAGGGAAACACACAGAATAAGGTCATGTGTAGAGTATTTTACATCAAATTCAGTGAGGAATGAACTTTAATCCCACCACTCTGATCTGACATTGGCACAATATGAATCAAGTAAAGCACTGCTATGTTCTGTGGATTACTGTGACGCTACATAAAGCTGGGACACCAAACTTCTTGCTGTTTTGTATAAAGTAAAATGTAGTAAACAGATACGTGTGAGAAAGAGCCCGGAGAGTCACTAATTGACGGCAAAGCTTTGGCCTGAGAGCTGATTGGCTGAGTGAGGGTGGTACTCTCACTTTGTCACTTTTCTGTCTGAAAAAGCTGATTTGAAAAGACAGAAATACATGTGAAAAGCAGAACCAAACTAGTTAGATGGACTTTATTAAACAGTTCTACATGATGTGGTTTGAAAGTTCGGTACCTCAGCTTTAAACTCGCTATAGCATTTACAGCTATGTATCTTTACTGTCCTGCCTGTGGGCAGCAACACTGACATTACCCCTCTGTGGGACAAATCTATAGAAATGACATTCTAAGACACTAATACAGTACATTGCCGACATCAAGAAGCAAAATGTAAATGTGTGAATAAGTAATAAAAAAGAACGGTTAAATTATTCAAATATTTGATTTAATGTAAAATCCACAGTGTCATATGCTGTTATTGTAAGGACTAGAACAGGCGTGTCAAACTCCGGCCCGTGAGACTCTTAATAGTGGTCCCTGAAATGATTTTCAATTATCATAAAAATACAGTAACTTGCAACAATGATGGTAATGGCATGTTATACTTCATTTTAAAGCTTATTTTCTCAGCAAAACAACAACAACAATTGAATCTGTTCTAACATGTTAACTATATGTATTTAGAAGTCAAGCTAGAACAATTTATTTCAAAAATGTTAATTATACAACTTCAAATTACATCTTTTTTGGTATTTGGTTTAAAATATACTAGAAAATAACTCATGTCGAATAAAATGAATTTGTCAAAATACAAACATATGTAAAAAACAACTAAAAATAGTGATGATATTGATTATACTTTTGGCCCCAACCTGCTCTTATATTTTCAAACTATTTTCAAAGTTTGACAGCCCTGGTCTAGAATAAGATCATTTTAAAATAATGTATATTTTCCTGAACAGGGATAAAGTGCATTCCACAGCAAACACCAACAGGTCAATCTGAAAGCACCATTCAAATGGAGCAGCACATTCATCTTTCATATTCACAGTAAGGCTGAATATGAGCAGACGGCCTATTTCCGAACAGTCAAGGTCACTTATGGTCTATTTGAGTCTTTACTGCAAATAGGGGATATCGGTCAAAAGAGAGATTTTGACGCTGCGACTGTCCTGTGTAAATAAAAGATAGAAGTGATTGGTGAAGGTGAGGCCAGGGGCAGACGGAGGAGGTGAGAAGGACTTACACAGAGGGAGCGACCGGGACTGCCGGGAGTGCAGGAGCCAGGCCGCGAGCACGAGCTGTCCGAGGACGACGGCGTGGGCTGCGGTCAGAGCAGAAACGTCAAATTCACCCAAAATAATCACAGACGACACGTACAGAATGGATGTTTCAAAGTACAAATGACAAGTACACTGCAAAAAATGATGCTACGTGAGGTTATAAATGCCTGAATTTAGTGTTTTTTTTATGAGCTCATTCTGACTGTGTTTAAACAAGATATGCCAAAGGGAAGAGGAAGTTTAGTCTTATTTCATGAACTGTTACTTAATTTTCTCACCAGGTGCCACAGCGGCAGTAAAGTTGTTGTGTCCTTAGGCAAGACACTTCTCCTACATTGCCTAGAATATGTCAGGTGTGTGTGTGAATGGCTGTAGGAGGTCGGAGGAGCCGATGAAAAATAGAATAATAACAGGTTCATTTAGGCGGTGTTCTTAACCCTCTATGGCATGACTTTTTATTTTAGGGGGAAAAAAATATTTCAACACACTTTTTAAGAGCTCGTGGGTCCCTAATAACATATTGATCTTTACATTTGACCCCCCCCACCCCCCCAATCAGATAATGGTTTGTTGCTTAAGGGCAACATTGTGCGACGAGGGTACTAAAACACCAAGGTTTTCAATATTACATTGAATTAGGAAAATAATAAAACAAATACATAAGAGAAGCTTTTATTCTTTTATTTTTCAAGCTCAACTTTTTTAAACGGGTACAGAGCACTCCAGATTGCAAAAACAAAAGCAAAAACAGTTCTGAGCCTCTAGTAAGTCACACAGCTGCGGGTCTCGGTAGCCTATTGTGTATGGAACAGCAAGAAGCAGTTGCTAGTTGCTGAGACCAGGACTAATGTGAGAGGACTTCAGGACAGAGACCTGAGACCAGGACTAATGTGAGAGGACTTCAGGACAGAGACCTGAGACCAGGACTAATGTGAGAGGACTTCAGGACAGAGACCTGAGACCAGGACTAATGTGAGAGGACTTCAGGACAGAGACCTGAGACCAGGACTAATGTGAGAGGACTTCAGGACAGAGACCTGAGACCAGGACTAATGTGAGAGGACTTCAGGACAGAGACCTGAGACCAGGATTAATGTGAGAGGACTTCAGGACAGAGACCTGAGACCAGGACTAATGTGGGAGGACTTCAGGACAGAGACCTGAGACCAGGACTAATGTGAGAGAACTTCAGGACAGAGACCTGAGACCAGGACTAATGTGAGAGGACTTCAGGACAGAGACCTGAGACCAGGACTAATGTGGGAGGACTTCAGGACAGAGACCTGAGACCAGGACTAATGTGAGAGGACTTCAGGACAGAAACCTGAGACCAGGACTAATGTGAGAGGACTTCAGGACAGAGACCTGAGACTAGGACTAATGTGAGAGGACTTCAGGACAGAGACCTGAGACCAGGACTAATGTGAGAGGACTTCAGGACAGAGACCTGAGACCAGGACTAATGTGAGAGGACTTCAGGACAGAGACCTGAGACCAGGACTAATGTGAGAGGACTTCAGGACAGAGACCTGAGACCAGGACTAATGTGGGAGGACTTCAGGACAGAGACCTGAGACCAGGACTAATGTGAGAGGACTTCAGGACAGAGACCTGAGACCAGGACTAATGTGAGAGGACTTCAGGACAGAGACCTGAGACCAGGACTAATGTGAGAGGACTTCAGGACAGAGACCTGAGACCAGGACTAATGTGAGAGGACTTCAGGACAGAGACCTGAGACCAGGACTAATGTGAGAGGACTTCAGGACAGAGACCTGAGACCAGGACTAATGTGAGAGGACTTCAGGACAGAGACCTGAGACCAGGACTAATGTGAGAGGACTTCAGGACAGAGACCTGAGACCAGGACTAATGTGAGAGGACTTCAGGACAGAGACCTGAGACCAGGACTAATGTGAGAGGACTTCAGGACAGAGACCTGAGACCGGACTAATGTGAGAGGACTTCAGGACAGAGACCTGAGACCAGGACTAATGTGAGAGGACTTCAGGACAGAGACCTGAGACCAGGACTAATGTGAGAGGACTTCAGGACAGAGACCTGAGACCTGGACTAATGTGAGAGGACTTCAGGACAGAGACCTGAGACCAGGACTAATGTGAGAGGACTTCAGGACAGAGACCTGAGACCTGGACTAATGTGAGAGGACTTCAGGACAGAGACCTGAGACCAGGACTAATGTGGGAGGACTTCAGGACAGAGACCTGAGACCAGGACTAATGTGAGAGGACTTCAGGACAGAGACCTGAGACCAGGACTAATGTGAGAGGACTTCAGGACAGAGACCTGAGACTAGGACTAATGTGAGAGGACTTCAGGACAGAGACCTGAGACCAGGACTAATGTGAGAGGACTTCAGGACAGAGACCTGAGACCAGGACTAATGTGAGAGGACTTCAGGACAGAGACCTGAGACCAGGACTAATGTGAGAGGACTTCAGGACAGAGACCTGAGACCTGGACTAATGTGAGAGGACTTCAGGACAGAGACCTGAGACCAGGACTATCGATTGGAATGTCCCTAACTCCTTCATTCTTGGACCCGTAAAACGTTATTGCATCCATTTCCTACAACAAATAGTAGATAGATCAGAATGGAAGATAGAACAGCAAAAAACATTGAGTGTGGTGTTGATTATCCATTCAAGCACATCCCCAACCAGCAGCATTACACTGCCCAAACAAAAGTGCTACAACTGCATGATGTTGCCTTGAGGCAACAAACCTAAACGTGCAGTTTTTGTATATAAATGTAAACAAAAAACATATATTAACAATCAAATATGCTTCTTAACATATTCATGCACAGTCACATATTTATTTTATCAAGTTTTTCGAATTTAAACATGTAGAAAAGTTATATTTATCCTACCTTTTTCTGGCACTGTGTCACTTGTGACTCTGCTTCCTGAAAGGACTGCTCCACCCCCAGACAATTGCCCCCACCCACTTCAGAACTTGATTTAATTGGACAGAAACATGTCTAGTAATTTTATAAATAAAAAAATAAAATAAAAACATTAAAGGGCCAGTGTAAGAGCCAAAAGATTGGTTTGTTGCCCGAGGGCAACAGTATGCCATAGAGGGTTAAAAGTTAAAAAAATGTCAAATAAATGACAATGTTTACTTTAGAATGCAAAGTAAAACATATACTTCACAACAGAAATTACTTTGATCTTTTTTTTAAAGTCACAGTTCAGTATTTCTTTAAATTCATTCAAGAAATTAGATCATAATCAAGACACACAGCTGCTTTTTGTTCAATATAAATATGAACAAAAATATTGTTATCCTTCAAACCAAAACCAGAGGCAATGTGTGTAAATGTGTTGTTAAAGCTCGGGTACGTGTTCTTACATATAGAGTACATTGAGTTTGCTCCAAGTGTCTCTTGAGACACTTAACCCCACTTTGCCTGAAGCCCCCACTGAAAGATCAAGGCCACTGTGGACTCACCACCTGCAGGAGGATCAGTGAGGGGCTGGTGCTCTGTGGACTAGCTGCAGCTCTGACTACCACCCCCCCGACCCAGAAATGGATTAAGGGGAAGAAAATGCATGGATGGATGGAGTTTGCTCCGGCCCAAAGAGTCAAATAGTGACTCACAGGGCTAACTGGGCTCACTGGGCTTTTCTTAAAATGCCTGAGCAAGGATGGACCTTTGTTTCTCTGTTCTGTTTAAAAAAGCTGATCCAAATAATGTGACAAAAATAAATCCTGCTCCTGAGATAAACATCATCTGTTGAGCAGTCAGATCGACTGTCCCACAGGGCGTCAGGTGTGATAGCAGCTCCCATTGGGGATGTCTGCTGTGTGTCCTTGGGCAAGACACTTACCCCACCTGGCCCCCTGTGTCTGCGTACACTGGTGCATGGATGAGTGGGTGATTGGTTCCTTGAAAGCTTCGGTCAAAAGCACTAATACAGCTTGAAATGTTGCACTTTTTTTTTCATGTTGGTTCAGGAGGACCGCTGTGTCTTGGCAAGTTCGCAGTGACACCAGAGCACCAGCCCCTGACGGATCCTCCTGCAGCTGGTCTGTCCACAGGAGCCTTGATCTTTCAGCGGGGGCTTCAGGCAAAGTGGGGTTAAGTATCTTGCCCAAGGACACAACGACAGCAGACATCAGTGGGAGTCGTGAAGTAGTATTATTTTTATTATAATAATAATTATTATTATTATTATGGGAAATTCAATGCACTCCGAAAAAAGCGGTGTGAATACTTGTGCAGGCCCAACTTTTCAATTTTCTATTTTTAAAACAATAACAGAATCATGTATCATTTTACTTACACACAGTTGTCTGTTACTTGTCTGTTCACTTTCAGTAAGTACATCAAAATATAATGTTTATGGCTGTAACCCTGACAAAAGTTCAAGCAGTATCTGTACTTTCGAGAGACGCTGTTGTAGATGGATGCACATGGTTTGAAAGTTAGGCGCCCCAGCTTTAATCTGAGACAAATGCACACTACACATGCCACACTGATGCAAAACAATAACCTTGAGTTGATCTGGGGGAAAAAAGTAATGGAGACTGGGCATTTTGGCTCCGCCGCGCTGCAGACGGAGGAAACACAACACCTAACAATGAATTCTGCTGTTGTGCGTTTTGTCGTTCTTTTTATTGAGGCGTAAATTCTCACCATAGAGCTGTCCTCGCTGCGGCTGCCGCGTCTGCAGTCCGGATGCCAAATGGATGTGCCTGTGAATGTGAGGAGCGGTTTACTTTCACGGCTCACAAAACGACATTCTACAGATCGACACGACCTGTAAATGGGATTTATTCTGGTATCGTTACCTTGGAGATACATTTCGTCTCCTTCGGTGAAGATTTTGTGGCAGCGACAGCACCTCGCGCAGCTGGGGTGGTAGTGCTTGTCTCCCGCCTGCAACACATACAACAAAACTTTATCTATTTAGCGGTGAAAGTATCGTCCCGAGCGAATAACGGAAACTGTTTAAGGCTTAGAAAGTTATTTTAAAGAGACAAAGAATGTAAAGAAGCTAATGTGGCTTTTTTTGTTGTATGAAACCAGATTGACTAAAGGAAAAGCAAGACCTCAAATCTGATCACTGCCGAAGAGAAAAATCACAAAATGGACTAGGACAAGGCAAAAATATAAGTAATGGAGAAACTCAAATACAAAATGTTACTGAATTTCTCCATTGTGAGATAATAAAGTCTAATCTCATCTCTAGAGGCGATTGGAATAAGGAAGCGGGATGCCCAAGCCATCAACAGAGACCAGGGGGCCTCATACTCGGGACTCACTTCTCCAGAGACCGCAGTGCCCTGAGGGGACGTGGTCGGTCTGACGGATCTGATCTGTCAGTGTTGTCGGTAACAACAGCCGATCAGAGACACACAATCACGTGTCTCCTCTGACAAATGCAGGAAGTCTACCTCACGAACATGTGCTAATTAGGCAGAAAGAGTTTGTTTACACTTTGGTCTTATTAGAAGAACCATATAAGCCTTAGACATAGAGAAGACTCGGGCTGGGAATTGGCAAAAATGTGACGATTTGTTAGCATTGCAATATTTGGGCCACAATTCAGTATTATTGTGATTCTTAACATATTACGATACAGCTAGTATTGCGATTCGATTCCGCAAAATATTGTGATTCAAGTCCCTCATATTTGTTCAAGGCATTAGAAAACTGCGGAAAATAAGACTCATCGCAAATGTTATTATGGTCTGCACATTAGATGAAAAAAAACATCCTAAGAGGGTAGTGCAAAAACTTGAAAATTCAGGACACAGGACCTAAAGGACCTATTCAAATACAATAGACTAGAGTAAAAATAGAATAACATAATCTCAGAGCAAACACAAAAGTGAAACAGATAAATTATGTATTTCAACATCGCACTTTATCGATTTAATTACATGCGCAAAATATCGCGACACTGAGCAGAATACATTTCCCCCCACCACTAGAGAAGACATAATGACCTTTTTACATAAAGCTGATGTTGTGGTTTTAGAGTGACGTTGTACGCACCTCCAAAACTTTACCGGTGATAAATTTCTGACAGGCTTCACACTGGACTCCATACTGAAGCTGGTAGTCTTTCTCACAATACGGAACTCCATCTCTGAAACAGTGGGCATGATAAAACACACATTTGGTGCGGAGTGACATATATGATAAAGTACAGGTATGTATCTATATGTGTATATATATTTGCATACTTGCTGATGTACTCCCCGCTCAGGATGCGGCGGCAGGATTTGCACTTGAAGCAGCCCAGGTGCCAGTGCCTCCCTAAGGCCACCAGAGCCTGGCCATTCTTGATTTCTCTGCCACAGCCGCTGCAGTCTGAGAACACACACACACACACACATATGACGGCGAGGATTAGGACTTGTCAGAGTGTTCAGTTATGTGCAAAGAGGACTGAGATATTAAGCCAGAAGGATTTAATGCCTTTCTCACATGTAAAAGTAACATTATGTAGCAGGCTTAAGGTTAACAGTAGCTACGGGCTCTTAACAGTTCTTATGGGCTAAACTCTGTGTGTGTGTGTGTGTGTGTGTGTGTGTGCAAGTATATTTGTGTATGCGCAAGTATATGTATATACAGTATGTGTGTGTGTGTGTGTATGGATGCCTGTATGTGCCTCTGTGTGTGTGCGTGTGTATTTGCATGTGTGTGTGTGTGCGTGTGTGTATGGGTGCGTGTATGTACATTTGTGTGTGTGCAAGTATATTTGTGTATGTGCAAGGATACGTATATGTGTGTGTGTGTGTGAGTGTGTGGACATTTGTACATTTGTGTGTGCAAGTATATGTGTGTGTAGGGATGCCTGTATGTGCCTCTGTGTGTGCTTGTGTGTGTGTGTGCATGTGTATGTGCACGTGTGTGTGTGGGGGGGGGGGCATCAGAATGTGGCTTTATCTTCAGTCCGGGAAACAGAGGCTGCTCCCAGTGTTCTGTCTTCGAGGTCAACATATGAAAATAACATTGTATTCTCTGTGTGTGATAAGATTTGTATTTTCACTGAGATAGTTTTACCAAATATTATCACAGACACGATGTTGATCTTATTGTTAAGTGCAACTTATAATTAAAACACAATTATTCTTGGGCAATACTCGTCATTTTAGGTTCAATGTTATCTATATGACTCATAAGGGCAGTGGGGATGACCCAGGACACTCAACATTGGTCTCAGCACTCATTGGCCACGCGGGTGATTAAGTCTGAGAATCTAGTGACGACAACCGGGAACAATCTCTTTGTTGTCCTTAAAGAATAGATTTGACTTTTTACGCAGAGGGCGGTGAGTGAACTGTGACCTAATCTTAATCCCAGTGCGTCTGGATCCTTAATAATCCTGGTTACACCGTATCAGTATCCTGGACGGGCTCTTGCGGTCAGACTGGAGGTCAGGCTGGAGCAGAGTCTGAGGATCTGCAGAGTCACAGGGACAGGTGCACTGGCCTGGATCACTACCATACTATATACTATATCACTACAATACTATACTAAACACTATATCACTACAATACTAAACACCAGGGGTCTCCAACCTTTTTCAATCGGAGGGTTCCTTTTTTACAACAGAAGAGGCAGAGAGCTACTTCCTTTTGAAGTCATAATAAAAATAGACAAAACATATAGCGTATATACTGTAAACTGAATACCTATAAGTATACTTAAAATGGATAAAGTCCATCCATCTTCTTCCCCTTAATCCATTTCTGAGTCGGGGGGTGGCAGTCAGAGCTGCACCCTGTTCACAGAGCACCAGCCCCAATATAATTGATACGTAATGACTCAAAATGCATTCATTCAAAATAATGTGTCCAATTTTAAATCCTTTGGGGAGCTACCTGAAAGGGGCTGGCGAGCTACCGGTAGCTCCCAAGCCACAGGTTGGAGACCCCTGCTATAGACTATACAGTATCACTGTCACTGTCACTACTATACAATACACTATATCACTATCACTGGTATCACTATCACTACTATAGGCGTGGATAGCACTCTCGCCACTCAGCAAGAAGGTCCTGGGTACAAATCCCTGTCGGACCAGGGCCTTTCTGAGTGGAGTTTGCATGTTCTCCCCGTGTCTGTGTAGGTTTCCTCCGGGTACTCCGGTTTCCCCTACCACTAAAAATATGTACAATTGACTCTTCTGGCCACCTTGGGAAAGCCATGTTCCAGCTTCTTCCCTCTGGCAGAAGATATCGCTCTCTGAGATGCAGGACATCTCGACATGCTAACAGCTTCTTCCCACAAGCTGTTATCTGTCTGAACAGAGCACTTTAATGTTCTTGCTCTTTGTATTGATACTGTTTTAGCCGATCGATTTCACAGTGACATTTGTCTGTTTTTATTTGTTTTTTTTCTGTACTTTTAATGTTTTAGGTCTGTGCACACTGGAGACTTTTGCTAATATATTCCAACGTGGTGTTTTTACTGCAAATGGCTAATAAAATGAATCTGAATCTGTACAATAGTTCTGGCATGCGCCTCCTGTTCGGCGACCCCGCTCCCATCTCTGTGTGAAGTGAGTGGACGAATGCCCAAAAAAATAACAATTGTAAACCGCTTTGTGACTCTGATCTGTGAAAGGCGGTATTTAAATAAAGATTACTTACTTACTATACTATACACTATATCACTATCACTACTATACTATACTGTGTTCACGAGTCAGGAAGAAAGATAAAAATCTAAGTTATCGTCTTTAAACAAAAATGTATAGTTTCTTGTTCTGGCTGTTTAAATTCCATGAACTGTTATACTGGTTTGTTGTTCTGTGGTCATTTCAGTCTAATAGAATAGTAAGTAGCATTTTTACTGCATGATTAATGATGAATTAATAATTTTAACACTAGAAAATCTCTGTGAATCATCACTAAAATATTTATTAGAATCGTGGTAAACGCATTTCAGTGGAATCTTAACCGAATAACCACTTTTGGAACAATGCACACAGCATCTGTGCTGGCTCTAAAACGTACAGAAAAAAGTATTTACACTAAAATAGGACAAATAAGAAGTGTTTTTAGGTAAAAAAAACTAAACATCTTCCGACAGAAAATACAGAATTTCTCTTGATTAAAGTTGGGGTATCTAATTTGTCTTTCCCATAAACAATGTGTGTTGCTGGTCCCGTCCCAACTCAGTCTTGTCAAAGTAAAATGTTTCTTTCCCTTCTTTTGGTTCTTTCACTTTTTGGTTCTGATTGGCTGAGTGAGGGTGGTCTGCTCTGGTTCACAATTCTGTTTTCGCGATAAGCCAATATTTAGATTTGAGTCCAAAAACAAAAACATGCAAAAACCAGTGATGAAACTGTTTTAAAAGCGAGAAACCCGTCTCATGGATTTCACATCAAAGATCAGTGTTTTTGGGTAGAAATCTAGATTCCCCTTTAACCTCTGTCAAAATATCAAAAGTGCCTCATCAATCCTGTGAAAAACAACGGGCCGAAAACTTTTATCAGCATTCTAGCAGCAGAGTATATATGGGACTATAGTGAAAACTGCAGGTGGCTGATGCAAGGAGGGAATCTAAAAAGAATTGTGAGTCATTTTTAGATTTCGCTGGTTGCAAAGTGATGGTGATGTAAAGTGTGCACCTACTGCTGGAGAGTTTGGGCTTGTCGTTGGGAGACTTGGGAGACCGCGGACGCAGGCATCTCTGGCAGATACACTCTTTTCCACTGAACGTCACACAATCTCCAGCTGGAAAAGGTTGTCTGCCAAGAGGACGGCAACACAACACCGTCAGACACAGAGGAGCTGATGACGCTGCACCTGCAAAAGTTGCTGAATGTTTTTTTTCCTCTCTCTTACGTGCAAATGGTGCAGACGAAGCAGGCCGGGTGGTAGTTCTTCCCCAGGACGCTGACCACCTCCCCCTCCACGAAGTCCCCGCAGTTGGTGCAGGTGGTGCCGTGGAGCCGCCGGAAGTCCACGGGGCACAGGCAGTCTCCGTTCTTGACGAAGAAACCGGACTGACACAGGTCACAGCCGCACACTGCAAGAGACGACCACGTTTAAAACTTTACATGTGACGGTTTTAGGTAAAACGTGTCAATTATAGTAAAAGGAGTGATGTGTAAAAATCTGGCCAAAAGTGGTACTGCAACCTCTTCCACTCTCCCTTTGACTCGGGTTGCCAGATATGGAGACGAATCCAGCTGGGACCATAATAGCTAAATAGACAAAAGAGGACCACCCTCACCCTCAATCAGCTCTCGGCCCCAAACTTCAAAAAGTGACTCACAGGGATCTTCCTCATATATTAGAAAGACTCTTTTCGTTGAGACCAAATACAAGTAAAAAGTTAAGTGCACCAGCTTTAGTTCCTTCATGTAATGTGTTATTTCAGTCCAGGACTTAACATGCACTCTCCAATTCAAAATGTAAAGAAGAAATCATTTCATATTTTAGACTTTGTTTTGAAACACAGGCGCAACTCAGGAAATATTATTGTAATTATCATATTGTATTGTTATTATTATTCATTGTATTGTCCCACCACATGCAAACCATTCTCCCCTTAGCGACAATAACGTTTTTGAGTCGAGTTGAAATATAGAGCATTACTCAAACAGTGTTCAAAAGTTAAAATGTTGATAAACATCTCAGGAAATAAATATATTTTGAAAATAAATTAACAAGGACTTAAATGTCACTTTGAATACAGACTACATAATATATTGAAGGATCTTATCTTGACTCATTTTTGACTATTTATGTTGATATTTTAGAGTTTTTAATGTTTTTCTTGATCTCAATGTTTGTTTTTGATCATGTTTTTTAATGTATATGTAGATTTCTTGTTTAAGATTTATGCCTGATGTGATTTGGGTTGTGAGGCCGTTTGTGTTGCTTTGTGTAGGAAAGGCGCTCATATATTGGCTTCACATTAAGGTACGATATCTATCTCTATCCCTTGGTTTTAAGCACTTTTACCTTCAAACTGCATCTCAACCATTTTGTAAAGGCCTTCAATATAATATTATTAGTGCTCCAACATCTTAGAAAATAAAGGAAAAATGACATTGTTTTCTTCAAGGAGTGAACAATAAAGGGTCAAGATAAACTATCTACATTATTGATCTAATTCCAAGTTAAATTACAGAAAGAATTCGCTCGCAATTTTTTTTCTGAGTTTGAAAAAAGATCTAGACAAAGGCCCTGGTCCTAGTATAAGTCAAGTACGCAGTGTCGTCAAAGCTGGTCCAGTCCTGCGTCAGTCCGTGTTGCTGTGTCCTGGGCCTTACGTAACCCCAGCTCCGTCATGGTGAAGGCTTTCTTGTTTCTGTCATGGTGAGACATGTGATCCAGCAAAGACCTGTCACTGTCCCACCAGACGCCAAGGACACATATTACTGCTCTATTCTGGGCCCACTGTGAGCTGCGCAAATCCACACAGCATTCCCAAGAGTTATCTCCGAGTCCTGGACAAGTGGTACACGCAAACCCCCCAGTCCCGGTCCGTGTCCCTCCTGCGTTATTATCCCACTGTTAAAATGCAATGACGGCAACGAGGTGCAGGGATTGGTTGTTGTGTTGTTTTTGGTGCATTCTGGGAGCGGGTTGAGGCAGCCTTTGTTCTGGCGGTAAACACTGGAGAGACGGAATGAAAGGACAACAACATGAGAGGCCTGTCATTCCCAATTACTCAGTGTGGAAGCTCGTGCTTTTGTGACTGCGGCAAAACAAGCCTCACCACGGGACCCGATGTTTCTGAAGCTTGTTCTGATAAAGTTGAATTATTGAGTTGAATTATTGAATTTTTATTGTTTACATAACCATTACATTTTGTTTTTGCCCCTACATAAAGAGTTTTGTGACATTTTATGAACAAATCAAACCCAACCGTCTGTCTTTATCATAGACTGTAAATATTAACGGATGTAGTCACGCCTATCTCTGCGCTGTTGAAACTAATGTGTCACCTAAAAGTGAAAAGAGAGCTCTCTAATGACCAAAATAAAACATCTTTTATAAATAAAGACCAGAGTGGGCTCCAAAATGTCCATGAACGTGAGCGGACATGCTGCAATCTCATTCCTGACCGGTGGGGGTGTACCCGGAAAGAGAATTACCCAATGCTTTTGAATGGCGTCTTCTTTCCTCTCAAAAAAGGCCTTACAGGATGGTCCAAAAGTGGTTCTTGGCCCAAAGTTACGTTCCAGATGCTGTCAATACTGAGGGGAGTAGTTTTGTTGTTGTTGACCTGTCTAGTTTAGCCGCTGTGGACTTTTGAAAGCACTTGTCAAATGAATGGGGCACGTGCCGGTTGACGCGTGTGCAAATGCGTTTTTTTGTATTTTGCATTTTCCTGCCCCCACGGCCATTTTGAAAAAGCCCACAGAAGGCAAACGTGATGGCACATTAGTTTCAACGGCGGAGATGGGTGAAGATGCGTCTGTCACTTATCTGTGCAATAATAATTTGAATAATGTCAGAATGTGCAATAATATCAAACCACATGTGTCCATTGCACAAGAATATTCAGTATTTACAGCTATAACATACTTGCTTCTTTCGTATGCTAAAGTTAGAGATGTTATTCTATTTTAATATAGAGTTATTGTTCATTTATCTTGTGCTGTGTGCTCCTCGTTCCTACTGCTCTGTAACCAATACAGGTCTTAATCCTAATCTTCTCACCTTTTTTTTTCTCCCATTATTTTGACCGATTAGGTAATAACGGATCACTCCCAAACAAACACCAAATGAACCTCTGAGGACACTAACGAGCCGGGGCCCACATGTTGAGAAACACGGCTGACGCTGACCTTTGCAGATGAAGCACTTGATGTGGAAGTAGCTGTTCTGGACGCGCAGCACTTGTCCCTTGCAGGGTTCTCCACAGCGGTGACACTCCAGGCTCCTCTTCTCCATGGCCGCCGTGTTCAGGTTAGAGCTGTCCTGAGTGTGCATCACTGAGAGACACACACAGACACACACACACACAAGTGGATTACTACAGAGACGGAAAGCATTTTAGGATGATCCAGTATTTATTTCAACAACGTGGAATTTCAATCTTACAATGTTCACGTCGGCCCAGATGATGAGGCCATCGATAGGAGTGGATTATCATTTCTGTTTTTTTATTAGAGTCCTTGCTGATGAAAGGGGGTCTAAGGACAGAGGCGATCCAGGACACTCCACATTCTACAACATTTATGGACATTGGTCTCTGCCTCTTATGGACCAATGTCTCTATGTGTTTTTTATCATTGCATTTCTTGTGTTTAAACTGTTTGATTCTTTGATCTGTGTTAAGTAATTTAACAGTTTTGTAAAGTCCTCCGAGATCACTACTGTTGAAATGATATTTTTTATTTTTGCTGCTACTGGACACCTGAATTTCTCCCATGTGGATCAATAAAGTATCTATTTATCTATCTATCTATCTATCTATCGATCTATATATCTATCTATCTATCTAATGTGACCCAAAGTGTCCTGGGTCTCCTCCCAGTGGGACATGGAGGTATCTGAGATTGTGGCTGACTTCTGTATTACTGAAACAAATCTGAAATTCTGCTTGAAACTCGAACACCATTTCCTCAAGTAAGCTCAATCTTAACCTGAAGATTTGAGGAAATGGGCGGAGTCTGCTCTGCTCCTGCTGGGTGTGATAGAAAACCTGCAGCCAGTGTCCCTTTCTGGACCTTTTTGGACACCTAAATCACAACAGTAGTCATTTCTGAGGACTTTACAAATCTGTGGATTGGCCAACACAGATCAGAGAAGAAATCCAAACACAAGAAATGCAATGATAAAAAACACATAGAGCCTTTGGTCCATCAGGAGCAGAGACCATAAATGTTGAATGTGGAGTGTCCTGGATCTTCACCACTGTCCTTAGACCCTCCTGCATCGGCATCATTGAAAACACACCAACACAGTTCCGCCACAGCAACGCAAGTGCTATCCCGTCTTTACAAACTTGTTTCTTTTCTTTGTATACCCAAAAGTCGCAGCTTTGCAAAGTGTGATATTTGTGTAATTCCAGATCACAAAGGCATTGATGTCATCTCCATTCTCCGAAACGACGCAAATCCAAGCATGTCTAATCTATTCTGAGTGTAATATTTTGGTGCTGGGGCAAATTAAAAGCAGTTCAAAGTCTATTTAATCCAAAAGCTTTATCTCTTTATTGAGTTGGCCAACAAAACGACAGCTTGTCCATCCAGGTCTTACATAACTGGACGTAATGCAGTCCACAGACCTGCTTTGTTGTGTCTCTTTGGAGTCGGGGAAAAAATGGCCCTCGCTCTACATCCCATCCACGCTAATGACGGAATTATTATGATACGCGGTGAACTTTAATCTCTCTGTGTGAATGCTTTTAAAAAGTATGACTCCGAATCCTACGGGCAGAAGCAGCAGATACCAGAGCAATCGAATCACACCAGCCACTTGAAACACTCGGAATATGATTAGCACTGGACAAGAGGAAGGAATGTGGCCTCTCTATGTTGGGAGACGACCAGAGGGAGACAGTACCAAGCACCCAAGTTTTATCTCTCAGTATATACACACACACACACACACACACACACACGCACACACACAGTCACACACACACACACAAACTCACAATAAGTTATTCTATTCCACAGCAACAGAACAGAGATAGTTTACTTCCAACCACCGGCTCCACAAGACGGGGATTCTCAGCAAAGTGAGCCAGGCACCTATGGTATGTGGCTGCGTTACTATGACAACAAACATGAGGAAAACAAAGAGATAACAGGGCGATACATCATGCTACCCCGAATGTTTACATAGACTGCGATGTAATAATAATGTAAACAGTACAACGACAGAGGAAAGCATTAAGATGTATGTGTTTTGGTCTATTGTTTTTGCTTGTAGTGACTGAATGAACTGTTTTTAAATTAATAAACGCAATAGATGACAATAGAATCATTAGAAAAGAAAATACATTATTTTCTTTCCCATCAGGGTTTTTGAGTGGTTCGTTGCCGATGCGGGAGGGTCTGAAGTCCGGGACATTTGTGGACGGTGGTCATTCTGCTCCCTTTGAACCAACGGCTCCTATGTCTTTGTTATTGTAGCATATCCTGTGTTCTCTGATCTGTGGTTGACGAATCGACAACTGTGTGAAGTCCTCCGAGACGACCTCTGTTTAACCTTTAACATGTTTGCACACTTCTGTACTTTGCATATCAATAAAGTCTATCTTATCTAATCTGATCTTACACAAATACATTTTAAAGAATTTTTTGGTTCGTAGCTAGACCATACAGACTCTCACAGTTAGAGTTAGCCGGTTTTTCTTATGGTCCGGTGACTCTTATTGTGTGTCAACATTGTATTCATCTGTGTTCCAATAGTTTGATTTTCTAATTGGCTGCTGGCATATTAAAGGAGCTTTACCCGTTTCTGCAAGGTTTGAATGTTTAGCCCCGCCCTCAACTCGCTCACAGGCTTCTCATTTCCCTACGCTCTCATCCCACAAGGCCATCTAGTTTTATTTGCGCTCTAAATGCTAACATTAGCATGAGCGCAACTTCTTGTAAGCCGTACAACAATCACTGATGAAATGGTACAAAAGCAACGCACTGCTAACACAATATGTAACTGAAAGATTACCGCTAGTTTCGCGTCCGAATGTAGTCCGAGCATAGATAGTCCGAGCATAGATAGTCCGAGCATAGATAGTCCGAGCATAGATAGTCCGAGCATAGATAGTCCGAGCATAGATAGTCCGAGCATAGATAGTGAGCATGGATAGTCCGAGCACAGATAGTCAGAGCGTAGATAGTCCGAGCATAGATAGATAGTCCGAGCATAGATAGATAGTCCGAGCGTAGATAGTCAGAGCGTAGATAGTCCGAGCGTAGATAGATAGTCCGAGCGTAGATAGTCAGAGCGTAGATAGTCCGAGCATAGATAGATAGTCCAAGCATAGATAGTCCGAGCGTAGATAGTCCGAGCGTAGATAGTCCGAGCGTAGATAGTCCGAGCATAGATAGTCCGAGCATAGATAGTCCGAGCATAGATAGTGAGCATAGATAGTCCGAGCATAGATAGTCCGAGCATAGATAGTCCGAGCATAGATAGTGAGCATAGATAGTCCGAGCATAGATAGTGAGCATAGATAGTGAGCATAGATAGTCCGAGCGTAGATAGTCCGGGCATAGATAGTCCGAGCATAGATAGTGAGCATGGATAGTCCGAGCATAGAAAGTACGAGCATAGAAAGTCAGAGCATAGATAGTCCGGATAAAATGTAAGCTAGCTATGTTCACCCGGGCTTGATTTCTTCTCTGATAATTTTTTTGCTTTAGTTCCCTCTTCTCTTCCTCACTGTTGTGTTGTTCGGGCTGTTTTGCTGTGTCTGCAGTTACAGCCAGAGGAGTTATAGCCACTTATGCTAACATGCTACTGTGTTTAGCAGCGCTGTAGAGGCTAGAGGACGCAGCCTCGTTCTGTGATTGGAGGAGAGCGGGCGTCACGCTAAGTCTCTACTCAGCACTTTTTACGGCCTGAATTCATACACAGCTGAATCAATGAGCTCAAGTTTTCTATTAAATGACGGATTATAATACAACTTGTACTGTATGTAGTAATAAGCATTTTTATGAATTCATTAGAAAAAAAAAATCGGGTATATCATCTTTAACAATTATGTAAAGTTCGAGACGGAGGCTGTGATTTTGGGTAAAACAACGCTACATTTATTTGATTTGAACACATGTTACTGACGACTTATGTAACAAAGACACATTATCTACTCAAAATCTTAAATTTGCAAAAAAAAACTTAAAACAATAAAATATGACCTATTTGTTGCACTGTCTCCACTTGTGCCTGATGCTTTCCTAGCTGTATCACTATATTGTCTTGTGTTGACAAATGAGCTATTCATGTCTTCTGCTAAAGTTGATCTTGTGTTAGGTATTAGCAAAAGATGGATATAGAAAGTCAGTCGATGTGAAGACGTGCTGCTAAGCCCAAAGCACAAAGATAAAGTTACTAGGAACCAAATCCAACGTATAGATGTCATATTCTGCCCCGCACTGCAACAATATCATGTTCCTCCTCCAGAGAACAGCGCTGGGAAACGAGAAATCTACTCAAATTTCCATTAAAATAGTCTGTGGATAGATTCATATTGAGGATTGATGCCGCAGACTATTTTTTCTCAAGTTCAAAAGCTATTATTATGATTATTATTAGAGCTGGTATTGAGGTTGAAGTCATAATTTCAGACAATAGCTGAAAATAGCAATAGCACACAAAACACACACAAAATATTACAATTCAATTATTATTATTTTGTATTGTCCTAAATTACGTCTCGGTGGACTTTCCAAAGCTGTTGATTTGTCAACAACGGATCAGAGAATCAAACAGTTCAATAAAAAACACATACAGCCATTGGTCCATAAGGAGCAGAGACCAATGTCCATAAAAGTTTCAATTACCGTCACTAAAAGATATTACCAGACTTTTTCCGTCTGTCATCCATCCAGAAATCACATTCACTTTGATCTGTCTCCTCTGATTTTTCAAAGTAGCAAACATGAACAACCACACATCCACTCCCAATACTTTTTTACAAATCCCCCAAAATCAAAAGCGGAAGTGGGAATGATAAAAAAAACCAAGTACCTTTCTGTCTCATCACCGGAGGAGGTTGGGAGCACATCTGCGGTCTGAGGCAGGAGGAGAGAGCTCATGGGACTGGTGTGAGTGTGGAAGGGAGGGGGGGGGAGGGGTAGGAGGGGGCTCAGGGGAGGGTCTGGGGGAGAAAGGGGGAGGGACCGGGCCGAGTGCTGGAGATGAGTGACGTTTACAGAGCTCTGAACTCACGGGAAAAGTTTGGAAATGCAGCAGTGTCTCGTTAACATTTCACAAACGCAGATGGTGCAGAGAGATGTCGTGACGAGATATACTGTATATTTAGATTCAGGAGGAGGAGGACGACAATGATTTTGGTGTTGAAAAAAAGAGCTTTGTTTGAGTTGTCGTCTCTTGTGTGACAGATGTGAAGCAGCCGTATAAAATACGATGGTTACACATGAGACAAAGCCATTTAGTCTGATTCCATGAACTGTTGCTTAGGGTTAGGGTCATTTTCTCATTCCAATGAAGACATTTCTTTCTCAAACAAGATCATTTGGCTTTGTCCCATTGGGAAATCTGATTTTGAAGCAGTCACAATGTTGTTTCTTGACACAATATTGAGAATTCTTCTAAATCACTATCTCTGCCAAGAGGTAATGTGATCACCAGCGTTTGTCTGTGAGAAGCAACTCAAAGTGATGGGAGGTTCAGGAAATGTGAACCATGATCCGAATCAACGCTTGGATGTAGAATTGTTTTTAAAGGAATGGAACTGCACATCTCGGCAGAAGTCTGTGCTCTACGAATGCTTTTCTAGTTGATATTGTTTTCTACAAAGACGTTCAGTTTCAGAGAGTTGTGAATTAATATTCTTTTAATAATGACAGTATCATGCAGCCACGCGACACTAGAGCAGATTAGGGATTCTAGGTTCTTCAGTTCTTCACTCATTCCTCACAATACAATAAAAAGCTATTCCTTTACTCTGATAAGATATTACTCACAGCTGCCTTGGGGCAGGCTGGCAGAAGCAAGGCAGCCATGTGCCATTTGAACATTTTTCTCGCAATAACTGTAACTTGCTGTTTGTTAATCTGTCTGAGAGCAACGTCAGAGAAACGAGTGCAATGGCCCAGTGAACCAGAGATTCAGTTCTGGATTTGATCCAAATCACAGTCTGGAGGCCAGAGGTGCAGGAAGAGCACCTCTCGATGGAGGTCTGCGCTCTACGAGTGCTTCTCTACGAGTGCTTTTCTACGAGTGCTTTTCTACGAGTGCTTTTGTTGTTGATGTCAATGGTCAGAACAATATAAACACAAGAACAATAGCTACCAGCTGCCAGTCAAACATGAAACTGCAAAAAGAGGTTTAGAGGTTTTTTCCACATCAGAGGAGACTGGAGCCAGAGTCACTGATGTCACTGATGTCACTGATGTCTCTGATGTCTCTGATGTCACTGATGTCTCTGATGTCACTGATGTCTCTGATGTCACTGATGTCACTGATGTCACTGATGTCACTGATGTCACTGATGTCACTGATGTCACTGATGTCTCTGATGTCTCTGATGTCACTGATGTCACTGATGTCTCTGATGTCTCTGATGTCTCTGATGTCTCTGATGTCTCTGATGTCTCTGATGTCTCTGATGTCTCTGATGTCACTGATGTCACTGATGTCACTGATGTCACTGATGTCACTGATGTCTCTGATGTCTCTGATGTCTCTGATGTCTCTGATGTCTCTGATGTCTCTGATGTCTCTGATGTCTCTGATGTCTCTGATGTCTCTGATGTCTCTGATGTCTCTGATGTCACTGATGTCACTGATGTCACTGATGTCACTGATGTCACTGATGTCTCTGATGTCACTGATGTCTCTGATGTCACTGATGTCACTGATGTCACTGATGTCTCTGATGTCTCTGATGTCTCTGATGTCTCTGATGTCTCTGATGTCTCTGATGTCTCTGATGTCACTGATGTCACTGATGTCACTGATGTCACTGATGTCACTGATGTCTCTGATGTCTCTGATGTCTCTGATGTCTCTGATGTCACTGATGTCACTGATGTCACTGATGTCACTGATGTCACTGATGTCACTGATGTCTCTGATGTCTCTGATGTCACTGGTGTCTCTGATGTCTCTGATGTCACTGATGTCACTGATGTCACTGATGTCACTGGTGTCTCTGATGTCACTGATGTCACTGATGTCACTGATCACAGACAGTCTGAGGCACGAGCTGTGTCTGTTCAGGTTATGTGACATCACACAGAAGAGGCTTGTTATGTAACCACCTTTATACTGTTGTCCATTCAATGAACATTCAACAGGATGGATTTACTCTGATGCACTGATGCTCCTGCTGCTCCCTCATCAGTGTGAGCCTCAGTGTGAACCTCAGTGTGAGCCTCAGTGTGTGAGTCAGTGTGAGTCAGTGTGAGCCTCAGTGTGAGCCTCAGGGTGAGCCTCAGTGTGAGCCTCAGTGTGAGCCTCAGTGTGAGCCTCAATGTGAGCCTCAGTGTGAGCCTCAGTGTGAGCCTCAGGGTGAGCCTCAGTGTGAGCCTCAGGGTGAGCCTCAATGTGAGCCTCAGTGTGAGCCTCAGTGTGAGTCAGTGTGAGTCAGTGCGAGCAGTGTGAGCCTCAGTGTGAGCCTCAGGGTGAGCCTCAGTGTGAGCCTCAGTGTGAGCCTCAGTGTGAGCCTCAGGGTGAGCCTCAGTGTGAGCCTCAGTGTGAGCCTCAGTGTGAGTCAGTGCGAGTCAGTGTGAGTCAGTGTGAGCCTCAGTGTGAGCCTCAGTGTGAGTCAGTGTGAGCCTCAGTGTGAGCCTCAGTGTGAGTCAGTGTGAGCCTCAGTGTGAGTCAGTGTGAGCCTCAGTGTGAGCCTCAGTGTGAGCCTCAGTGTGAGTCAGTGCGAGTCAGTGTGAGTCAGTGTGAGCCTCAGTGTGAGCCTCAGTGTGAGTCAGTGTGAGCCTCAGTGTGAGCCTCAGTGTGAGTCAGTGTGAGCCTCAGTGTGAGTCAGTGTGAGCCTCAGTGTGAGCCTCAGTGTGAGCCTCAGTGTGAGTCAGTAGTTACCGGACATCTCTGCCGGGATGCTGGCCAGCTTCTCACACAGGACGTAGTTGCTGGGGTCGATGAAGGGCATCTGTCCCATCAGAGACTGTTTGGGGATCAGGTACAGCACTTCTGCGATCTGCCCGTCTTCAATGATGGACATGCGGCGCACAGAGTTCTTCCGCTTGACCCGGTCCAGCACCACCATGTCGTTGCTGTGGCTGGAGCCGCAGATCCGACCCAGACTGTTCAGATTCATCCTGTCCAGAGAGTCCGCCAGGCAGTCCCGCGTGAACACCGACTCCAGCTGGGAGAGCATAAAGCAGCACTAGTGAAAGCTGAGTAGGTGTTTTGAGGGAGAGGCAGCCGCTAAGATGTTCACTAATCACTCTGCTCTGTCATGAGGTCGACCAACCGACTCCTGCTCCTCCCCAGTAAGCAGATTAGCCGTGGGAGGTATATTTTTAGGGTTGATCTTCACCGTGAACAGAGGATCTAGCTTGAGAACGTCTTCATCAGGTAACTCCCTTCCATTCAGTCCTACACACGTCACCAGCAGGTTCTGAGCTTCAATGACTGTGGGAAAAACAGAAGTATGAGGTTCTGCTGTAGGCGACACTCAATACATGATACACTACACACACAGCAAAAAATGATGAAGAACACCAAAAAAAATGGCTCAAAATAGGGCAACATATATCTAAGATTTGCCAATAGGACAAAGCAAAATGATCTTGTTTTAAAATGACACAAGAAATGTCTCTTATGGAATGAGAAAATTAACTCAAGCATTTATTACCTCATATTTTATCATTTTTTGCAGTGTACTAAACAATGCACTACACTACATTAGACTGAGGGCTACATACATGCCATGATAGTATGAAGTACAGTCTTGAGGCAGACAGAATATGCAACAGGCAGAGACAGGGACAGACCATGGACCACAATGAAACAGTCAGAACCACAGCAGGAACATGGGCCTGCAGTAATACAAGGGTAATACTATAATACATCTCTTATGGCTGCTGAGACATCATTGCAAATACAATCATTTGTTTTTTTTAAATTTAATTTAGCATTTAACACGACAACTTCATATGAACAAATAGGAAAGTGCTAATTCCTGATGGAGCTCAGGTTCTGGCCGTGGTTGGTGCAGCTGCAGACCCTCCATGTGCATGTGCTGCAGCTCAAGTTATAATTGCATGTTCAGTTTGAGTTGGTGTCGTTACCTCAGTGTGGTCCTGCATCCTGAACCTTCACCGCAGCTCGCAGAACAACATCATGTTAGAAATCATGCGTAAAGAGCGCCGCCTGCTGGATATAACGAGGAACAGAAATGGCTGGTCCTGGCTCGTGGCGACAAGGTTGTATGTTGTGTGTCTGGTATTCTAATATTCATGATATTTTATGAAACAAACCGATCAAAATCACCCGATTCATAAACACACAGACAACACAAAGATCACAGTATGCCATATCCACACTGACACACTCTGATACACACTGACACACACAAAACCACAAAGTGCATTTCTCTCACCCCGCTCTCTTTTATTGCACATGCAAAGAATACTGCGTCGTAAGACAACAACATGAAATGATTCCCTTTAAAATAAAATAAACAGATATAACAGTCTATGAAAACAACACGAGAGTTAGAGAGCACCGCCTGCTGGCTGTCCAGAGAATTACAACATGAATTTTAGACGTACAGATTTATAAAAAAGGAGGTACGTGATTAGAGTTTTTTTAAATGTAACAGTGAAAGGGATGCGAGCCCATGATATAAAAAGGTACAAAATACTTGGCAGTGGACGCTCTCTCTACACGAGAAGAGGCGTGCTCCACTAAAACATTATTAATTGATTGAATGTTGTGGATTCTCTTCTTCGTCGGTTTGGTCCAGTTCGGGGTTCAGCGTCTCTGTGTCCTCCTCTCTCTCCGTCTGTGCTGATTTTTTGGTCATCTTGTTCAAAATACCTCCCTGAAAAAAACGTTTAAGGAATATCATTTTTGAGTAACAGACAGATAAAATATAGAATAGGGGTGTGCGCTGTACTGTACCTGTCTGTGGTCCACAATATTCAGCAGCACAGAGGTGATAATACAGCCGATCGTATTGGCCAACATGAAGATCATCATTCTCTGCCAACGCCACAATGGAATCTTATCACTGCAGATGAAAGAAAATATTTAAAACAATAAAAACACAAACACGGCAAAAAGTTTTAAAAAATAAGTCAAAGCTTTGCCGATAGAACCAGATAGATTACGGTATTTTTCGGATTATAAGTCGTGGTTTTTGTCATAGTTTGGCCGGTGTGATATTATTACATTTATATTTCAATTTGTTTTTTTATTTACCGTAAAATATCAAACAATAGCCCAGATTATACAGATTTCCGAAAAACACGGTATTTTGTTTTGAAAGGGTACAAGAAATGTCTCCCAAATTAAGATAAAAACTCCTTGATTTAAGCATTTACTGCCTTATATTTTTGCACTTTTTGCAGTGACCAATTTAAGTTTTTACTCAAAGTTATTCACACCTTGATTTGGATCCTAAAATCTGCCCGACAACCAGATTGGACACACCGATTCCAATCATCTGAATAGACGTAGCGAGGCCCATGGCGGTCCCTAAGGTTGCCTGAGGAACCACCAGGGGGATGGATGGCCACATGCTCGCCTGGGATGGAGCAGAGAAGGAGTTTAAAAAATGTACTTTTCCATACAGTCGTTTTTTTTTCTAAAGTGTTGTGAAACTTACTGCGGCAAAAGAGTAGGTGACTCCCAGCCAAACGGTGGACACGAGGGGAGGGACGAAAGTGAACGCCAGCAGACCGAAAACAGGCAGCGTGAAGACGGCACAAGCCACGGCGAAAACTCCACGCAGACCCACGAAATCCTACACCCACACACACACACACGCACACACACACATGCACACACACACACACGCACACACAGATATGAATTTATACTGTCACAATGTCAGAATGTGCAATAACTATATATTTCTTGCACTAGAAAATACACCATTTTATACGTTCTTCTTATTACTCTAAAGTCTGTATTTGATTCTTGCTTCTTCATTATGCTAAAGTTGGAAATGTTTTCAAAATGATTTTATACTTGCTTTATTATGCTATTATGAGACTCTGCGCCTGCCACTCTGCGCGCCTGCCACTCTGCGCGCCTGCCACTCTGCGCGCCTGCCACTCTGCGCGCCTGCCACTCTGCGCGCCTGCCACTCTGCGCGCCTGCCACTCTGCGCGCCTGCCACTCTGCGCGCCTGCCACTCTGCGCGCCTGCCACTCTGCGCGCCTGCCACTCTGCGACTGGGACCCCGCGACTGGGACTGTGCGCCTCATGTGTTTTTTAAATTGCATTGAAACTGAATAAAGCATCTTTCCATCTAAAGATTTTCATTTTGCTTTTACTTTAGCATAGAGTTATTATTAATTTATCTTGCTGTGCTGTGGGATCCTCATTCCTGCTGCTCTGTAACCGGTGATGCAACACTGACATTTCCTCGCTGTGGGACAAACAAAAGGATCTCTTCATCTTCTCCTCCATCTGTAAACAGAGCACTTACGATGAGGATTCCCACGCTGGCGGACAGGACCAGAGAGGAGTCGTACACTGCTCCTGCGATGTACGAGGCCTCCTTCTGACTGTAGTCACTGTACTTGTCCTGGATGAACTTGCTGCGACAGACAGACGACTTTATGTAGCGTGGCGCCTGGCAGGAGATGTATGGTGATGTGTTGTTGTCATTACCTGGCATCCGCAATGAATGGGAAGATTCCGTTGTAGAAAAACATAATGGTGAGAACCAGCAGCCAGTATCTCAGCGAGAGCAGCTTCACGTCTTGAATCCTCTGCAAAGTAAACAAGATATATTGGTCAAACTTTAGATAAGATTAGATAAACTTTATTGATCTCAGAATGGAGAAATTAACAAGTCACATAGCTCCGACTCATTGGCAGCTAATTAAGTGCTAATTAGTGTACCCTAACCAAAACCCTTGACTCAAACCGAGAGTCAGTTAGTAGTTAATTAATTAAATACCAAAGTTAACCATCATCATAATATCATAATAATCCAGACCAGAGCAGAGAGGTTTCATGGTCCCAAACAAGGAGAAAAATTCTATTAAAGAATTCAGAATTTCACTCTGAACCAGAGCAGAGGAAACAGTCCAAACCAAGCAGACTCTGTAGACATCAACCAGAGAACAGAAAGCAGCTCATCACCAGCGGCTGCACCAAACTCTGCTGCTGCGACCTGTCCTGCACATTATTATTAGTGTTAGCAACTTTTAGAATCATGTATTTATGCCTTTGTGTGTGTGGATGTGTTTCTGCGGCTGGACACCTGCCTTTCTCCAACGGGGGTCGAGAAAGTATCTATCTCTCTACAATATGTGAGAAAGTCTAAACATTTCTCATCTTTGAAATATGGACAGAAAAAGCATAACTCTTTTAAAATGTACTAATATGTAAGGCGACCTTGAGTATCTAGAAAGGCGCCTAACAGATAAAATATTATTATTATTATTATTATCAATCTCTAAATGCTTTTCGTACCACTTTTCTAGACTCCTCTTGAATGGCGCCGTCCAGACCCAGCTGCTTAATTCCAACCTTGTCCAGGGAACTCACAATGACGGCCGAGGTGAAGCCAAGGACGCACAGAAACGCCCCTAAGAAGACAAATTAATCATTATTAATCTGAATTCCGGTTTCTGATCTAGACTAGAGCTGCCCTACCTCCCCAGAGCGTCCACTGCATGCCAAACCCTTCTTCAAACATCTGCGTGAAGAAGAAGTTCAGCACCGACCCCAGACGAGAGAAGGCCAGGGTCAGGCCGAACGCCAACGCCAGCTCCTTCCCCTTGAACCAGAACGCCGTGATCCGGTTCTGAACGACTGAGAAAACACAACAACAACATTATAACACAATACGCAACACAATAAATAAATACAATGCAAAAGGAAGGGTCCGTTACTGGTGAGAGAGCCGTTGCCGGAGCCGAAAAGCAGCCGTCCCGTCAGCATGAGGGGCAGAAGATACGGGGTCCCTTTGAAGTGGGACCCCAAGGCAAACAGGGAGGAGCCCAGAACACACAGGAAGGAGAAGAGAAAGACTCCGACTGTAATCAGAAGGAAAAAAATAAATCACATCAATACACGTCGTCAAGGAGACAATCTCAGCCTGCTGTGATCAACGGACTCACAGCGGTTTCCCAGTTTGTCGATCAGAAAGCCGGCCATTATCACCACGATGGCGTTCCTGAAGACACAGAGGAGACTTTTTAACCCGGTGATCTCGTCATTGTGGATATGGATTAACGCTAGATTAACACTCCCAGGATTCTGAAACTACTCAAGCCGTCGTTTTGACTGCTCCCATTCAAATGATATCTTGTGTTTGTGTGTATTTATGTATCCCCACTGTTATTTGAAATTAATGGAAAAATCTATGGTGAAAAACAGTTTTGAGGAGAAATTTCCAGTTTTATCAAAAGTAATGTATTAGTTTTTTTTACTTTACTTTAACTACATGCTAACACTGGTGAAACTGGAAGACATGTTTATACTTTTTCTCATGCTTAAAGATAGAGATTATATACTTACTTCATAATACGCTAAAGTGAGAGATTAATTCTTGCTTCTTCATCATGCTAAAATTGGAGATTATAGATTGTTTCCTTATTGTGCTAAAGATGGAGATTTTATTTTGGGTTATTTTATTTAGTGTAGAGTATAGAGCTGTGTTTGTTCATCTCGAGCTGTGTGAACCGGTGATGCAACACTGACATTTCCCCACTGTGGGACGAATAAAATATCTTTTAATCTCACTTTCTTAATGTAATTCATAGTTTATCCTGTTCATTGGAAAGCAAAATCATTGAAAGTGTTGTGTTGCTATGGTAACTCGCTGCTCTCGGGTGGGAAACGAGTGCTCTGGGAGTTCAAGAGAAAACTTAAAAAAATAAAAAGATCATTCAATTAAAAAAGTATAGAAACAGAAAAAGTCACTAAGTTCGGCGGACCACAAATACGCTGAGTCATTACACTTAAGCCGTCAAATTGACTGCTTTGAGAGTTCTAGTGTTAAGTGAGAAAGACTGGTGTGTTGTCCCGGTGTGTCGTGCCGGTGTGTCGTGTTGGTGTGTCGTGTGAGTGTGTCGTGTGAGTGTGTCGTGTTGGTGTGTCGTGCCGGTGTGTCGTGCCGGTGTGTCGTGCCGGTGTGTCGTGTTGGTGTGTCGTGTGAGTGTGTCGTGTGAGTGTGTCGTGTGAGTGTGTCGTGTTGGTGTGTCGTGCCGGTGTGTGTGCCGGTGTGTCGTGCCGGTGTGTCGTGTTGGTGTGTTGTCGTGTTGGTGTGTTGTCCCGGTGTGTCGTGTTGGTGTGTCGTGCCGGTGTGTCGTGTTGGTGTGTTGTCCCGGTGTGTCGTGTTGGTGTGTCGTGCCGGTGTGTCGTGTTGGTGTGTCGTGCCGGTGTGTCGTGCAGGTGTGTCGTGTCGGTGTGTCGTGCAGGTGTGTCGTGCAGGTGTGTCGTGCTGGTGTGTCGTGCCGGTGTGTAGTGCCGGTGTGTCGTGCCGGTGTGTTGTGCAGGTATGTCGTGTCGGTGGTGTGTCGTGCGGTGTGTCGTGCCGGTGTGTAGTGCCGGTGTGTCGTGCCGGTGTGTTGTGCAGGTATGTCGTGTCGGTGTGTCGTGCTGGTGTGTCGTGCCGGTGTGTAGTGCCGGTGTGTCGTGCCGGTGTGTTGTGAAGGTATGTCGTGTTGGTGTGTCGTGCCGGTGTGTCGTGCAGGTATGTCGTGTCGGTGTGTCGTGCAGGTGTGTCGTGCAGGTGTGTCGTGCCGGTGTGTCGTGCCGGTGTGTCGTGTCGGTGTGTCGTGCCGGTGTGTCGTGTGGGTGTGTAGTGCCGGTGTGTAGTGCCGCTGTGTCGTGCCGGTGTGTCGTGCCGGTGTGTCGTGCCGGTGTGTCGTGCCGGTGTGTCGTGCCGGTGTGTCGTGCCGGTGTGTCGTGCCGGTGTGTCTCGTGCCGGTGTGTGTGTGGGTGTGTCGTGCCGGTGTGTTCGTGCCGGTGTGTCGTGCCAGTGTGTCGTGCCAGTGTGTCGTGCCGGTGTGTCGTGCCGGTGTGTCGTGTCGGTGTGTGTGCCGGTGTGTCGTGCCGGTGTGTCGTGTCGGTGTGTCGTGTCGGTGTGTAGTGCCGGTGTGTAGTGCCGGTGTGTCGTGCCGTGTGTGTTGTGCCGGTGTGTCGTGCCGGTGTGTCGTGCCGGTGTGTTGTGCCGGTGTTTCGTGCGGGGTGTGCCGTGTGGGTGTGTCGTGCCGGTGTGTCGTCCCGGTGTGTTGTGGTGGGTGTCCCGTGTGGCTGTGTTGTCCCGTGTGTCGTGTGGCTGTGTTGTCCCGGTGTGTGTCGTGTGGTGTGTCGTGCCGGTGTGTCGTGTTGGTGTGTCGTGCCGGTGTGTGTGTCAGGTATGTGTTGGTGTGTCGTGCAGGTGTGTCGTGCGGTGTGTGTGTGGGTGTGTCGTGCCGGTGTGTAGTGCCGGTGTGTCGTGCCGGTGTGTGTCGTGTCGGTGTGTCGTGCCGGTGTGTCGTGTGGGTGTGTAGTGCCGGTGTGTAGTGCCGCTGTGTCGTGCCGGTGTGTCGTGCCGGTGTGTCGTGCCGGTGTGTAGTGCCGGTGTGTCGTGCCGGTGTGTCGTGCCGGTGTGTAGTGCCGGTGTGTTGTGCCGGTGTGTCGTGCCGGTGTGTTGTGTGGGTGTGTAGTGCCGGTGTGTTGTGCCGGTGTGTTGTGCCGGTGTGTTGTGCCGGTGTGTTGTGCCGGTGTGTCGTGCCAGTGTGTCGTGCCAGTGTGTCGTGCCGGTGTGTCGTGCCGGTGTGTCGTGTCGGTGTGTAGTGCCGGTGTGTCGTGCCGGTGTGTCGTGTCGGTGTGTCGTGTCGGTGTGTAGTGCCGGTGTGTAGTGCCGGTGTGTTGTGCCGGTGTGTCGTGCCGGTGTGTCGTGCCGGTGTGTCGTGCCGGTGTGTTGTGCCGGTGTTTTGTGCGGGTGTGTCGTGTGGGTGTGTAGTGCCGGTGTATCGTCCCGGTGTGTTGTGTGGGTGTGTCGTGTGGCTGTGTTGTCCCGGTGTGTCGTGTGGCTGTGTTGTCCCGGTGTGTTGTCGTGTGGGTGTGTAGTGCCGGTGTGTCGTGTTGGTGTGTCGTGCCGGTGTGTCGTGTTGGTGTGTCGTGCCGGTGTGTCGTGCCGGTGTGTCGTGTTGGTGTGTCGTGTCGGTGTGTTGTGTGGGTGTGTCGTGCCGGTGTGTCGTGCCGGTGTGTCGTGCCGGTGTGTCGTGTGGGTGTGTCATGTTGGTGTGTCGTGCCGATGTGTCGTGCTTACGTCCAGGCGTAGATGGCGTAGAGCAAGTTGTACTCCTGAGGGCTCATGCCGAGTCCCTCCACACAGTCCGTGGTGGAGTTGGTCCCGGTGGTGTTGGGGCAGGTCAGATTCTGAACCAGATCCAAACGGCATTAACCATCAAACACAGGAAATCTCACACTGGTTTTTAGGAATCAGAAACAAGTAAGTTGAGTAACTATTGGTATTTAGTTAGTTTTAGCACTGCTTTAAGCTGCGGGATCTTTTTTGTTTCATCAATAATACTTTGTCTCAACAGTCGTTTATAAGTCACAAACCATCTCATTGGATAAAATTTTTATCTTTTGCGTACTTAAGAACCCTGTGAGTTGCTATTAGACGCAGAAGGGTCTAAGGCAGGGGTCTCCAACTGAGCCACCAGTAGCTCGCCACCCCCTTAAAAGGGGGATTTAGAAGTGAACAAATCAAATAATATACTTCATACTTCAGATTGTATTATTCCTGATCTTTTTTTAATAATTGTAAAGTGCACAAGTAACAAATATGCAATGATAAATAATAATATAAGGCTCCTTCACACCAATTTATCACCAAATTTTTCCCAGGGCCGTTTAAAGGAGTAGCTCTCTGCCTTTACCGTCCGGACAAAGTAACTCTCTGGGTCTAAGGAGAGTGGTGATGATCCAGGACACTCGATTTTCAACTACATTCATGGTCATTTATGGTCATTTATGGACATTTATGGTCATTTATGGTCATTTATAGACATTGGCCTCTGCCCCTTATGGTCCAATGGCTCTATGTGTTTTTTATCATTTCATTTTCTGCGTTTTAACGGTTTGATTCTCTGATCTGTGGTTGGCAAATCCACTGCTTTGTAATGTCCTCCGAGATTGTGATTTAGGGCGATACAAGAATGAATTGAATTGAACTATTTGACACAGAGTTGTAATCTTTTTGTCACTTTTAGGTCAGAAAAAAGCTGACCCGGAGATGCAACACAAAAATACATTCACGTGAAAACTAGAGACAGAAGCAAACTGTTTTGAGAGCGAGGGATTAGATAAATTGATTTTTTTTGTAAGACACATACCCCTTGGAACTGATCTTGCAAAACACTCGGCATGTCAAAGCAGAAGTAGGATCCAAACGTCAGCAGACAGTTGAAGAACAGCACCACGAACCGATAATAAGCTGTGGACATAATTATTAATGAAACGAGAAAAATAAAAAGTTAATGAGAGAATACAAGGACAGAGTCGGGCTAAAACACATCCGCTCACACTCAGGCATTAATCGATTTAGAATGTTAAGATCCCTAAAAGGTCAGTGAATATATGTTTTTATTTACATTTGACCAAATCAAAGCTAAATAACGCTGGAGAAGGCAAGGCAAGTTTATTTGTACATCACAGTTCATAACACAAGGCAACTCAAAGTCCTTCTCAAAACAAGGTATTTTTTATTGTACATAGAATAAATAATAACAATAATATTTCTTGCACAAAAGAGACTATATTTTTAACCTTTTTAACATGTTTGCACACTGAGTGATTCCATCATCCACTCCATCATTTGACTACTACGTCAATACTTCATTAGTTGTGATTAATCAGTAAACACACATCTCAGTTTGGAGATGTGTTCAGCCTTCAACCATAACAATAAGCCCCTTACATATTTCCTTTACCTATTGCCATTGCATTAAAAATAGATTAAGATAAAGAGATCCTTTATTAATTCCACAGTGGGGAAATTTCAGTGTTGCATCACAAGTTACAGAGCAGTAGGAATGAGTAGCACACAACACAAGACAAATAAATAATAACTCTATGCTAAAATAAAATAAAATCTCTAAATCTTGCATAATAAAGAGGCAGTCTAAAATCTACTAAAATCTAGTTCAGCATGACAAACCCCTGACTTTAGTATAATAATAAGCTATATTATTTTTATTTTTTTTACAATGACGCAAAATACTGTAACCAATGAATACATCGTATGCAGACTTCCTTGCGGTCTCATGAGTTTGTAGACGGCCCTCATCCATGGATCTATAATAATTAATAACCCTCATCACTTGCAGACTTTTCAAACACGGATGACTGAGTAAGCTAAAACTAAAACACACAGGACAAAGGGTGGCAAAAACAAACAAAATTGTTACTACACAAGGCACTAACATCACACAGACTTACCTTTCTCCGCAGGTTGAGCCATTGCGCAAGAATAGGTTGATAGCGAGCAGATAAAGTTATATAAATCACATTATTTGGTGTTGTTTACATGGGCACCGTGCTGCTGCTGCTGCTGCTGCTGCTGCTGCTGCTGCTGCTCTCCACTCACTGCAGATCTACAAACGATACGGATACAGATTTGTTGCTGCATTTTCACTTCCGGGTCATTTATACATCGAGACTTGTTTTAACGTCACACCAACTACTTCCGCTGGAAACATAACGCAAATCTAATATACGATTAACAACGTAGTTTTAACAATTGCCAAATATTCCAACTTATAACATAAATTAAAGCATATAGAGTTATCAAAAAAATACTTCTCTCTAAATCTAAATGTTCCTTATTCTACATCCAAATGCAACTAATACTTCCCTATTCTAAATCCACATTCTACAAATACCTCATTATCCTTCCTTCTCAGTTTAATAACGTTCGACATAAACATTAAAATAATTATTTAAAATGTTATTCGACCAAGTCTCATAAAAAGGTCCTTTCTAAAGCATAAAGAACATATAGGAATCAGGAAAGGGCGCAGAGGGACAAGGAAAGAAGGAATCTTTGCTGAATTCGGATGCTTTCGATGACTCAAATTGTCCCCTTACGGACACCGTCAGAGAAGACAGGGGCAACTAATTATAAACAATAACAGGCAGTGCAGAGGAAAGTGTGCAGGAGAATCGTGTACGTAATCTATGATGGATAAACTTTCTACGTTGCGTCGCGCCACAACATGGGAAATATCTGAGTCTGAGGATGAAACTGAGGTAGAAAGCAATCAGATCCCAGAATTAAATGATCATAAGGAGAAAGCTACTACGCCCCCATCAATAACACTGAGCAGAGATACACACTGTGACAACACTGCTCCATCTCCTCCAGCAGCTAAACCCAAACCCACACAGACTTTGCCTCTTCCTCCCCAACCCTCATCATCATCATCACCATCCCCATCAGCAGCAGCAGCAGGCTCCCCCAGTCCCACCAGGAAACGCAGGAGCAAAGAGGAGATAGAACTGGACAAGCAAAGGGCCCAGGAGAGAAAGGAGCTCAGGGAGAGGGCTAAGGCTGCCAAAGCTCTGGAGAAGGAGGAGAAGGAGGCAGAGCAGCAGCAGAGGAGAGATGCTGCTCAACATCTGAAGGCACTAAGACCAGAGAACATCCTCAAATGTCTCACTGTGTGCATAGATCCAGGTACAGTACAAGTTTATCATCATTAAACGACATTATGTACTATTACGACAGCTGCAAGACGGCCACAATCATTTAAAGCTGAGGTGCCTAACTTTCAAGCCACAAATAATTGAACAACGTAATCAAATCTATTTACTTCCTGATTAACCATTTGGTCTATTGCTTTATTACTCATCTTCAGGATCAGAAGTATTTGTATTGCTGTTTTAAGTAACACGAAGTCTCAAACTAGGAATTGGCTGCAATGGGTTAAAAATAGGTAAAAGCATAGATCATATTTATCAAATCAGACAGAAAGATTTCATGATGTAATTTTTGTAAACTCAAGATCAATAAAGTTTTATCATATTTTATTTCTCCAGCTCTGCTACAACAAGAAGGTTCTGATATTCTGCTCGGGAGGTTGACTTCTTTAAACTGGACATTTCAACTGGAAAGTCAGCAGCTCACTCATTCCATCACGTGGACTAGAACACTCCCAGAGGTACTGACCGTATGTACTGCATGTATGTACTGCATGTATGTACTGCATGTATGTACTGCATGTATGTACTGCATGTATGTACTGCATGTATGTACTCCTTGTATGTACTGCATGTATTTCAAAATCCTTTCATAAATACTGCTGTTACAAACCTTTTTTTCCCAGGATGGAGATAAAGTGGTGGAGGAAGAGCAGGTTCTGTTGGTGATTGGGTGGAGTGACTTCTTAGACTTGCTCAGTGCTGTGAAGGTGAGTGGTCTGTGCTTCTGTGAAAACATGAGTCTAGCTCCAATGATGCTGTTGTCTTAGAAGCTGCTGGAGAGCGGAGGTGAAGGGGCACATGGGAAATCCTTTTTCAGCCCATTACAGGAGTTTTTGAATCGAGAAGCAAAGAAGGTGGTGACGATCTTGGTGACGGACTCTCCTCTTGAATACACGTGAGAACTTTGTGTGATTTTAGAAAAGAGGAAACGATTGACTGTTCTTTGCTGAATGCAGGAGTTCTGTGAGTGACGACTCGTATGAGGACACACTGGCCTCTGAACTAGGAATGGACCAACTGCAGATTGAAGAGGTTTCTATTCTTTCCACATTGTTCTATGTGGATGATAATACATCTGGTATTATCATAGAAACATATTTGACCTGCTGTGTTTCCCTCAGGTCCTGGTCCACCTTCAGCTGTATAAGAATGTGTCTGTAGTGTTCGTGGAGGGCTGGCAGGCGGTGACCGACCAGGTTTCTGCTCTGACCAAAGCTTTGTCTAAACGTCCTTATAAGTACGCAGTCCAGAACGCTGGAATAGTTGTCGCAGAGTTCTTGCTAATGTTTGTGCTGTAGACTGTTGACAGAGCGCTCAGAGCTGCCTTTCTGTGTGGACGGCTCGTGGGCCAGCGGGGCGCGGGTGCAGAGAGACGGCTCTGGCCTGGGGCAGGTGTGGCCTCTACAGCTTCAGCAGCTGAACAGAGTCAGTGCTGTTGTGGCTGCGACTGTCGCTGCAGAGTATCAGTCTCCTCAGCTCCTGCTGCAGGTCTGTAGGTTTCTCTGCTCCTCTGTATCTCTGCATCTCTGCTCACTGCACATCTGCATCTCTGAACTTCTGCATGTCTGCTCACTGACTTTTGGATTTTTACATATGTGTGTTCTGATGTCATGTTATTGCCAGCTTCAGTTTTATGGTCCTGTGTTTTAGGCTTACCAGAAGTTAGAATCTGAGGTTGAGAGAAAAGCTTTGCTCGCTGGTCTTCTGATAAAGACTGAAGGCAAAGAGAGACGCATCGGACCAGAGATCTCCTCCAGAGTTTACCGCTGCTTCACGAGCCAAAACCCTCAGCTGGTCCTGGACTAGTCTGAGGACAGTGTCACATGGTTTTAATGAAACACTAGCTGCACTTGGACACAACAAGTCGACCAGAGATCATGTTATTTATGACAAGTTATTTATAATCATGGAAGCAGAATGCTGAAGAAATAAATCATGTTTTGTATTGAGTACGCTCAAATGATAATTGTATTTTTTATTTAAAAACATAGAGTAAAAAAGTACAGAAAATAATAAAAAGAATATTATCTGTTTACAAAACAGAGTATTTACCCAGAATCCTTTGCCTGAGTAGCATGCAGCAGAATCTCCATTTGTCTGAATGGAAAACAATACTTTGAAAACCAGAGCTCCTAATTGTATTTAAGTAAAAGTGATCATTTTATCAATATCTGTCCAGGTTTATTACTTGCTTATATTTAATGTTGTATAACCTACGCATGCAAAAGTTCTCATACGTGTCGTCAAACGCTGCTTCTCTGACGTCCTGCAGGAGATTTGGCAAAGGGTCTGTAAAATTAAATGACTTGAGTGAATGTTGTGGTCATGTCCAGCGGCACCTCTTCCTCTGGTAATCCTCAGGCTCTGAGCTGCAACTGTCGTCGTCAGAGGTCAGGGGGCAGGGGCAGGTGTGAGCCTGGGTCTGCCCGGGGCTCTGCTGAGGGACAGGGTCAAAGAGACTGGGGCTGGGGCACTGGTGTGGGACAGGGTCAAAGCGACTGGGGGAGGCACATTCCCTCAGACCCGACACAGAGTTGGGGCTGATGTTGGGGCTGATGTTGGGACTGGGGCTGGAGGACAGACTCATGTCTTCACAGCAGATGTCTGACAACTGCACACCGGGCTCTGAAGTGTCATTACTGTGAGGGCTGTGGTTTAAGGAGAAGACCCAGCCCATCTGTGCGCTGAGGAGGCCGTGCAGCCCCGGGGGCAGGTGCAGAGCCCCCAGCAGGTCCTCATGGTGGGGGGCCATGCGCCGCAGCTGCACACAGCACAGGTACTGCAGAGAGGTGGCGGTGGTGCAGGCTCGGATCACCTTCATACTGCTCTTGGCCGCGGTGGAGCACGCCATGGGGTAGAACTTCTTATTGGGTAACTTGGCAGCAGCGACACCTGGAGGTGAGAGGAGAGAGGCATCAGATCATGTGACTGTGGTTCAGGATCACAGGAGCTGTACCGATGCAGACGCGGTTCTTGTAAAAGGTCAGAGTGCCGTGCCATGTGTCCAGATGGACCCCGATGATGGACCCTTGACCAAAGCGAGAAGAGAACCTTACTTTGTCTCCTTTGTGCTGGAACAGTCCTTCAGGAGAAGAGCCAACGGTTAAAGGTTTGTCCCAGGGTGAAGTCACAGAAGGAGCAGTGTGAATACCTGTGTAGGACAGGCCCCAGCTGTCCTCATCGTGGCCCAAGAAGCTGCCAAAGCTGTATTTGAACTTGTCCAAGTTCACTTCCTTTGTTCCTATTCCCAACATCTGCAAACGGCGACAGACAAAGAAACATTAGTTTTGTATCCTTCTGAAATGAATGCAAAGAGCCGGTACCCACCATGTCTGTCCCATACACAGGAGAGGTCATCTTCACCTCCCAGAAGTGCTGTCCCTCTGTCAGCTCCCTGCTGCCTCTGATGGCGGCTGTGCCACAGCTGTAGTCTGAGTGAAAACTCACTTTCCTCTTGTCACAGCTCAAGAAGGTTCCGGTGACTTTGGACTTGTCATCCCAGACCCAGTCAAAGTCTGCATGTAAGAAAGATGGGATTCATTCACACATTCACTATGTTAATTAATACAATATTAATTATGTTATTAATATAAAAATAAAGTATTCATGTATTTATCTTTACATCAGATCTTAAGTTATACAATGATTATTGATTAGGATTTAAACAAGAACATACGTCTAATGCCACATGTACTTTTCCACCTGCACACAGAAGCATTCACCTTGGTCCTCCTCCCCACACTTGCAGTCACTGATGAGGGTGAAACTGTTCACGATGGCCCCCAGAGTGGTCTCGTCGTTCAGCTGACACTGGCAGAAGGACTCCCCCGTCACTGGGGCCGTACTGGGCAGAGCCTGCACCTCAGGGACAGTCTCCAGCTGATCCATGTCCAAGAGCAGCTCCTCAATCTGACCAACAGCACAAGAAGAAGCCATCGCATTCACACAAGAGTCCATCTCGCTCTGAGTCCTGAAGTCTGCTGCCTACATGACTTTCCTCACGCTCTTGGACATATATCTCAGTCCCTAAAAGCTGCTCTGGATTCCTATAGGCCGGTCAAGTCATGTGCACGAGATGTAAAATTAGATTCATTCCAAAAATACAATCCCTTGAGACCTTCTTTGCCCTAGTAACGTGCTCAAAACCATTTTACACTCAGTGGAAAACTACTGGAAACTCTAGTGACCCATTTGCGCTTTACGACATTTGCATTTGATACTCGCTTTGGCTTGTGTTCTAAATGCAGCATGGCCTACCTGTGTGGCTTCCTGTTGCTCCTCTGCCGGGTCCCGTGTCTGGATCTGGGCCATGGCATCTGCTTCTCTCTGGGGCTCAGTCCAGGCCAGGCACGCTCTGCTGGTCCTGGCCCTTCTCAGCATAGCAGCTCTGTGGACAGCAGGTCGACACCTTAGGACCAGCTGGCACATGCACACACTCAGCCACACGCACACTCAGCCTGCTGTTTGAGGGCAGGAATACAGAATCTGTGTCATATCAAAGTCTCACATTTAGGAACGAGATTTGATTCAAAGATAATGCCTATGATTGCTACATTTGATGCTGTTTCAATGAGAAATGTTGAACAGATACCTTGGCCCAGTATTGTGGTAGAGTGATGCTCTTTCTCATTTGTTCATTTATTATATCTGAGGGGGTTCTTGAATACGTTTTGTTCTATTTGTACAGTGATTTAAATACTATATTTTCAGCTCAAAATGTATCATCTATTACTGTCCCACATTTTTAAAGCAGCCCTGTTTGTTACAAGTCTCTCCATGGCCTCGCACCAAAGTATCTGTGACCTGTTATAGCCATATGAACCAAGGAGGACTGAGGAGCACAGGGACTGGCCTTCTGCTCGGACTCTCGGGAGCACAGGGACTGGCCTCATGCGGGGACTCTGGGGAGCACAGGGACTGGCCTCATGCTGGGACTCTGGGGAGCACAGGGACTGGCCTCATGCTGGGACTCTGGGGAGCACAGGGACTGGCCTCATGCTGGGACTCTGGGGAGCACAGGGACTGGCCTCATGCTGGGACTCTGGGAAGCACAGGGACTGGCCTTCTGCTCGGACTCTCGGGAGCACAGGGACTGGCCTCATGCTGGGACTCTCGGGAGCACAGGGACTTGTCTCATGCTGGGACTCTGGGGAGCACAGGGACTGGCCTTCTGCTTGGACTCTCGGGAGCACAGGGACTGGCCTCATGCTGGGACTCTCGGGAGCACAGGGACTTGTCTCATGCTGGGACTCTGGGGAGCACAGGGACTGGCCTTCTGCTGGGACTCTCGGGAGCACAGGGACTGGCCTCATGCTGGGACTCTGGGGAGCACAGGGACTGGCCTCAGGCTGGGACTCTGGGGAGCACAGGGACTGGCCTCCTGCTGATGCCCAGAGTCAGGGCTAAACATGGGGAGGCAGCATTTACATTTACATTTATGCAGCGAAAATCTGAAACAGTCTTCCTGAAAATGTGAGACAGGTTCTACTCTAACCATGTTCAAATCCAGGTTAAAAACAGTTTAGCTGAGCCTATACTGAAGGATGGAATCTTCACTCTTTTTAATGTACTGGGATTTGTCTGTATTCATTTATCGTCTTATTGTCTCTATCCTGTTTTGTTAAGCACTTTGCCGTGTAGGAACTGTGCGATACAAATAAACTTGCCTTGCCTCATGACGCATTTCTTTCATGTAGCTACAGTAACTTTACCTCGGTAAACAGTGGCACGTTCACACCAAATGCCAGATGTCACAGCAGCAGGTGCAGGAGCCATATAATGTAGATTAGTCTGTGGCTGGTCTTACTTTAATTGACTCTTACCCTACATACATACATCTACACACACATACATCTACACACACATCTACACACACATCTACACATACATACATCTACACACACATACATCTACACACACATCTACACACACATACATCTTCAACAAGAACGACACATTCAGCAGAGCACAGGCCATTTCAGTAGTTTTTACCCTCTCAATACGCTAAAGAAGGCTGCGTATGGAATGATTGAATGAGTGATCACAACAGTATCCTCTGTACCGCTATGGACCATGTCCCTGTACTCCAGAAGTCTCCAACCATTTTCAATATTACAGCTATTTTTATAGAAGAGGCAGAGAGCGACTCCCTTTGGAGTCATAATAAAAATCTATGTAAGAAATATGACAGTGGAGAACACATATGGAGAGCACATGTGAAGTATATATATCACCCTATATTCAAACTTATAATAGATATGCAATGACACATAATGTATATTCATTTGGGATCATGTGTTCAATTCTTGTCATTTGGGGAGCAACCTGAAAGGGGCTGCAGAGCTCCTGGGAGACCCCTGCTGTATTCTCTCACTACACTTTTCTGTCCACAAAACTATTCATAATTCTGTCTTACCTCGCGGTGGTCTTCTTGGACACTGTTTTGCAGTGGTTCATTTGGATTCCAACCTCTATGTGCAGATCTAACTGAGACAGGTGCGCTGCGTGTGAACCCTGTCCCACTTTTCCAAGGACCAGACGTAAACATTACTTGTCCACGCCCCCTGCGGCTTGCATTGGACAGAACCCGTGTGGGGGGCGGAGTCAAGTCTATGGTCTCATTTAAACAAATGTACAAACACATATCAAGCCTCATGATTTAGAGGATAAAGGAATTCAGTGTTTGTGACCAATACATTTGGCTTTGAAGGCTCACTTTAATAACAATACACAGAAAAGTGCGCAACGTAATGTGATTGGTGCTGAAGTGAAGAAGGCGGGGCTCGAGCTCGAAGTGAGGTCGGTGATTGGTCAGTGTGTCATGCGATGCGGAAGTGTTTGGTTTTGCTCGGTGTTTGCATGACATGCTGAAGGGTCCATCCGGTCACATAACGAGAAATATGGCAGAAAATACAGGTAGCTAATGTAACGTTTCTATCTGTAGTGTATTTGAGTGAAATAACAGTCGTTTTTGTTCATTTGTGATCGGACTTTAGCTTGTGTAGCCTGTGCGTGTGGATGCTGTATTAGCCCGTCAAATAAGTTTGTCAAACACATTTCTGCAAATACTGCTGATTCTTTTGTGCCAAACAGATAACTTGTCCCAGGTTCGACACGTGGTCCTGGTCCTGTCTGGGAAAGGCGGAGTTGGGAAAAGTACCATTACGACAGAACTGGCTCTGGCTTTGAGACAATCAGGCAGGAAGGTGAGGTGTCCATGGATCTATTTTAATATCTGTATCCCAGAACGAACAGAAGATTCTCAAAAGATTCAGAAATACTAGATATGCTGAATGACTGAATGAAAGATAAACAATCATAGCTTGGGCTGTAGGCTTCTAACCATATATGGTGATAGAAGCCATGTTCTGGTCTTAGGTACTTTACACAGTTTTGGAAATGTAATGACCATTCAATTTAATGTAGAATTTGAATGTTTTCAGTCTATGGCTCCTCCTACAGCCCTGTTTCAAAGTGCTGGTCCTGGACTGGTCACATTTCATCAATCTGATTTTGCTGTATTTCAATTTTATTAACCGTTATTAGCGCTCATTACAAGTGACAAACGTTATAAATACTTGTAAGTCAATTGGGTGAATAACTAAACATTTTAAGTAAAAGTATAGATGCTAGTATAAAACAACTCTGTATAAAAGTAATTTGCATGTTCTACTATTTACAGTCTATGGTTACAGTACAGACTACTACTACTCTAGTAAAATGCATTCTTTGCTATTGAATAATTAACACACTGCCTTTGAAAATGTAAACAATTATACAGTTGTAGAAGTACTTAAGTAAAAATACTTACTTGCCACCTGTCAACCTCTACATTATGTTTGTTGACCTCGCTGTTGTCCCTGTGATAGTCTCTGTCTGTGGTTCAGGAGGAGATCTGTGTGTTGTAGGTGGGGATCCTGGACGTGGACCTGTGTGGCCCCAGTATCCCGCGGATGCTGAGTGTGGGGCGCCCGGACGTGCACCAGTGTGACGCGGGGTGGGTGCCAGTCTACACAGACGCTCAGAAAAGCCTGGCTCTGATGTCCATCGGGTTTCTCATGGACGACCCCAACGAGGCCGTGGTCTGGAGGGGCCCCAAGAAGACAGGTATCCACACCTTTATCTGCCTCACAGTGGGGGAATGAAACTTCTTTACCGGAAGTGTAAACTCGTGCTACACTACCGGAACAATAATATATTAGCAATGTGTTTAAGTGCACTGTGTAAATGTAAGCAGCGGCTCAGACCAATATTCAGTGATGGCTGCTCATGTATCAGCGGCTTACGGCAGAATAGATAAATAATTACAGTTACTATACCCTTATGCCGCCGATACATACAGACTCGGATTCGTTTATCTTCCATTTGCAGTAAAACCACTTTGAAATACATGTGCAAAGGTCCCCATTGTACATACATAAAACCAGGTTAAAAGTACAGAAATAAGACTAAAAATCTACCTAGACTAAAAGAAAAATTGACGCTGAATCCAAGCAAGTTCAACATCATCAGATAATTGAGCTCCAGAGGATTCTTCACACCACCAGAGGGCGCTCATGAGCAGCACCAGCGTAACATGGACCTCAGTTGGAGATAGCGTGTGTTTGTATAGATGATTTTTGTGATGCATTTTATTAATAAAATTATTGTAAAAAACTAGTCTTCTGACTAGTGTAAGTGTCTATATTTATAATGCTACTCTGTAGAGCCTGTTAAACATAAACAAGACCACAATGAGACCTAGGATTGAAAAACTCGCACAATGGTCACTTTTCATTTGAATGTACATTATGTCTTGCACAAAAGAGACTATATTTGAACCTTTTAACATGTTTGCTCACTTCCTGTCTTTTTGCACACCCTGAGTGATTCTATCCATGCCTATTGTGACATATGTAAAGTTTTACTTACTTAATGATGAGCCCTTCCTCTGTAGCGTTGATAGGTCAGTTCGTGACAGACGTGTCGTGGGGAGAGCTGGACGTCCTGCTGGTGGACACTCCTCCAGGGACATCAGACGAGCACCTGGCCGTGTTGGAGAAGCTGAAGAACCATCGAGTGGACGGAGCAGTGCTGGTCACCACTCCACAGGTCCTTTAAAGACACTCGATGATTTATCCAGACAGGATTTTTAAAAATACTGTGGGGAAAATACTGTCTCGAAACCCTTTACTGCACCTTGAAGTTGAACGACTCATGTCTGATCTATTCTTATTTCTTACATAATCAGTGATTTTAATTGAAAGATGTGAAAGTTTCTAGCTCAAGCTGTAATTAAACTAAACATTTCTCTTAAGGCCGTGTCGACAGGAGACGTCAGGAGGGAGATCACGTTTTGTAAGAAGACCGGCGTTCGTATACTCGGAATAGTGGAAAACATGAGTGGATTCGTCTGCCCACATTGTTCAGTCAGTATCTTCCTCAAATATAAAACCGTTTCAAAATCACCGCTTTTCTTCTTACCTTTGCTCTCCTCACAGGAATGCAGCAACATCTTTTCAAAGGGCGGCGGGGAGGAGCTGGCCAAACTCACTGGATCCGTCTTTCTCGGTAAGACGGTGCCTGTAATGATAGCCTTTGACCACAAGGTGTCGCGTTACTACGGCGTGTTGGCTTTCATTCATGATTCTGAAGCGAGGCCCTGGGACTGGAGGCCTAGTATTACAGTCGGCCCAGACAGCCCCAGCAATCAATAACTCTGTCAAATGAATAGATTACTCTACAGCGGCTCTTACTCCGGTCCATATCGTGAACACATTTGACAGTGGTGTAATGAAGCGGCTAATGCATTATGTTAGAAACTGTTATGACTGCGCTCAGCCTCGTGAAAAGTCCCAATGCAAGTCTACAGTATAGTCTTAATATTTATGGGCATTAGTCTCTGCCCCTTATGGACCAATGGCTCTTATTTTTGTCATACCATTGATTCTCTGATCTGTTGTCCTCTGAGATAACTGCTGTTGTGACCTAATACATCACACAAAAATACATTGGAAATATAGTGTGTTCCATTATATAGTACAAAGAATACCTCTGTACTGGAAACCTTTCATATTTTAATCAGGCCATGGCTCTATTAAAGTATTTAAAGATGTGTATGAGGATATTCTACTTCCATGTGGATCATCGGGATTATTGGTCCTCCCAACTGTCAATCATTCTGGTGATACGTGCTCGTTAAATCAGACCAGAGAGTTTTGTTCGAAAAGCGGAGAGGGCGGTTCTTTCCAAAAACTTGGGAAAATCCTTCTATACCTTAAAATAATCCAGGGTTTTGAGATTTATATTTAAACTTGTGCTATTTCTCGAGTCAAAATGACCCGCCACAGTGATTACAGGTAGAAGAAAAACACCTGTCAAAGTTAGGAAAAATCATAAAAATGTAGCTCAAAGAATGTGTATTTTGTAATCATTGTGGCGGTTCAATTTGACCCAAGGACAGCACAAGGGTTAAAGACATACATTTACAGCAGCAATATTTTGGTCTTGTGCTGGTCAGGCCCGAGTAGACGTCACCTTTCCAGCTAAATAATAACTTGGGAATCTCTTGTAGGCGCGGTGCCCTTGGATCCACAGCTAAGCTCCAGCACAGAGGAAGGCAAGGACTTCATGCAATCATTCCCAGATAGTGCCACGTTCAGTGCAATAAACAGTATATGCACAACTCTCCTGAAAAGCCTTGAAAACTGACTTTTTGTGAATGTAAAACTATTAAACTATTTCTCCCGCCTGCGTGTAGTCACATTTGTAGTGTATTGAACCTCATGTTTGGGACAGAGAAGGTTAAAGGATTACTCGAGGCAGCTTCAGGGGTGAAAGCCAAACCAAATCTGTGTTGGTATCTTTTTAATTTGACTGAAAACATTTACGGTGACACATGGTTTTAATACCAGTGCTGATACATGATTGGAGAGTGGATTTCAGTCAATGTGCCAGGACCAGTGCCGTTCAGAGCGCATACTCCAGATCAAAGTTTTTAAACAAGCCAGGAGAGTTTAAAGCACACGTCCCATGGGTTTGGTTCCCTACAGGACGAGTCAAAGCGGCCAATCGATGCATATGGAATCTTGATCTGGAATATGAGGTCACAGAATGGCCTGTTCCAACGCCATATCTCAACAGAACACTAAAACCCATGCAGGAAGTGAATGGATGGAATGTTGAGGTACAGCTACAAATGAGAGGGAGGGGAGGATGAAAAGATGATTTTTTTGGTGGAAAATTACACTTGTGACACCCACCACTGGGCACACACCTTTAATGCAAACAGCAGTACTACAGGAAAACACTGAAGTCTGAGAATGTGGACTTATGATTAGAATACAGCTACACATCTCCCACTCCACCCGCAACATACTAAAGGCAATCTTAAGTTACATCCAGAGGAATCACATTTAACCCACACAGCGCATAAATGCATCTATATAGATATTTATACGTCTGTATATATATTTATATATGTATAATATACCCTTGGATAAAAGTTCAATTAACAATTTATTATAAATAAAATCAGTGGAAGATCCATGAGTCCATACACATTGCTTTACAAACAGATCCTTAAAGATGAAATGCACAAACTTAACTCCCAAATGATCATGAGAGAAAGAAAAATCTTTAGGGCCCTTTGGTCAGCTTTTATAGACCAGGGGCCGAGCTGCTGCAGCCGGCCCCCAGGCCTGAGAGAAGGAGAAGAAATCATACAACTGTTGAAACACACGCACACAAGACAGACAAATCACTACATTGCGCATTTACAAGTTGACTATCAAACGGACAACTGTACACATCGTTATTAGGACCATAATCATGAATCCAGTTTAATATGTTTCCCCTCTTGCCGTCACTCGTTTCATCTTGTGTGGCAAACATTTACATTTCCCCCCGTTTTACACTCCAGCAGCAACATAAAAGGACAGATCTGGTAAATGGAGGCTTTTACTTTGTTGAGAGAATGAGGGCAACGATTAAGCCATAGAGCCCCAAGACTTCAGCAAAAATAAGGATGAGGATCATGCCCACGAATAGCCTCGGTTGTTGAGCGGTGCCCCGGACTCCTGCGTCGCCCACGATGCCGATGGCGAACCCGGCAGCCAGCCCGCTCAGGCCCACGCTGAGGCCGGCGCCCAAGTGAAGGAAGCTCCTGCAGAGAGAAACACGTCTGAGCATCCGAACCCCACTTACAGACCCGAGCTTTATCTGATCGAGAGATACAGAGAAAGCTCATTCCCGTCTCTAAACACATTTACAAACAATATGAAACTAGCAGACAGAATAATACACATGGCCCACATTTTTTATACCACGTTTTATTTTCAGGGCTATAATTAAATTTTTTTTTTCGATTAGTTGAGATCGTAAAGCGCAGTGAAGGTGGGGTTTTCTCTACATTGGACCAAAACTTGGCTCCAGTGTTTTCCCTGAAGAACGTCTTTTTACACAATGGGTTTGATTAGAAGTACTTAGAAATGACAATGTCTTTTCTGTCTGTCGTCATTATAGAAATATCTGAGTCATAAAACCTCTCCTCAAGGGTTCATGGAAGTTCATGTATTAGTATTAGATAGCAATATGGCCTACGTGCAGGACTGTACAAGGACTCTACAAGGACTCCATGTTATGACTATGATGTGACTGTCTCTTTGTGACACGTATGTCTTTCGATGTGTGACGTGACAATGACTATATAAACTGTGTACTGCCTTTATTCTGTCTGAGGGAAAGAAACAGAGTAAACTAGTGGAACTTGAGAGAAACGTAAATAAACTTCCAGAGTTTGGCACACCACGATCCGTCTCTGTCTGCTAAATCCTAACAGATTTGGTGGAGGACCAGACCTTTTTAGCGTACGAGTCCAGCTGCATGACTTTCGGAGACCTGGCGATTAAGTACTGCGCTCCGGCTCACAAGCTGATCGTGGCCAGCGCTCAGGACGTGCAGGAGGTGTACTGCGACTGGCAGCGGTGGATCTTGGGCGACCTCCCGTTCAGCCACGCCGTCCGTGTGCTGGATATTTACCTTGTGGAGGGTTATAAAGTCCTTGTACCGCGTGGCTATCGCTCTGCTCAAGTTCTATCGCAAGCACAAAGCCGGATCTGAGAGCGGCGCCGCGGTCCAGGCTCCTCAGGACTCGGAGAAGGTGCGTGCCGAGATCCAGGCGTTCGTCAAAGGTATCGGCTCCAGCGTCAGTCCTGAGAAGCTTCTGGAAAAGGCCTTCTCCATTCGGTTGTTCAGCCGCAAAGAGATCACTCTGCTGCAGCTCACCAACGAGAAGTCCCTGCAGCAGAAAGGAATCACGGTCAAACAGAAACGGTACGCTGACGCCATCTTGGATCACATTTTAGAACATTTTCCATCATGAATAAAAGCGTAATGTCGTTTCAATATTGGTTTGAAAAACGCGCAGCACAATGTGAAGTTCTCAATTTCATTAAATCGTAATTCTAAAACAATTCTGAACCCATTTAACCAGATTTTTCACAACTAATGCTCGTTGATAGCATTAATCAATTCAAGTCAGTCCTACTCTGTTAAATAGTTCTGTACACTGTAAAAAGCAACAATAAATCACCTTTTTGTTTCATCCAACCACTTTTCACCCAAATCAAGGGACATTTAGAACTGAGAAAAATGTGTGATTAATTGTGAGTCAAATACGACATTAATGCAATTTTAATCAGGATTAAATATTTGTATAAAAAATCTAAATTGTTTTTCCCGAGTACTGCAGTTTTTTTAACCTTATTTTTAACTAATCAAACCAATGTATGTATTTATAAAAGTATGTACAGTATGTGTCTCTGTATGTATAGTTTTAGACATTAAAAACAGGGATTAGAAAAGACAGAATAGAGCTGCTTTTATTCATCTAAATCGCTTAGCAAAAAAGGTCTATTTGAACTGACTTTATATTTATTTATATGGCACAAACAACTTCTGAAATACTGGATAGATGAAGTAACAATAATATACACAATAATTTACACACATTTTTCTCCCAAATGTGTCTTGAGGGCAGTAGTGACGCTGTGTGACATCACAATCCTCGGCTACCTTCGATCCTCACGTGTTTTATTGTGTTTTTAATTGTCTCATTTTCTGTTTTGTTTCATCTTCCATCTCCATCTCTTCCTGCGTCTGCTTCATTTCCCCTTTTGCTCAGTTCTCGGTGGGTTTTCTTCAACATATCCCTCACCCATATCCTCACGTTTTGAAGCCTTTACACATACATACAGTACATATTATTATTATTATTGACGATTGCTACTGTTGCCCGAAGGCGGAACGTGCAGCTGGCTCTGAACCCCGACTCCTTCTCCTCGGAAATCGTGAGCGCTAAGGAAATGCGAGACATCTGGGCGTGGATCCCCGAGCGCTTTGCCCTGTGCCAGCCTCAGCTCGTCTTCACCACGTCCAACCACGGCTGCAGCCTGAACAGGTGCCGACGTCAAACCATGTGTGCAGAGATTCTTCCATCTTTTTATTCTAACGTGTCTCATTTTGCTGCAGGTTCTACTCTCACTGTGAAGGCTACGAACCCACTCTGCTCCTCATTCGGACGACAGACGGCGACGTAAGTCTCCCATCATTTAGAACAGAGGTCTCCAACCTTTCTATAAAACAGAAATGGCAGCTAGCTTCTCCTTTAGCAGTCGTAATACAATTGTACTCTACATAATAACTACAGAAAATCATGGAGAACACACATGCATCATACACCAGTGCAGTATAGTATCCTGGCATTCATTAAAACCTTTATACACAAGATTCAAAAGTGAATCATTCAGGATCATGTATAAAATTCTTGAATCCTTTGGGGATCTACAGGAAACAGGGTGGCGAGCTACTGGTGGCGAGCTACTGGTGGCGAGCTACTGGTGGCGAGCTACTGGTAGTTCCCGAGCCACAGGTTGGAGGTTGTGTTAAAATCAATGGCTTGTGCTCAGTGGCGCATGAAGCCACCACAGGCACCGAAAGATTAACGAAGGCCATCCATATTTGGTCATTTCTCTGGTCCTCCCAGTTTTGCACAGTTGAACGCCTTCCCATGATGCTTTGCGCCAAATACTAACGATGACGCGTGTGTAGCTCTCGTGCACGTACGCAGAGGTGCTTGGCAGCTTTCTGACCAATCAGAGCTGCTGATCAGAGCGGAGTCAGAGCGGGAGGAAAACTAGCAGAGATTGTTGCATTAAAGTGTGGATTTAAAGAAAACCGATGGATTTAACAAAAAATAAGTTCAGGACGACGAGGGACACTAAACTCCAACCTTTATGAAAGCTGCAGGTTCTCGGTCAGCTGAGGTCGAGCTGTTTTAGTTTGAAAATTGCTGATTTGATTTTGTGATTTCTCCTTCTGTCAATCATCTCCTGGAGGCGGGGCTTCTCCAGCTCGGTGCATGTCGCTAATTGAGAATGAGAAAGTTCGCTCTCTAACTGAAGCCTGAGGGAATCAATGAAAAAAATATATACTTTGGGCACGTGTATAAACTATGTGTATGAAGAGCGTGTATGAAGTATGTGTATGAAGTATGTGTATGAAGTACCGTGTATGAAGTACCGTGTATGAAGTACCGTGTATGAAGAGCGTGTATGAAGTACCGTGTATGAAGTACCGTGTATGAAGTACCGTGTATGAAGTACCGTGTATGAAGTACCGTGTATGAAGTACCGTGTATGAAGTACCGTGTATGAAGTACCGTGTATGAAGGCAAATGTAATGATTGTGAAAGCAAAGAAAAGTCTTCCAAACACAATTAACTGCTCACTGGCTTATTGTGTGTTTGCGTGTTTGTGTGTGTGCGTGCGTGTGTTTGTGCGTTTTCCTCAGGTGTGCGGAGCCTTCCTGTCCACAGACTGGGAGGAGCGCAAGAGAGGAGGCAATAAACTCAGCTTTTTTGGAACTGGAGAGTGCTTTGTTTTTAAGGTGGGTGCAATAAGTTAATATCACCCTTAATTTGTAGAGCGCACTGAATACTAATTATTATTTTTGTGGTATTTACAAAACGTACAATGGTAAATGCCAAAATATTTAAAACCACAACCTCAATAAATGTTTAGATAAATAAAACATGTGAACAAAACCTGTAGATCTTTGATAATTTGTTGTTTATTTGTGTAAAACGGGTACAACCGACAAATAGAATCTTCACTTTAGGAATACGCAATGTTTATTAAAAAAATCTCAAACGTAACATGAGGAAGTGTGTATCCCCAAGATTTTCAGATCTATCTATTCTAAATACTAGACTTTAAGTAGTTACTGTCACGCAATACAGTAAAGAGTATTCTGAAAACATGACTGCTTTTCATGTGTTCAGTTCCCAACACTGATTATAAACATTAAACACAACAATATTTAAAATCACACAACAGATTACACTCATAAGTCACCACTGTGCGTTAAAATAGTAAAGCTACAGTCCTTCAGTTGAATGCAAACGGAACTGTCTTCAACCTGGATTTTTTTTAATACGTCAGAACTTGCTACTCGTCCAATACTGAGCTTCGGCCACCAGAGGGAGCCATACTCACATCCTTTCCCTCTAATACTGGCTGCAGCACTGACTCATGACCGTTTCTTTATCAGATTCCTGGCCCCACATGGCACACACCCCTCGCAGTCACTCTCATTCTTCACTTTTATTCTCAAAAGTGGCTCTCGACGCAACAGATGCTCACATAAGTTCGCATCGCACCTGATCCAAAGGGCAGCTACACACCCACACACACACACATACGCACTGGAGCCTCCTTTGTGCATTATTTATTGAACGTGCTGAGAAGCGGTAGACTGAGCAGGCACAACACAAACACCCTGCTCTTTCGCAGCAACACAGGTCAGAAAGTCTTGCAAGACGAGCCATAATCTACATCAGACCCAAGGCGAGGGAATACATGCAAATACCACAGCAAAAAAAAAGATCAAATATGAAGTAATAAGCACTGGAAACAAGTGGTTTTTATCGTAATCTGAGCACATTCTGACTGTGTTAAAACAAGATTCACGAATGGGTCAAAGCCATGTAGTAAAGACTTTTTTATATCTTTTAAAAACAAGATCATTTTGCTTTGTCCCATTGGCAAATCTGGTTTTAAGGCAGTCACAATGTGCTCAAACTAAGATGCATGCTTTTTGAGGCATTTTTTAACTTGTATGAGGTCTGCACAGCTTTTGGATCAGAATTATTTTGCTTACACAACCAGTAAAGTGATTAAGAAAGAAATTGAGAGCTAATGGATATGTGGACCTCCTTCTTTTTTTCTGTTTTTCTGTTCAGATATCTGGAAGGTTTGTGTTTTTATTCTCACATCCAATCCCAGGGCAACCATAAACCCCCAGATAACATCTAATGAACATGAAAGTATTTTTATAAGAATTTTCCTGTTTGCAAAGGTTTCCGCTTCTGTCGTAGTGTCTGTTTGAATGTTTTCATCAAAAGGGACAAAGTCAGTCTAAACTCAACGACAAAACAAGACAATGGAAAAACATATACGCCTCTAAATATGCAAGATTTTAGCCAATTCTTAATATAAATCCCATTTTGTGGACCTTTCCCCATTCACCACTGTCCTGGTTTTTCATTATGTTGAAATACAAAAAGTGTGTCAAGTCTTGGTCACCCTTCACATTTTGCTGCAGATTAGTCTTACTAACCTTGGCTGTAATTCTTTGTTTTCCTCATTAGCTAAAGCCAGAGATGGAGCGTTACGAGTGGGTGGTGATCCGCCATCCTGAATTAGCTTCTTCTTTAAAGACTAAGAGCGAGGACGACTCTGCTGCGTCTGAGGAGCAGGACGCCTGCAACAACCTGCAGCAGCCGGAGAAATCCTTGGGGGAACTGTCTCCGTTTCTGTCCGCCCGCCACTTCAACCTCACCTCCAGAAATACTTCCATGTTCATGGCTGGAAACTTTGATTCCATCATCATCGGTGAGTAGAATGTCATAAACAGTTTTCTAAGATGGGGGCGACAGTGGCTCAGTTGGTAGAGTATTGGTCTTTGGACCTAATGTTTGTGGGTTTCTATCCCACCACAACCCATGTCACCTGCTCCCACTGATGTCTGCTATTGTTGTGTCCCTGGGCAAGACACTTAACCCCACTTTGCCTGAAGTCCCCGCTGAAAGATCGAGGCTGTATCTGCGTTGAAGGAGCAGCCATCTTCCTGTGGACCCACCCCCTGCAGGAGAATCAGTGAGGGACTGGTGCTTTGTGAAATGGGTGGCAGCTCTGATTGCCCCCCCCCCCCCCCCCCCCCCCCCCCTGCCCCCTCCTCCCCTCTGACCTAGAAATGGATAATAAAGGGATGAAAAGGAAAGATGAGTTTTCTAAGATGCTGGTTTTGCTTTTTGTTTGTGACCAGGTGGAGGCGAAGGCAACGCCCTGTACATAGACTCTGAGCTGAACCACGGGCGATCCGCAACATGTGCCACCTTCGACAACCCGCCCCTGTGTGCAGAGACCTTTCAGGTGTCTCTGCTGGAGGTGTGGGGCTTCCAGGACGCCATGGCCCCCTAAAGCAGCAGCCCCCCCTCTGTCCCCTGCACACACACACTGATCACATCCAACAGGAGGCTCTCGGAAAGTCCCAGAGCCAGGATTCCATCTCACCTAGACGCCAACGCAGTCTGATGTTTGTTTGCTGCAACAAGCCCGTCCTGCTCCATTATCAGAAAAACCACTAATTAACCCTTAAATGATCACTCCTTGAAGAAAGCAATGCACATTTTTCTTTTGATTTTCTAAGCTGTAGGAGCCCTAACGAGATAACTTTCTTTGTTTGTTTTTTTTCTTTACCCCTAGCTTTTCTATTATAGACTTTTACCAAATAGTTGAAATCCAGTTTGTTGGCTAAAGCACCTAAAAACTAAGTGATATAGACGCCCCAATTTCAGTCCCAAGCGCCAAGTAGACATAGAGACTAAAAATGTGATCCACCATTAAAGGGTTAAACATGCTTCGATTCATTTTTCAGCATATCAACAGTTTTAAAACATGTTAGATCTGTTTGAAGGGTTAAATGTCCTCGATATGCTGCTAAACACCAGAAGCCCGTGAATATGTTTGTGAAGGATGGAGAAAAGTCTTATGAGATTCAAATGTGCCGTGACTGTAGAAAAAGGGATGTCAAACCGGTTCCAGAAAGGGCCGGTGAGATAGATCGATAGATGGATAGATACTTTATGGATCCCCCGTAGGAGACATTCAGGAGGCTGCAGGTTTTTGGCTCCAACCCAAGCAGGAGCACACCAGACTCCACCCATTTCCTGAGTCTAGTTTTAAGCTGAAGATTTGGGGAAATGGGTGGAGTCTGATGTGCTCCTGCTTGGGTTAGAACTAAAAACCTGCAGCCGCATCTGCCCTTTCTGGATCCGGTTTGACCCCCCCCCCCCCGCTGTAGATCGTGCTGTGTCTCAGTTCATCGTAGTGAATAGTCGTGAATCTGTGAATGATGATGAAATACAGAATCCCTGCTTTTACCTCCAGCTGAGCTCTGTGGCGTTATGACGACAGTGTTGTGTGTGTGTGTGTGTGTGGCCTGTTGTTGTGCACTTTAACACTAGAACTCCAGAGCAGTCAAATTGACGGCTTTAAGTTTTGGAACCGTAAAGACTCATGTGCATTTGTCTTCATAACTTTATGACTTTTTTCTTATATGTAGTTTACTTCGGTGCCGTTACTTGAATGAAATTATCTAATATATTTTTAAGTGTTTAGCTCTACCTCTTAACTCTCATGCATTCGAAAGTATATTTCAAGCATCGCAATTTGATATCGCTTGGCAAACAACAAAAATGGTGGTTAAAAGCCTGCTCCTGACTCCAAAGTGCTGGTCCTGGACTGGTTCAGCTTGGTCCCCCACTAGAGAAGAACCAGTGCTAGTTACCATAGCAACTACTGTTAACATGCAGCAGTTAGCATTTGTCCAAGCGGTCTTTTATGTTTTGTCGGTAAATTCACCAGTTTCAGCACATGTTATGAAGTAGAGGAGGTAAAAAAAAAAAAAAAAAACAATGTGTGTATATATACGTGATTGACTTAATTTGTTATGAATCTGGTGGAAAAATAAGTCATTTTTACATCGATTGGAGCCGTCCAAATTTCTGCTCAGGGAGTTCTAGTAGTTTTAGCATCCTGGGAGTCCTGGTGTTTAATGCTCGTACCTTTACTGTAAGTGTTTATTGAAAAGTTATGTGAAAAATACAAGAGCGTACTTCATGTCTAATGGAATTGTCTCATTTATTGTGACCGTGGTTCCTGAAAACAACTGCCAAATTTCTGAATTGATCGTGCGTCTCTCTCTTTCTTACACTGAGCTTATTTTGGGTGTTATTATCCTTCTCCGCTCCATGTTCAGTGTTTACTCTAACTATCTGTTGCTCCAGTGAGATTAAACGTCTGCAGACTCTTCACAAACGTGCCAGATGCCTTAAAAAGTCAGCTGACCACGTCCTCTGCCCTTTAATCCTGGCATCTGGTCGAACTCTCAAAAAACGCTCTTAAAAACTGTGGCACTGTCCTGACGGCTAAGTTTAGAGCCGGGTTACTCATGCGTGTCTGCCTCGGTTTGTGGAAGTTAAAGGTTGGACATGACTGGAAATATGTGGATAACATGAGTCAGACTTCACAGATCTTAAGGTCAATGATGTGTTTCTTTATCATTTAGAAACGCTACTATTTCCTCCTATTTTTTTATTCAACACTGTCTTTACGTCATGAATGATATATTTAACAGTTTTCATCATGGCACATAGTCTATAACAGTGTTTTCCAACCAGTGGGCCGTGGTACGTCAGTGTGCCTTGAGATGTTGTATGCAGTGCCTTTCGGAAATGGTCCAGTATAATAATAATAATAATAATAATAATGAATCGGGTTTATTTTAGCGCTTTTTTGGACACTCAAAGATGCTTCACATGTCATTATTTATTCACTCCACACACGGTGGTGACAAACTACTACTGTAGCCATAGCTGCCCTGGGGCACACTGACAGTATCATCTAATTGTTCCAAATGAAGTGAAACAAAAAGAAACACAAAAAGATTACAAAGATTTGTTTTGTGATTTTTTTTTTTTTATTTTCTACATAATACATTTTGATGAGAATTACTTTCAGCGTTGAAGGCTGCAGAGTTTCATGTTTAAGTTTTAGTAGTAATCATTATTTATATACCGCCTTTTCACTGCAGATCTGAGTCTCAAAGTGGTTTACAATTTTGGGCATTTGTCTCTCACTCCACACAGAGATGGGAGCGGGGTCGCCAGTACAGGAGGCACATGCCAGAACTATTGGACATATTTTTTAGTGGTAGGGCAAACCAGAGTACCCAGAGGAAACCTACGCAGACACAGGGAGAACATGCAAACTCCACTCAGAAAGGCCCTGGTCCAACCGGGATTCGAACCCAGGACCTTCTTGCTGAGAGGCGAGAGTGCCATCCACTCAGCGGCACGGTGGCCGGTGGTGTGTCACATGAAAAAAGGTTTGCCACAGCTCAAAAAGGTTGGGGAACACTGGTCTATAAAACACAATTGAATGACTGCAAGTAGTAGTAATGCACATATCCAGTGGGTCTTGCCAACAGAAGACACTGAGGATCCCACTTCCTAATCACACTTGCTTCTATATTTAGCTGCTGCTCTGGGGGTGTGTCTGCCGCTCCTCCTGAAAACCATGCTTCCAGCCTGAAGAAGCAGGCCTAAGATGCTTAAGTGTTTAGAGGACACTGAGAGGGGTGTTTTCCTGGACAGTGCCGTCTCCTGCATCATGACTGAGGGAAGTGGATTAGAGCCAAGCCTTTCCACGGTGACGGGCTCTGTTGTTTCACTCCAAGAGAATATGAGATCACATTATGCAGCATTTTACAACACGTGTATTTGTAGCTGTATACTTGTAGTTAGGGAGGCAGCCTGAGCAATCCCGACTGTAAATATTACTGTAGTGGAGAAGGCCAGGAGCCAGTGGTACAGTGAGTGTAGTGAATGGATGGGGGAGGGGTTTACTGTAGTGTGACCGCTCCAGTGCAGAGAGACAGAGGATGAAGATGGAAGCAGAGCAGTGTGTGACTCACTCTGACTGTCGGCTCTCCAGTGATGCCCCAGTCTCAGCCTCAGCCCCAGCCTCAACCTCAGCCTCAGTGTCTGTCAACCTCAGCCTCAGCCTCAGCGTCCGTCAACCTCAGCCTCGACCTCAGCTCCAGCCTCAGCCCCAGCCTCAACCTCAACCTCAGCCCCAACCTCAGCCTCTACTCCAGCCTCAGCGTCCGTCAACCTCAGCCTCAACCTCAGCCCCAGCGTCCGTCAACCTCAGCCTCAACCTCAGCCCCAACTTCAGCCTCAGTGTCCGTCAACCTCAGCCTCAGCCCCAGTGTCCGTCAACCTCAGCCTCAGCCCCAGTGTCCGTCAACCTCAGCCTCAGCCCCAGCCTCAGCTCCACCCTCAGCCTCAACCCCAGCTTCAGCATCTGTAGGTGGAGACTGGAGCTTGTCCCTCCCCCACCACAGTCATCCTCAAGTGTCCCCAGTCACGCACCACACTGCTGCATGTCACAGCTGGCTGTCACCATCTTGTGCACAGTATAGTTGTGGTGTTAGATCTGTGTTCCAACAGTAGTTCCAACAACACTGACACTTTCATCAGTAGACATTTAGACACTAACTCATTAGTCTATAGCCCTCAGGTAGCCCTACACTGGTATAAATCAAGCTGATGTTGTAAAATAAGTGTAAGTCAGAAGGCAGTCCTGTTTTACCCGGTTTGACCCCGTCCTGTCCCCCAGCTGAGAGCATGAAGGTGAGGGAACCCTGCAGAGGACCACATTGATGCCTCTCAGGGGTGACCTTCAAATTGTCAAATATTGTCATTTTATCTTTAAATAAGTACGTGCATCTCCAGAAAAAGAATATTATACGGTTTAAAGAGTGTTGTAGTAATATAGAGTGGTGTGACAGTGCGCAGGAGCTGATGGGAGGTCCTAGTCAGGTGATCCTCTGCGCTTCGCCATTTTGTGCCTCTGCGCCGGGTATTTATCAGTAGAGTCGTGACTGTCCTGGTTACTCTGCGCGTCAGCTGCTGGTCTCACGCTCCTTCAGTCTCAGCCTCCATCTGCTCTGTGGCCTTTGATAGCTGTAGGACTCGCCTGCCTCTAGTTTTATATTTAGCATATTTTTATATTCTATAATCCAGGATGTCGTCGGCAGAGCACCCACAATACTCGCCCTTCTTTGCGGTGATGGGAGCCTCCGCGGCGATGGTGTTCAGCGGTAACTATATTTTTACTTTATAAATGCAGTTTACAGTGGTGATCATGATAGAAGACATGTGCCCCAGTGTGTGCTGTGTGTGTGCGTGTGTAGACCTCATCCTTCTCCCGAGGCGCCTCAGCCATCATCCGGATCCTGCAGATTACGCACGGGTATCCACTGCTCCACTAGCTCCGTTCTAAAACTGCGCTAATCTGTAGCTGTCATTGATCACGTTTTGGGTCCAGAAAAAACAGCCAGTGAGCAGGATTTGGCACATATCACCCCATTTTTCTCCCGAGGCACCTCAGCCATCACTTGGACAGATTACGCACGGCTATCCCCCAGATCCGCGCTATCCACTGCTCCACTAGCTCCGTGCTAACACTGCGCTAATCTGTAGCTGTCATTGATCACGTTTTGGGTTCAGAAAAAAACAGCCAGTGAGAAGGATTTAGTACATATCACACACATTTAGGTACTAACATGGGTTTCATTGCGTTTTGGCAGTGGTGCTATGCTAACAGTGCTAACGCGGCTAACACTGCTAACCAGCTGATGACGACTACGTAAATGAATGACGCCTTGACAGCTTGTGCAACATTTAAGCAAATATGGAGTGATAAAAATAACAATAATAATAATAAAAATGAAAAAAATGGTAATTGTTTGAATGCTTTTAAGTTTTGCTCTATGGATTTCATTTGGAGATGGCATCGATCACTTGGCAATTGTGTATTAAATTTGAAACCAAAAACACAGATGTCTGACTGATGTCTTGAAATGTAAATGTTTGCATTAGATCAAACCTGTCTTTCACATTTACTTCAGTCTTGTCAGCACCTTCTTGCTTTCGTTTTGATGCAACTTGCTTTAATATTTATGCACCCATACACACCCCTTCATACACGCATTATATACTCGCACTCCATGCATTAATTAACGAAAATGTCCCAAATGCAATGTGTAGTTTGTCTTCTTGACAGCTAACTTAATGATTGATTTGATGTAGTTGGATCTGTGTAACTTCCGTACTGCTCAAAGGAATGATACAAAGTCACATGATGATCACATGAGAGCAGTGACTTGAAAAATGCCTCTGGTTTGGGCCTAAATCCATTTCAATCCATCTAATTTTTAAAGCTTTTGTTAGTTTAATGAAGGAAGGCCATTATTTACACTGCATCTAGCAAATGTATATACAGCATATTTAATTGTAAACATTGTTATGTAGTAGCAGACATCAGGCTTATAATCACATGACTCCAAATCACATTCAGCCAAACTGAATTTTTTTTTTTAGATTTCAAGCCAACTATTGATTTGTATTGTGTGTCTTTGATATCAACAGGGTTAGGGTTGACAGATGTTGCTTGTGGGCAGCGTAGAGGTCATCTGTTGTGTTGGACTCTTCATGCGTCATGTGATTTATACAATATGTGTAAAACGAAAACCACCCAATTGTTCTAAACGCTCAGGGTAATTATGCCACGGTAAATGACTGCTGCGGTGTCGGGTGAAGCCGGGTTGTGTTCTGTGATGGGACAAGAAGCCTCATTGATCCTGACTCCAAACCTAGCGTACTATAATTCATGAGTACCGGTGTCTGCATGTCTTGTTGTCCAGTGTAGTCCACATTTGTAGCTACAGATGTTCAGTTGTATCATTTAGAACTGGGACAAAGCGTTTGTATATGCTGCTCCTTCTACATGGAATATGTTGCAAAAAAACTGAACATTATCAGAATTTATTTCAGTGAATGCTTTTAAAACCAGATTGAGAACACTTGAGACATCCTCATGGACGTCTAGCTGTTTTTATAGTCCGTAATTTTATCCAGGACTCCCTTGAAAAAGAGGTTCTTAGTCTCAATGGGACTTTCCTGGTTGATTAAAATTTTAAATGTTCCATAACCTCTAGTCCAGCACGTGTGTAGAAAGGAAACAGGAGTGTGAGATTGCAACACTACAGCTGAGCGACAAAATTACTCAAAAAAATATGCTTGTGTTGTAAACGTGAGCGCTGCCGTCTCGTCCGCAACACTCTCTCTGACTCCGTGCCTCTGGTCCAGTCGCTCGTTGCGTGGGCGGTTGGCGGGACCTGAGCGTGTCTGGCCAGAGGCACATCTCGCCCTGACACCACGTGACATCACGGTTCCGCACACATCAGATATCACGCTGCAAGATGTAAAGCTCTTTACGGAAGATGACGGGATTAGGATTAGTGCTTCACCGCTGCTGCACATCAAACCTGTAGTGATGCTGATGATGATGATGATCTCAAAACCTACCTTTTTAAACTGGCTTTGTCATTTCAAAATGTTTTTTTTTAATTCTGCACTTTTAATATTGTGCGTGGTGTAGGGCTGCACGATATTGGAAATTAGAGCAATATTCAATATGAGTGCTTAGTATTGCGACAACGATATTATTATTATTATTAACTAAAATTGCATCTGCATTGAAACGAAAGAGATAAATAACAAAAAATAAGCACAACATTAATGACATTCAAATGCACATCTTTATATATGTTTGTTTGTTTGTTCTTGTTGAATGTTGATGTGTATCTGTTTTGTTGCCTTTTTTAATAAAGAAAAAAATTAATAAATTTTGCGGATATTTTGGACATGGATTTTGCACGCACCAATACCGCGATAACAATATTTTTCCAATATATTGTGCAGCCCTAGTGTGATGTTGGTAATCTGTTCTAAGGCGCCATGAAATCAAATGAATTATTATTATTATTATTATGGTTACTAAATGGTGGATAAAACACAGAAGACGACACACTTTGCTCATGTATTCTGCTTTTTTCTGCCGACTCCAAACGAACCTTTCCCTGCTCAGATGGACCGCGGTGCTTTTAGATTCCAGAGAGAGATTTACCAGTTTTATGTGATTTAGAATCCGTCCGTGTGAATCGATACGACCGTGGACGTGGCTCGCTGCCCCATGTACATTAGAGATTTACTCCTGTCTGTTTCGCTGATCGTGCGCAGGTTCTGGTTAGCGCAGTTTTCATAGATATTTACATTGTCTTAAGTAAAAACCCTTTGTTGGAGCGTTCTATTTTTAGCCTGGCGCGCTCCGGCAGTCGGGCTGTTGTGACGTAGACCTCTCTGTTCTTCATCGCCGTCTCTGTGAAAGCTGATGCTGCACTTTGTAGTTTGTACTCCTCCCTTTTTTTCTCTTCCTGAAGCCGGGCTTTGGCCACGACGGCTCCTATGGCTGCGTCTGGCTGCTCCATATCCTCTGCCAATGTTCAAATCCAAATGAAAAATGACAATATATTATAAACAATTTGAATTCCTTATTGTTTCTTGTTTAGTTCAGCACTTTGAGTTGTGTATGAACTGTGCTAGATGATTAAACTTGCCTTGCCGATTCTCGCCTGGAAGTGGGAAATGTCTTGGTTTCGTTATCAACCCTTGGTGTAATTGAGCAATACGTTGTCTATCGTTTTCTTTTCCGAGGTTGTGACATGATGGATGTTTTTGAGGAAGTAAAATGAACATTGGTTTTTGTGTTTTCATCACTTCCTTTTTTGTGTGTAAGAAACTATCCTGGGTTTTTAAATGTAAAGTAGAATTGTGACGTCCACGACTCCATCTGCCAGTCACGATACTATGCATTTAAAGCTATATTCTCTCTTGTCTCCCGTCTCTCCAGCCTTGGGAGCCGCCTATGGAACGGCCAAGAGTGGGACGGGTATCGCAGCCATGTCTGTGATGAGGCCAGAGCTCATCATGAAGTCCATCATCCCCGTGGTCATGGCGGGTATCATCGCCATCTACGGCCTGGTGGTAGCGGTGCTGATCGCCAACAACATTTCAGAAAATCTCAGCCTCTACAAGTGAGTGTCCGCTCTCCTCGTTCATTTTCCTCACGCTGCGTTGATCCTGGTGTGATTACGTTAATACATATTCAATCTAAATCCCTGTTTCCAGTCTCATTCCGTTTTTTTTGATTCAATGTATTTTTGTACCGCCCTAAATCACAAGAGTAGTGATCTTTACAAGGCTGTCGATTTGCCAACACAGATCAGAGAATCAAACTGTTCCAACACAAGAAATGCAATGATAAAAACACATACTCCAGAAATGTGGTTGACTTTGACATTGTCCTCAGACCCTCTTTTATCGGCAAGGTAAAACTCTTAAAAACCCAGTGGGAGAAAAGTGAGGAACCTCGGGACAGAGAGGCCCACACTGAGAGTGGGGTCCGCTCCCACAGACACTGCCCTGTCTGTGGACCTGCCCCCGTGGACCTGCCCCCGTGGACCTGCCCCCGTGGACCTGCCCCCGTGGACCTGCCCCCGTGGACCTGCCCCCGTGGACCTGCCCCCGTAGACCTGCCCCCGTAGACCTGATGACCATTTAGTTTCCGCTACTGGAGGCCGTGACCAAAACACGCTGCATTTCACCGATGAATCTGGCAACCCAATTAAGTTTTAGATTCTCTGGTTGGAAGTGAACATAAATGTTTTTTTTAAGAAGGGAGAGTCTGATGCATACCGGACTGAGAAAGGAGTACACAGAGGTTCAGACCAGAGACCAGACTCACCTGAAGAGCCCGGCCGTCGTAGCCCGGCCATTCAGTGTAAAAGCAGACTATTGTTTTTGTAATTAAGAAAGCATGAGGTTTTGATCAGAAAAGGCCAGATATGAGTTGCCATCTTGACCTGGTGTCTTGAGGATTTAGTGGAATGCCATTTTTGAAGTCTCACGCTGTAGTTGATATCGGTTCCAAAAAGAAATGTCTTCCCCTCGTCCAGAGAAACAAAAATTGATTTGAATGAATTGGTTGCAACTAATTGATTGAAATGAAGTATTCCATGTGTTAGGATTTAAGCAGACAGAGACGGATCGTGGTGTGCCAAACTCTGGAAGTTTATTTAAGTTTCTCTCAAGTTCCACTAGTTTACTCTGTTTCTTTCCCTCAGACAGAATAAAGGCAGTACACAGTTTATATAGTCATTGTCACGTCACACATCGAAAGACATACGTGTCACAAAGAGACAGTCAAATCATAGTCATAACATGGAGTCCTTGTAGAGTCCTTGTAGAGTCCTGCACGTAGGCCATATTGCTATCTAATACTAATACCCTCCCCTTTGATCACATAATCACGCGTTTTTCAGCGTACCGTTTCTGTTTGACCGTGATTCCTTTCTGCTGCAGGGACTTCTCGTTGGTGAGCTGCAGCAGAGTGATCTCTTTGCGGCTGAACAACCGAATGGAGAAGGCCTTTTCCAGAAGCTTCTCAGGACTGACGCTGGAGCCGATACCTTTGACGAACGCCTGGATCTCGGCACGCACCTTCTCCGAGTCCTGAGGAGCCTGGACCGCGGCGCCGCTCTCAGATCCGGCTTTGTGCTTGCGATAGAACTTGAGCAGAGCGATAGCCACGCGGTACAGGACTTTATAACCCTCCACAAGGTAAATATCCAGCACACGGACGGCGTGGCTGAACGGGAGGTCGCCCAAGATCCACCGCTGCCAGTCGCAGTACACCTCCTGCACGTCCTGAGCGCTGGCCACGATCAGCTTGTGAGCCGGAGCGCAGTACTTAATCGCCAGGTCTCCGAAAGTCATGCAGCTGGACTCGTACGCTAAAAAGGTCTGGTCCATGAGTCTCTTCCCGGGCTCATTGCAGGCCAGCATACGACTGACGTGCTCGAAACACTGGGCCTCTTCTTTGCTGAAGTGGAGCAGTAAGGCCGTGACTGCGGGGAGCGAGGGGCAGTGGGAGATGTCGGGGAACTGTCCGGCCAAACAGTTTATGATCTGATGAGCCGACGACATAGCCTCTCCTTTCAGGCAGTACTTGGGGACTTGGTTTCCATCCACAAACTCGGGCAGAGGGATGTTGGAGGTGTGCTTCTTGGATCCGGCCTCTTTCATGATGTCCTTGTAAACCTCCGCATCTGGAGTGACCGTGCGACAGGGAATGGCTTTGATCAGCTGCTGGTAGACCTGGGCTCGGAGCGTGTGGTTCTTGGCCCAGTGTCCCTGCCTCGCCATCTGCTTGAACTCCTTCAGGTCTTTGCAGTCCACCTTTGTGGGACCACTGCTCTTGGCCAGGTCCCCCATCTGGGCCCAGTCCACGAAGCTGCCATACTCTTCCTCGGCCATGACTCCCAGAACGTTTGACGCGCCTACGGATGTGTTTAAGTCTTGCGCACAAAAGATCGGTTGTGACCTGCTAACTCCCCATCGTGATTCCTGAAACATTAAACAAAATAAAAACACAGACTGACGTTTTTATCAGAATCAGAATCAACGTATTGCCATTTGCAGAATACACTACATTGGGAAGCAAACAGGATACACCAACACCACAAAAACACACACACACAAACAAAATAAAAAGGAGTGAGGCACATAAAGAAATCTTAAAAACATGATTAAGAAACTACAAAAGGAGCTACAAATACATTTAAATGTCAAAACTAAACATAAATGGTGTAGGAACTTTTTTTTGATCAGATGAAGTCATAGTCACACCAAACAACAATGCATTTGGTGTGTGTTGTGTTTATAAAAGGACAGAAAAATATAATTACTGTGAAATGTGAAAGGGAAATAGCACTCTTTCACAAATATAAATGTACCGCTTAGATCCACAGCTTCAGATGAAAACAAATTGCCATATTATAATTGAATGGGCACTGGTCGGTATTAAGAATCAAAGTCTCAGCAGATGTCAGTCATAATGTCCAGTACAGTCACATGAGACACAGTGTCCAAGATTATAGAAATGTGGGTTTGAAGCAATGAAATCATAACAGCCATGTTCCAATGTTTAACAGGTCACGTGTCAGCAGGGTATAGTGTGTGGACAGAAATATTCCAGACATGTGACAGAAGACATCAAAGGATCAGTGCTGTCGTTGGACATGGATCTATTTCATTATCTACATTTATTCGACATTCACGGATTTAGAAATGACTCTGGAACAAACAGCGAGAGGAAGCAGGAAATCCTCAAGTATCATTTATGCAAAATAAATGATAAATCTTGTGCATATAGTGAGGTAGTGTGCAGAAAGAACAGGTTCAAACAGAACATTGTGGAATATAAATGTTCCTGTTAAACCTCAGTGACACATGCTAACATGAGCTAACATGAACATTAGCTGTGAGCTTCTGTCAGTGAGAGTGAAGCTCCTGCAGCAGCGACAGAACACACACAAACACATCATATCATGGACCTGATCATGATCCTATCTCCTGCACACACTGTTTCTGCAACAATTATTCTAATAATACATGTCTGTTGCACCGAGTGTGCATGTGTGTGTGCGCTGTTAACATATAACATATTACATATAACATGTTGTTAACACAAACGCTCTCACAGAATACATGAGACATAGATCCATAAAAACACATTTAAAAGCAGACTTACATGAATGAAGACACATCTCAGGACGAGCCCACGGATTCATATGAAGGACTGTGGCGCATGCGCAGTGCTCCCAGCCGGGGCGTGCACTGCTCTGCTGCTGCTGCTGCTGCTGTCACTGCTGTCACTGCTGCTACTGCTGCTACTGCTGCTGCTACTGCTGCTGCTGCTGCTGCTGTCACTGCTGTCACTGCTGCTACTGCTGCTACTGCTGCTGCTACTGCTGCTGCTGCTGCTGCTGTCACTGCTGTCACTGCTGCTACTGCTGCTGGTGGAGCTGGATGAATGGATGGATGTACTGATGGATGTACTGATGGATGTACATCCTGCTCACAGGGGACTATAATACTTCCATAGCTCAGATGGGCTCAGGCTCAGCTGATGTGTCAAATATAGAACACAAGTGTGGGACATGTTCTACACAAACTCCAGTCGTTCTGAAGAACCATGAGATAACAATAATAATAATAACAATATTAATAATATTAATAATAATAATAATAATAATGTAGTGTGGATCTAGAGTCTGAATACAGAGAGGATGATGTTAAGCAAATTCTTACGTACCTTATTCTCAGTTAAGATGTTTGTCCTCTTTATTGACCAGTCCCTAATATTGTGCAGCAGTGCACAGGAAGGACCCAAATCTGATAACAAACCTGCTTTTGTCCCTCACTCAAAGTCACCATCCTACTCCCACCACCAACACATGACTGTGGTTACTGATAATGTCATTAGCTCAGAACAAATCACACAAAAATGTTGTTTGGCTTTCGCTGTGATCTTGAGAACAGATTCTACTCTCAGACTTCTCCAAACAACCTTTTGTAGGATTGAGGAATTCTTATTTGTCTTCAATAAGAACAACTCCCTGGAATATTGCTTTCAGATCAGACATGTGTGTGTGAGACAGTGTGACCAGCTCAGCATGCTTCATATCGACTCCTTTCTCCTGAGATGACTTCAGTTCACCTCTTGACTTAATCTACCTGCTATTGTTGTAGATTCTATATGTGTCCTGTGTGTGAGAAACAGATGGAAGCAAAGCCAGTAAGCTGCAGCTCCTTATGGACATTTGAGCTTATCCAATCCCTTCAATTCGCCTGTGACATCAGCAGCCAACCTCATAGTAAGCCCCGCCCACAAACACTGACTGAAAATGCTCTCCATCCTGAGCGATCACACAGGCCATACTCCAACACTCCATCCTGAGCGATCACACAGGCCATACTCCAACACTCCATCCTGAGCGATCACACAGGCCATACTCCAACACTCCATCCTGAGCGATCACACAGGCCATACTCCAACACTCCATCCTGAGCGATCACACAGGCCATACTCCAACACTCCATCAGAACATCATCTCCACCACTTCTTTATTCAATGACCCGTTCCATGGATCCTTTTCTCAATTCTGAATTTGTACCTCGTAAAATAAAATGTTATATGACAGTATTGTATATATGTACTGTATATGTGTTAAACAAGGTAAGTATTTTGATTCAACAAGCTTATTAAGTTAGACCATGACCTGACTCCTTTTACCTCAGCCGACTTGAACCTCACAGGATCAACACACATCAGGTGCAAAGGTGCAAGAGATTTGGATTAAAGCAGCTGCATTTAATTCAGAAATACTCACTCGCACTGTATTGTATTTATAGACTTTTATATCACAGACATGTTCTGCCCTGTTGGACTCTGCATTCATCGATGCACAGATCTGGCAAATTTTTATTCTTTTTGAAGTGTTTATTTAGGTGTTTGTTTATGTGTTTATCTGTATGGGACGGTGTGTATTAAGGAACTGTGGAAATACAGTCACCTTCACAATACACACTAACTCACCCTGAACTGTTGTACATGTTTTAGTGGTAGGGGAAACTGGAGCAGACATGGGGAGAACATGCAAACTCCACACTCCAAAAGGCTCAGTCTGAAGTGCTAACCACTGCACCAGCTGAGAACATCCCAGTTGTTAGAGGGCAGTGCACTCAGAGACATGACACCTGTGCACAGCTTTGGCAGGTCCTGGATGGTTCTATACCGCAGTGTGTTCCAGTTCCTGCCAATATCCAGCTACTTCACAGTCATAGACCTAGAGTCTGTTGTTAAAGTGTTCAAGAAGATCCCTGTAAATAAGGCCACAGGACCCGATGGGATGTCTGCCAGACTACTAAGAACATGTACAGAGGAGCTAGGACCTGTGTGGCAGCAGCTCTTCCAGCTGTCATTAGATGAACATCAAGTGCCGGAATTATGGAAGAAATCTATCATAGTTCCAGTACCCAAAAAGCCGTATCCCTTAGAGTAAGTAAGTAAGTAAGTAATGTTTATTTATATACCGCCTTTCACAGACAAGGGTCACAAAGAGAACAACGACTATAGGCCAGTTGCCATAACCTCGAATGGGTGTAGAACATTTATTGGATCCATATCAATTTGCATATTCAAAGAACAGGAGCACTTATGACTCCATCTCAACAGTAGCACATGTGGTTCTGAATCACTTTGAAAATGTTAAAGCATATGCAAGAGTAGTATTTTTTGACTTTAGCGCAGCATTTAATACGCTCCATATCGACGCTCTAGTCCGTAAGCTCGTCTGTTTAAATGTTAACAGCTGGCTGATTAAATGGTACTACTCTTTTTTAACAAAGCGCTCTCAAGGGTCAACTCCGTGTTTTCGAGGGAAACAGTCTGCAGTACAGGAGTGCCCCAGGGTACAGTTAGCTCTTCTCTTTTGTTTACATTATACACCAATTACTGTGTTAGCTTGCAACCCAACCAGTATATTATCACATTTTCTGATGACACCGCTTTACTGAGTTTGCTCCTGAGCCGCTCTGACACCAGGGGCCACACGTCTGCAGTGGACCAGTTCATCAAATGGTGTGATGATCACCACTTACAAGTTAATGTGAACAAGACAAAAGAGATAATTGTAGATCCTCGTTCGATAGGGGACCATAGCAACGTCTTCATTCATAGACAAATAATTGAGCAGGTTTCGTCGTATAGGTACCTTGGGGTGGAAATGGACAATGGACTGGGTTGGCACAATCATGTGTCGAATATTTGTGCAAAGATCCATCAGCGGGTGTACTTTCTTCGTATAGGCTATTTGGAGTGAGCCAAAATGTTTTGTTGACCTTCTACAGAGCGAGTATTGAATCTATACTGAGATACGGAATCGTGAGCTGGTTTGGGAATCTCACAGTGAAATACAAATCTCAGATCCAGAGGCTGCAAAAACTAGCCGGGAAGATCATGGGAGTGTCGTTGTCCACTCTGATCTCACCCCGGACTATTTTTGACAGTCAGTGATTAGACAGGCCAAGAACATCATCAGAGACTCAACTCATGTTCTCCACTCACAATACGAACTGCTGCATTCTGGGAGGAGGAACAGGATCCCACTGTGCAAAAGCAACAGGTTTAAGAACTCTTTTGTACCTCAGTCCATAAAGCAACGAATGTTATGTGTGTATTGCCTGTTTTTTTTCCTTTCTTTTTGTCTGTATCTGTGGGTGCTACTGACCCCCCCCCCCTGCTCCAAGACACATTTCTCCCTCAGGAGACTAAGTAATAAATGAATCTGAATCTGATAGAAGAAGAACGGACCAGACCTTCATAACGACAATCAACACCTTGATCAGCTGCGTGAAGAAGATGTGTTTCGCTGATTGAGGAAATTGGGTGGGGGAGTTTGGAACTTTTCTGACCCCAGACCCTAAAAACAGTCAGTTTTATACTATACTATACGATGCTATACTACTCTATACTATAGTACTATACTCATTTTCTTCCCCTTTGTTATTCCATTTCTGGGTCGGGGGGTAGCAATCAGAGCTCATAGGTATTATATCTATCAAAGTCAAGGCCCGGGGGCCAGATCTGGCCCGTGAATGATTTATCTTGGCCCCTGGGATGATATTTCATTAGTATTAGAAGCGCACAAAGCCATTAGAAAATATCGGATTATTCATTTAATGTTCAGGACATGTCTTTTCTCTTTTAACAACATTTGTTTTTGTTTGTGAGCCTGCTGAAAAATGTTTTCACTTGAAATTACCGACAAAGCCATACACAAATATTGGATTATTCTAGAGCAGCAGCCATCGAATATTTTGGTAATCAATTATTCAAGCACATACACCGATTGTGTACAGTTTATTGCATTCATATTATCAGATGAAGACAAGGCAGCAGGGTACGTCTGTGACGTACACATGCTGCGTAACACTCAAAGAATCTGTGCGAAATGCCACAAATAAACTACTGTATATAAGCATTGAGGCAGCAGAAATAATTGTTAATAATCGAATTATTCTAACTAACTAACTAACTAACAGTGTACTGTTAATAGTACTTTAGTTATTCTAACTAACTAAAGTACTCTGTATTCTGGCCCTCTGCTTGTAGCAGATTTGTTTTTTTGGTCCTCCGATGTATTTGACTTTGACATCCCTGCTCTAGTACAACACTCATGTCTAATCATCCTGGTCCTCCACATCTGAGAGGAGGGGGAGGGGGGGGGGGGGGGGGGGGGGGGGGGGGGGGGGGGGCGTCGTACCCACAGACCACAGACACTGAGGCAGATAGAGTCTACTAAGAATATTATAGGTTAAACTCGAGATCGATTGGAGAAAAAATAAAAGCGCTGCATTTATATTTTGGTCCAGTGTTTATATCAAATGAACTTGAAAACAACAATGAGTCTCACAATAAAAAGTGCTTTGATTCTTTAAATAGTGACATATACAATCTGCTCTGTTGGTTCTGGCGGACCAAGCTGCAGATGAGAGTGAAAGAAGCTGTCACCCAATGGCGTGGGCTCTTTTGTACATGGGTGCGCCCTAAGCTGCTCTCTCTGTATTGTTTTCTTTAAAGGGGAGTTGGGTTACCATGGAAACCGCATGATGCCATGCCCGACGGCTATATATAAGACAGAGAAAAGGCCACGGTTGTAGACCCACAATGAATGAAGACAAGCGGGGGACTAGAACCCTTCGCTGTCTGGACTTAATTCTCTTTTTCTCTTTTATTTAATACATTTCCTTAAGGCTGCCACCTGTTTGAACTGAGACTAGGAAAATGGTGAGGATTTGTGTTTATTCACTTTGATTACAAGACCCAATTCATTGCAACGCTTCAAGGAAACCCAATATGACCAGGCAAGTGTGTGTGTGCGTGTGTGTGCGTGTGTGTGTGTGTGTGTGTGTGTGCAGAAAGTCTGAGTCTAAGAGACAGGTCTGACCAGTGTGATGCCTCCTGGACCCTTGGATTCTCACTCAGACCTTCTGATTTGGTCTTGTTTTGACAGTCAGACTGAACATGCGTGCGCCACTACGACCACGGAGGTAAGACGGGCATATCTCCAATTACACCTACCTTTTTCAAAGCAAAAAGAGAGAAAAGTTACTACAAATTAGCAGTTTTCATCATAGCCATGCACTGCAAATGATGGAATTTCTCCCATGAGCACATTTCAGTTTGACCCCATGTCTATCTCTGAAACACCACTTGTGTGTGTCTCTCTCTAGTGGCTGCCTGCTGCTGTGTCTGTGTGTGTCGCTGCTGACCCTGATGCTGCAGAGCTTTTGGGTCCCACTGGAGATGGCCCGGGATGAACCGGGTGGGAGGTCCCCTGAAGGCCAAAGTAGGTGGTTCCCCTTGGGAACTGTTTTATTTTCTGTCATTAAATAAACCTTTCGGCATTCCTAAAAGTGGACTGAAGTTTATTTTGTGTGTTCCATTGGTACAAAGCCGTATAATAAGCTGGATAATGTATAGTACGCAGGTCATTATCGGAGAATAAGTACCGACAGGGAGGAAGCAGCGTCGGGATCTGCTTCGCCCTGTCGGTACTTATTTTCCGATAATGACCTGCCTACTACTACTACATTATCCCTTACACATGTGTGATACTGCGACTTCAGAATGTCCTGCCCAATGCACAGTATATAACTAACTGCACTATTTCTACATTTTTTTAAACCTTTCTTTTGAAGGACTGTTATTGAAGTATTTACAGCTAGCTAAGAAACCTTGTAGCTGCTTATACTGTATATTTTGTGTACTCTTTCTACTGTCCTGTATGTGCGCTGCAACATTGACATTTTCCCACTGTGGATCGAACAAAAGATGTTCAATACACAACAGATCAACAGAGAGCCACCATAAGCTGCGTCATGGTGTCTTTCTGGTAAATAATACACAGCTATAGCAACAGTCGTTTTCTATTGTTCATATTTTCTACATATATTTTTTCGTTTATTGTTGTATTTGCTTGTGTCTATATTTCATTCATTCTATTTTTGCTTATTTTTATTGTATTTATTTTTTTGATACAAGGGGAGCATAGTGGGGAAAAAAGAAAATATAAAAAACAAATTGTCTTGTTATGCTGTATGGGGAAAAAGTGTGAATTAATGAAGATGACGCTATAAAGTCATAATACAATGAATAAGATGTGCTGAAAAATGTCTTAAAACAAAAGTCCTCAGCGATTCAGTAATGTTTTAAGTTCAGTCACAACTTTACTGTTTCTGTACGGGACCGTTTTAATAAATGTCCTTGTAATATTTAAGCAATAACCAGATATTTTGATATGAATTTCCAACCTCAAAATGTTCTCAGAAAAAATAAATTAAATTTTTTTTCAACCATTCATTGCAATAGTATCTTGTTTATGACCTGATTTTTGAAGCAACAAGTTACATTACAAGACCCTTATTTTTATTTATACTGTATGTGAGAATATAGTGCAGGTTTGAAATATATGATACATACAAAACATTTATTATACAAAACAGGGGGCGACAGTAGCTCAGTTGGTAGAGCATTGGCCTTAAGCCCAGAAGGTCGTGGGTTCAATTCCCACCTCTGCACCTTCTCCACCGACTCCCACTGATGACTGCTGTCGTTGTGTCCTTGGGCAAGACACTTAACCCCACTTTGCCCAAAGCCTCCACTGAAAGATCAAGGCTATGCTCACACTCAGAGAGCAGCCGCCCTCCTGTGGACTCACCACCTGCAGAGGGTCAGTGAGGGGCTGGTGCTATGAGACTTGGGTGGCATCTCTGACTGCCACCCCCCTGACCCAGAAATGGATTAAAGGGAAGAAAATGGATGGAATGGATACAAAACAATTAAGTTTGCATTTTTATATAGACTTTCTCACAACTTCCTGGAGCAGCTTAATGTCCTTTTTACTTCAGGAACAGAAGCTCTCTCTCTGGGAAAAAGGCTGTAGACTCTTGCGCTCGGTCTGTTGTTGAAATGTATCCCGGACACGACCAAACCAGAGTCGAGTTGTGACAGAACCTGACTCCTGCTCATGTCTTTAATCTTTCATCGCTCATTTGCGTAAGATCCTTTATAAACCTGCGTCCGACTCTGACGACTCAGTGCGACCCGCTTTGTTTCGTTTTGTGTTATGTTTATTATGAGTTTCAACAACAACAAAAAAAGAAAACAAATTTATTCTATTACAGCGTGCGGCAAAATAATTGTTGATGTTTATGGACAATGGCCTTAACAAAGTGGACACACGCAAAACAAAGAAAACAACTGATGCAGCCTTGTGTGGGTCACTAGGACTCTGTGTGTCCGTTGGGTTTGGGTTTTTCAAAGTGATGCCCATTTATTATGTTTTCTCTGTTTGTCATTCTTCCTGAATTAACTGCCACCATGAGAACAAAACCTCCGGGTTACTCTGTGGCATGGAGAAGTGACTTTAAATCAGTACGGGGACTGGCCTCCTGCTGGGACTCTGAGGAGCACAGGGACTTGGCCTCCTGCTGGGACTCTGAGGAGCACAGGGACTTGGCCTCCTGCTGGGACTCTGAGGAGCACAGGGACTTGGCCTCCTGCTGGGACTCTGAGGAGCACAGGGACTTGGCCTCCTGCTGGGACTCTGAGGAGCACAGGGACTTGGCCCCCTGCTGGGACTCTGAGGAGCACAGGGACTGGCCTCCTGCTGGTCCCAGAGTCAGGACTAAACATGGAGAAGCTACATTTCAGATTTTTGCAGCTAAAATCCTGAATCCTTCTATCTTCACTTCTTTTTGATCTAATGTGATTGTTTTCTGGTCCTGTTTGCCTCGTGCATGAACCGTGCCATACAAATAAACGTGCCTAACCTTCAGGACATGGGTTCGTGTGTTGCAGGTCATGGGTTCCGCAGCCTGTTGCTTCAGCTGAAAGATCTAAACTCTCGGATGAAGCAGCTCAGCAGAGACAGAGACGGCGCCAGAGACCACCTGAGTCTGCTGCTCCAAAGGTTTCATTCACACACACAGGAAGCACATGCGTCAAACTGTCAAAAATTAATAATAATATATCAATACATTTCACAATCTGCCAATAGATATTCATTTAACACTCAAAATGATGAGATTTGACAAATATTATTATTGTTGTACACAGTTTTTTGGTTCAAAACAAAGGTTAAGATTTGCAGTTGGTCAAAGATATCAAGAGAAGAACAATGGCGGAAATTAGACAATATCTGTAAATGAGGAAATAATCAAGACATGAAGGAAAGAAATAAAAGCAGTAAGAAAATAATAAGGATTTTTTTTCTTTGGACAAATCTGCAGTTAAATTATAATAATATATTTTTAGTCTTAACCTTTGAATGATCAAGGAAATAAGCAAATTCAGACAGAAAATGATTACGCTTTGTTATTTTGATTTTTGAACCGTTGTATATCGTTCTATTATTATATATTTTGTACATTTCTCCATTGTGAGATCAATAAAGTAATAATAGAATAGCCTAAAGAATGAAGAATTAGCATAAAAAAGAAGCAAGTGTAAAATCTCTAAGGAAAGAAGTCTAGAATCTAAGAAATAAGTACAGAATCTCTGACTTTAGCATCATGAGAAAGTATTAAATCTCTTTCTTTGGCGCAAAAAGAATCAAGAATAAAATGGTGTATATCCAGAACAAGAAATATATAATTGTAAGTTTGCATTAGCAGCATGAGGCTCTGGGCCAAAGTGACTCAGTCCTCATTGTTCGTTGTACAGTCTGACAACAGCAGGAAGGACACATCTGTGGAACCTCTCCTGCACACAGCGAGGGTGGATACGTCTGTCACTGAAGCTACTCTCCAGAGCAGACTTCATTGGCAGATTTGTGACATTTATTCATGTAGGGTTTTGACGGTGTTGCTCCTCCATCATGAATCCTGAGACCGTGGGGTACACGTGTTGGATTGTTGCAGTTTCAGGAAGGAGCAGCAGGGTTTGGCTCGTCTGGTGGAGAGAGAGATGAAGAGGGTCTCCCAGAACATGGAACGGTTGAACTTTCAGCAGAAGAAGAAGAATCAGGAAGCAGCTCTGTCCCAAGAAACACACACAGGTAAGAAGCAAGATCGGTGATAGTAATGGACAGACTAAGACATTCAGTATGCCCATTGGGATCATGCACAGTATAGAGAACAATATAGAGAACAATATAGAGAACAATATAGAAAACAATATAGAAAACAATATAGAAAACAATATAGAGAACAATATAGAGAACAATATAGAGAACAACATAGAGAACAATATAGAGAACAGCATAGAGAACAATATAGAGAACAGTATAGAGAACAATATAGAGAACAATATAGAGAACAATATAGAGAACAATATAGAGAACAGTATAGCGAACAGTATAGCGAACAGTATAGCGAACAGTATAGCGAACAGTATAGCGAACAATATAGAGAACAATATAGAGAACAATATAGAGAACAGTATAGAGAACAGTATAGGGAACAATATAGAGAACAATATAGAGAGCAGTATAAAGAACAGTATAGAGAACAATATAGAAAACAATATAGAGAACAGTATGGAGAACAATATAGAAAAAAATATAGAGAACAGTATGGAGAACAATATAGAAAACAATATAGAGAACATTATGGAGAACAATATAGAAAACAATATAGAGAACAGTATAGAGAACAATATAGAGAACAGTATAGACAACAATATAGAGAACAATATAGAGAACAATATAGAGAACAGTATAGAGAACAGTATAGAGAACAGTATATAGAACAATATAGAAAACAATATAGAGAACAATATAGAGAACAGTATAGACAACAATATAGAGAACAGTATAGACAACAATATAGAGAACAGTATGGAGAACAATATAGAAAACAATATAGAGAACAGTATAGAGAACAGTATAGAGAACAGTATAGAGAACAATATAGAGAACAATATAGAGAACAATATAGAGAACAGTATAGAGAACAATATAGAGAACAATACTAACTAACTAGCATTGCGGCGAGAGCAAAACGGACTACAACTCTTAAAAACATGACTCCTCTCCTAAATTGAGAAGTGGCTTCAAGCACATGTTCGATAACGTTATAGGTCAGGGCTCACAAAGAGCAGTACTTGGAGAAGTTAAGGATCGCCTAACTGGATGTTGACCCGTACCTTCTCCCCACAGTCAATTTTATAGATTAAATGACATGTCCAATTTTGCCCGAATTCACCCCACATGATCTTTATCATTATGTCAACAATGCATCCCCTCACACTGGAGCAGATTTATATGTACATTTTGCTGGCAGCATTAGCACATTAGCAATGCCCTTTTCTGTCTACAGCCAAACATGATACATATTGACGGAGAGCAAAATGGTGAAAAACGCAACTGACGTCAAGATAAGATAAGAGATCCTTTATTTGTGCCACTGTGGGGAAAATTCAATCTTGCAGCACACATACAGGACAGTAGTAAGGACAAGCGTTTGTTGTGTCCTTTTCCTCCAAATAAATGAATGGAAAGAAATTAAATACATAATTGTGATTGATTTATCTTGTAAAAAGTGCTGACTGCGAATTTGGGAGTACTTGGATTATTCCCAGTACTTTTGATTGATTGCCGCTGGCCATCGTCGTCTTCTGTCTTCATCAGGAGCAGTTATCAGATAAAAAGACACATTGCACATTGCCTTGCCTGTTTGAACAACCAACCGCACTGCCAAATATCACAGTTTTGGCTGTTATTCGGTGAAACAGGTTGTTTTGGTCAAGTTTCCGGTGGCTGGCTGTTAGACTTCCGCCATCTGTCATGGAGAGTGGGCGTGGCCGGGACGTCACATGCAAAGGGTCAATAGAACAATATAGAGAACAGTATAGAGAACAATATAGAGAACAATATAGAGAACATATATCAGTCCCACGTTGGGAAAATGTCATAGTTGCAACACACAGAACAGTGGGACTAAAGTAAAAGTAATCCTTCAGATGAAATGGAATAAAGTCTTTGGACATAGTGTCACAGACGTTAACGGGGTTAGGCAGCACAAACCTTAGGTCAGGTTTTATTTAGCACAAAAATACACACTAGAGTCTAATAAACTACTACTACTAGAACAGCATACTGTCAATAGTTATACAAATTATAATTATCAACTCCTCAATTCCTTTATTTAAGTTATAATAAAGAAGTACAAGCTCAAACATGTGCTTAACTTTCAAACTACAAAAATGGAATTATGATCCTTGCTCACTGCACAGTTTGCTTCTGTCACTAGTTTTTATATGTAAGTCTTTATGGCACCAGCAGGAGGCCAGTCCCTGTGCTCCTCAGTCTCAGCAGGAGGCCAGTCCCTGTGCTCCTCAGAGTCCCAGCAGGAGGCCAGTCCCTGTGCTCCTCAGTCTCAGCAGGAGGCCAGTCCCTGTGCTCCTCAGAGTCCCAGCAGGAGGCCAGTCCCTGTGCTCCTCAGTCTCAGCAGGAGGCCAGTCCCTGTGCTTCTCAGAGTCTCAGCAGGAGGCCAGTCCCTGTGCTCCTCAGTCTCAGCAGGAGGCCAGTCCCTGTGCTTCTCAGAGTCTCAGCAGGAGGCCAGTCCCTGTGCTCCTCAGAGTCAGAGTTTACAATCAAAGAGTTCCATTGTCAGGATGGATGTTCATGCATTTCCTGACTTCCTGACAGAGCACTAGTCTCTGGTACTGGTACTAGCACCAGTCTCTACCTGGTACTGGTACTAGCACTAGTCTCTGGTACTGGTACTAGCACCAGTCTCTACCTGGTACTGGTACTAGCACCAGTCTCTACCTGGTACTGGTACTAGCTCTAACCTGTGATCCACCAACAGAGCCCAGAGACTGTGAGGTGCCTTTGAACTCGTCTCATCCGCTCTGTGCAGAGAAGATGGAGGTAGGAGCTTCTCGTCATCAACGTTACTCATCATTTGGAGAAAAGTGTTGATGATAAATAAACCACTGCACATATTTACTTGGGAGTTGCCTTTGTTTAAAAGTGACTCTTGCAGTTTCTCCGGCTTCACTGGAAGACAGATCTGTGCTATGCCTTTTATGGAGTGGATGGTTCCACCTGCTCCTTACTGAAGTATCTGAGCCAAACAGAGGACTTCTGTCCTCCGCAGGGGGCTACTGCTCAGAACCACTCTCTCCCAGCATGGTACCAGGAATCACAGCCACACTCACCAAAGGTACATGGACACACAGATTCTACTTTACAGATTCTACTTCTACTTCAGAACCATTGTTTAGTTTATTAACGACAGCAGGTTTTTCCCACAGGCTGAAATACGCACATCCCTCGCTCCTCTGTATGAAAACCTCAGAAACAGCACCAGTCCTGGTCTGAGGTTCATTCTGTCCAGAGTAAAGAGGATGGAGCAGCGCTGGATCCAGGCCGCTCTCAACATGAGCCACAGGAGCAACAGCGCCCCCTCCAGGACACTCAGGGTACAGGGTTCAGGGGTGCCTTCGTTTAATAATACTTATTTTTTTATTTGGGAGAAGCCCTTTCAGCATTACAGAGACAAAAAGTATAGATATACATTACAACATATTCATATATAAAGTAAATACTAAAATATGTGTGAACTTCATTTTTATGTTATCCACATGTGACATTAGATGAAAAACATATTGTGTTATGGTGCACTTTCTCCAATACCCCTGTTGGCCTGTAGGTGCTGCTGTATCCTGGAACTCTGGCTGGGAGCCTGGGACAGAGGTTTGAAGCCATGGTTGAGCGAGGGGGGCCTCTGGGAGAGCTGGTGCAGTGGTCAGATCTGGGGGCCAGCCTGACCGTCCTGGGACACACTGTGACCCTGACCACGTCCCAACACCTCCTCCACAGGTCGGCTCTGCGCTTCATTTTAAACAGTGACAATGATGATTTTTGATGCTGAGTGTGTGTGTCCAGTCTGATCAGAGCGGCTCCAGGACGAGGCAGCTGTCCCATCCAGAGGCCCCTCACCTACGACCTCATCTACACGGACTACCACGGCCTGGCCCATCTGCAGGGGGCCATGGGGATAGCATTTCAGCATTATCAGTAAGCGTTAATATGGAGCATTATTTCAAGATTTATTCATTTATTAATCATGAAATTATTTTATTGTACATTTTGATCATCCAATGTACTTTTCATTGCTGAACTGTCTATTTCCACTTTTTTTCATTCATTATTTTTAATAGTGTAATTATAAAATGTATTGTGGCATTCTGACTCCTCCATGAACAAAACGACAGAGGTGAGCAGAGTAGGCAAAGAAAAGTTTATTTGTATGGCACAACCAGCAAAATACAGGGATAATCAAATAGACAAAGAAGTCAAAGGTATTAATATTAAGCTCGCTCTTGGACATGCTATTGTTTTACTATAAAGATTATCATGATTCATTGTGAGAGTTCCCCAATGCATGAGAAAGCTTGATCCCATTAGACTTCATAAGTTAAGCAGGGCAGGGTCTGGTTAGTACTGTGATGGGAGATCTCTGGGAAAACCAGGTTCCAAGGCTGTAGTTGTCAACGGCTATACTGTCATCGTGTCCTTAGGCAAGACACTTAAGCAAATTTCCACATAGGCAAAGTGTCAGTAGCACTTTCGCTTCCTGGGTTTGAAGTAAGTAATGTTTATCTATATTGCGCATTTTACAGACCAAGGTCACCCAAAGCGCTTTACAATGTTCAGAGTTCAGATATTGTTCCAATCATTCCACACACGGTGATGACGGAAGCGAGTCCCGAACACTCAGCCCCCAATCAACACCATCCATTCTCTCATTTACATTCATACCTATTGTGCATGTTTTTAGTGGTAGGGGAAACCGGAGCACCCAGAGGAAACCGACGCAGATGCGGGGAGAACATAAAAACTCCACTCAGAAAGGCCCTGTTCCGACCGGGATTCGAATCCAGGACCTTTTTGCTGAGAAGCGAGAGTGCTATCCACTCAGCCACCGTGCCGCCCGGTATAAATCTCAGTCGGAACAGGGTCTTTCTGACAAAAGTTTGCATGTTCTCCCCATGTCTGCGTGTCCTTTACCTTCATGAGTGCTCGTATGTCTGCTGTAATGTCCAACAATAACGCTGAATTAAAAGTTCTCGTATCAGATCTTGCTCCACAAATTTGTGCCTCTCTACTGTCAGTGTGATGTTTGTTTCCCTCCAGGTGTCGATACAGAATCCTGGACTCCTTCGGGACCGAGCCGGCCTTTAACCTGGGCTCTTACGCTCACAGCGGGGGCTTTGAAACCCTGTGGGGGAGCTGGGGCCTGCGTCCTCAGCAGTACATGACCATGTTCCGTGAGTGTCTCTCGCTCGTCCCCCACATTCAGACCTGTGTTGTTTTTGTGATAAGCCTAAACCCGGCGACAAGATACACAATCGTTCTCTGAGTCGTTAACTATGATGAACAGTTTTGTCCTGACAGAGCTTCCATAGCAACACCTCAGATCCTGTCAGGAAGCGTACACTGCCTCCAGATGAACCCAGGCTGCTGATAGTAACCAGATAAATGCTACAGCTTTGGCTTCATTATTTATGAAAGACAAAAATCTACGGACAGTCTTTTGACTCGCTCATCTGACTGTGAGTCTCAACATGTGTTCACGGACAAGTATTGAAACAAAATGGAGAGATAAATGAAGTTCAAATGTTTTTTTCCTATCAACTTTAATACATTTTATCCTAATGCACCTGTGTCCATGTCTAACATAAATACTTATCCCCCACACTCCTGATTGAGTCATTGCGCAGCTGTCCAATTATACTGTTATAATATGCTTCCATTATTCATCATCCATTATTGTACAGTCTTCCTGGAGTTGTGAGACAGGCCTCTACCTTGACCATGTTCAAAACTAGGCTGAAAACATATATTTTTGCTGTGAATAACTGATACTTTTTTTTACTATATATTGCTTGTATCTCCCTTTTTCAACCCACATTTTAATGAGAGTTTTAAACCTTGTACTTTTATGCTGCTCTGTTTTACTATGAAATAATTGTATATTTCATTGTCTTTTTAATGCATTTTGAGCTGTGTTTTTATATTGCTCTTGTGAAGCACTTTGAATGGCCTTGTACACAATATCTGCTACAAATAACTGACTGATAGATTGATATTTTAACTTTTTTCCGAATTTCTGGCTTTGTTTACAGCTCACACGACTGATAATTCCTTCCTGGGTTTTGTGACAGAGGAGGCCTTGAAATCCGAAGTCAAGAAACAAGCAATGGACTCGTATAAGAAAAGCAACGTAGCCGTTGTGTACGCCAAACAAGAATACATGTGGGAGGTGTGTGTGTCTGTGATCTGATGGTGCACTATGTGAGCGAATGATGGTGGTGGACCAAGGACCAGTTAACCACATGTATGGACATTTATGGTCTCTACCCCTTATAGACCAAAGGCATTTCCAGTGTTGTAATGGTTTGATTCTCTGATCTGTGTCGGCGAATCGACAGTTTTTTAAAGTCCTTCGAGACAACTGCTGATGTGATTTAGGGCTAAACAAAAAATGAATTGAGGTGTACGGTCATGGAGAGTGTGTGTTTCTGCGTGTGTGTGTGTTGAGTCATTTCTGTGATATGTATTGGAACCAAAAAAGTCTGCTTCATCCAATCCCTTTTCAAACTGTATGGCTGTTTATTTTTTGTATCCTGTTTGTTGTTATTGTCTTTGACCATACACTGTGTATATGAATGAACATAGTCACACCTATCTCCGCTGTTGAAACTAATCTGTCACCACTTTGGCCTGCTATGGGGCAAAAAACGCATTTGTGCATGCGTTAGCCGGCACTAACCCCATTAATTTAACAAGTGCATTCTGAAGTCCACAGTGGCTAAACTAGACAGTTCCAAAAATATATACTCCCCTCGGCATCGACAGCATCTGGAACGAAGCCGTTTTCCAGGGGGAAGAATACACCATACAAAAGCATTGGGTAATTCTCTTTCCAGGTACACCCCACCGGAGTTAGGTTGGACCTTTTGGAGCCGGGACCCGCCCCCATGTTTTGAAGTACATACAATAGATAAAAATATGTTCAATTCAATTCAATGTATTGTTGTATCGCCCTAAATCACAACATTATTAATCTTGGAGGACTTCACGCAATGTCCATAAACGATACAATACTACAATTATAATTTGTCCTACTCTTCTTGTTTTCTCCAGGGTAAATTAGATTATGTGAAAGTCATCAGTGAGGCTTTTGAGACCCACGCCACCGTCTACAAGCGTCCAGGAATCCCCTCACAGTTACCTCCCTCCGTCATCAACCACGGTCTGCTGAGTCAGGACCACTTCTTCACAGAACTAAGGTGGGATTTAAACTATTCAAGATCATTTCACACAGAACACTTGAAAGAACGATGAAATATAAGTCAGAAATTGCTCAAATTTGGCAAAACGTATCTTAATTTGAGCACACTCTGACGGCCTTCAAACAAGATTTGCCAATGGGATAAACAAAATTATGTGTTTAAAAAAATAAAATACAGGAAATGTCGTGCTTGGAATGAGAAAACAGTTCTTGAAATCAGACTAAGAGTTAAGAGACGGAGTTAAGATCACAGATTCTATTTTTCTGGTGGGATTGTAATGATCTAATCTGATTAAAGAAGGCAGATTTTACTTGTATTTGCAGCTGTTTGTGGGTCTGGGCTTCCCCTACGAAGGCCCAGCTCCCATCGAAGCCCTAGCGATGGGTTGTGCCTTCATCCAGCCTCGATTCCAGCCTCCTCACTCCTCCAAAAACAACAACTTCTACAGAGGGAAGCCCACCACTCGAAAGGTATGGATCCGTGCCTTTGACCAGCCGCGTACGCTCACCACACTTTGACACACACTGAGGCTCGTTCTGTTCTGTGCAGATCTCGTCGCAGCATCCGTACGCCGAGGAGGCCATCGGAAAACCCTACGTGTGGACCGTGGACGTGAACAACCTCACGGAAGTACGGCAAGCAGTGCAGGACATTCTTCACACAAAGGTGGGCGGCAACGCTAAAGTTAGAGATGTTAGACTTGCTTCTTTATTCTGCTAAAGTTAGAGATTTAATTTCACTGTGCCATTAATGAAGGATCTAATCTCAACATGGCTATACTTGCATGTGAAATCCATATCTAATACTACTACAACCAGACGTAAACAAACTGCATTACTGTATACAGTAGAATACAGTGAATACAGATTGTTTGGCAACGCAGAGAAAGTGTTTTCTTTACAATATTGATCCAAACAGAGAGATCTACGAGCAGCAGCAGCACAGCAGCAACAACAAACATATGACACGGAGGTAAACAATCATAAACAGCGCACTACACACTCGAGATTTAAACTACAGACGTGTGTGAACGATCTACGCACAATATGAGAGATTTATGGAGTGAAACATAAAGAACGGGCACAAAAACATTGTGTTTATCAGAGGAGACTTACCGAGTGCGTGTGTAATCCACAATGAATGGAGAAAGCCGGCTCTCTCCGTTTTAGAGCAGCGCGCCTACGTCACTTCCGCTGGCACCGGAAGTGACGCATGAAACTTTTACCCATTCACTACCGTTGAAAATGGTTTAGCTCTGTTTAGGTAAACTATTCTCGGCAGCCGCGCGGGTGAAGCTAAGAAGGGCAGGGCCTGGTTAGTACTATGATGGGAGACAAAAAAATTGAGTTTTGACTTTCTAGGTAAAAGGCAAAATATGAAGATCTTAGAAAATCAAAAAATCCAAGGCACTCGTGGTCAATAGTATTATTTTCTTGTGGCTGTAAATTAAAATACGCACCAACGCGTTTCAGCCTAGCTGAAGAAGGCCTTTTTAAACTTTCTAAACTATTGACCACGAGTGCCTTGGATTTTTTGGTATAATTTTCATAATTTTCATAATTTTCCATAATTTCCCTTTTACCTCAAAAAGTCAAAACTCAATTTTTTGTCACTAAGTTAAACCCTTCATCCAATTGAGCACCTGGTCTTTTAAATATGTTTACACGCTTGTACCACGCAGTACTCCTTACCCTTTGTTTTTTGAGAAATACTGTGATGGGAGACCTCTGGGAACAGCAGGTGCCACAGTGGGGCGGCTGCGACTGTAAAGTGCAAAACTGTGGTTGTGTCCTTAGGCAAGACACTTCACCCACATTAGAATGAGTCTGGTGTGTGTGAATGGTTGGTGGCGGTTGGAGAGGCCAATGGCACAGACCGGTTGCCTTGCTTCAGTGTTTCCCAGGGCAGCTGTGGCTATAGTAGTTTATCACCACAGTGTCCAGAAAAGCGCTGTATAAAACCGATGCATTATTAATATTATTATTATTAATGAGGAGGATGTTGTTGAAGTCAAAACCGTGTTGTGTGTTTGTGCAGGTGCGACCGTCCACTCCTCGAGAGTTCACGTGTGCAGGGATGCTGGAGCGGCTGCAGGCGTACGTCACTCACCAGGTAAACATAAACATAAACATAAAGGAGAAATATGATTTACACATTTTAGGATCTCGTAAACATGTTACAACCAATATCAATCATTATTCTCTTGTAAAGCACATTTAAAACCAGTCTAGGCTTACCACAGTGATGGACAGCGACAATAGAAACAAAACTAAAATGTCTATATACAAAGAAAGAGAGAAAGAAAGAGATCCTATTTTTGTCCCACATTATGGAAATTTCAGTGTTGCATGTTACAGAAAAGTAATGTTTATTTATTCAGCGTTTTTTACAGACCAAGGTCACCCAAAGCGCTTTACAATGCTCAGAGTTTCCATTGAACCTGGTATTGACGACATTGTTCCCTCATGAACGCTTTCCAGCTCCCTCTGGTGGCAGCACAGGGTTAGGGCAGGCTCAGAATCTTTACTGCTTATTTCTTTTAATTTCACATTTTAAAAGTTGATTTGTCATACTCAATGGCCAAAATTACTGCTTAATATCCATTCATTAATTTTCTTCCGCTTTATCCGTTGCCGGGTTTTGGGGGCGGCAGTCACTCCAGAATTATTATGCTAAAGAGATTTTAAACTTGCTTCTTTAACATCCTTAACCCTTGTATTATGTTGAAAAAAAATTACATTGATTATGTTGCGGGTCATTTTGACCCGTACTGTGTAAATGCATTCAAAACAGTAAAGAAAACAGGTTAAACGAATAACAACTTTATTTTAGGTTATATAAATATTTAGAAAAGTGACATACAATACATTTTTTATTCCAACGATATATTTAAGAAATATTTAGTCTAATCTTCTTGTCCTCCTCTCGGGTCAAAATGACAATTCTTCCCTCCCTCTTTCCTCCTGCCATGCTTTCTCCTTCCTTTTTCTCATCCTGTTTTCCTTCCTCCTCTCTGTTCATCCTCCTCTATTCCCTTTTTTTCTTTTCCTTCCTTCCTTCCTTTCTCCCTTCTTTCTTTCCTACCTTCCTTCCTTCCTCCCTTCCTCTTTACTTGGCCAAAGATCCGTCCTCTGAATTCTCCTTATCGTAAGAAAATTGACAATCTGGATCAGCAAGAACATTGTCCTGTATCGGAAAAATCCTCTGTTTCTGAAATCTCTTCCTCTACATCACTATCCCAGTTAAAAATCTATGATAAAGCCTCCTCAGATGTCATCATTCTGGAGCTCATTTTTGGTGAGTTTGTCTAAAGCCTAGCGTTGCCTAACCAGTTGCAAGGCGGCTTTTGGCGACTGAGAGTAGATGATGGAGATGATCAGTTGCCGAAATCGGTCAATGTGAGCGCTCTTACAACTGGAGATAAACAGTCAATCTCCGGATTCAGTCAGGTGCCCGTGTTCTACTTTTCGGCAACTAGTTGTCCGCAAATCCAGAGATATCACCCGATGTGCGCGCTCCGTGGCGCACTCCAACATGTGTGTATTGCGTGTATTGCGCCCTCTACAGTTTATGCAGAAAATACATTGTAGTTGAGGCCAGTTGCTGTCGATGTACGCGCTGTTATTCCAGAGACTGATCTGCTACTAGGAGTTGCCTGTTTTTGCCAGATTGTCGATGTGTACGGGGCAGCAACTCAAAGGCGACGGATATATTCAGTTGCCTGTACGATGCACGCTAGGCAAAAGCGATGACATGAGAACAGTGACAAGGACAAGTGTGAGAAAGTTCCCTCTCGTCACACACCTGCCTCTCAGAGGTAATCAAAATAAAATGTCAAAGAGACATGTTTTTTTGGATCTGAACAACGATATACCCACATTAAAGTGTCAGGGTCAAAATGACCCGCAACATCATCTTTGTATACAAACTCTGCACAGACATTCCACTACACATCAAGGTGTCCAGATTTTACACACCAGTTCATGACCCTAGATGAGGAAAAGTCACCAAATTTCAGCAAGAAAAAGAAAGGATAACTAGTACTTCGATCAACACAAAAACTGAAATGGGTCAAATTGACCCTTAACATAATACAAGGGTTAAATCCATAATCTCTGTGAAATAAGCAGCAACTTAAAACATGAATTTGAAATATATCACAATTAAGAAAACACACATATGACAAATATTAAAACTCAAAATATATCAATCCATCCATTAGTTTCGTAAATATCGTGACATGATGCATTTGTTCTGACTTTTATAGTTGTATATTATCTGTTCAGGATTTCTGCAGCCCCTCGCCTCCTGCGTGGCCTCCTAAACGTGTCCTGAGGCTTCTGCTGAGTCCTTTGGGAGAGTCCTGTGCAAACGTGTGCAGGCGCTCCTCTCTCACATGTGAACCGGCCTTGTTCCATCACTTAAACAGCGCGGCCACGTTCGCAAGGTAAAACACACAACCACAACATGTCACTTATGGTCAGACCTATGTGTGTGTGTGTGTGTGTGTGTGTGTGTGTTTACAGTCTGTGTGTTGTGTTGTGTATGTTTTATAGTCTGGAGCTGAACTGTTCCAGTGTGGAAGCGGCCGTCAGCCACCTGTTCCCGGCCTATAGTCCCTGGGGCCGCCAATGCCGCTTGCAGCTGGAACCTCTTCTGTTCAGTTGTGCTGGATCAGACCCCTCGTTCAGGAGACTGTGTCCGTGCAGAGAGTTCACACCCGGACAAGTGGCTCTGTGCCCTGGATGCACCTAGGTCCTACAGCATTTTTACAACTTTTAACTTCACTACCAAAGCAAAATGGTATACAAACGGATTTGTCAGGGAATTATTCATGATGGCAAAAAATGTCAGGTCACACTTTAGTTTTGACCTCACTGATTAATAGCTAATTAATGTATAATTGAGGGTTAATTAGCTGTTAATTGGTATTTATTTAGCACTTATTAGTCCTTATTCTACATGTAACTGACACTCCCATGTGGGTTAAGGTTACGTACAGATCTTGTTTTGTACGTTTTGTAAATAAAGATAATTGAATTGAATTGAGTCAGGGATACAGTTAGGGTTAAGGTTAGGGTTCACTAATTAACCATATATTAGCTGTTAATTAGTGAAGGCCAAATGTACCTATGTGGATAATGTCTTTGTACATTCAGATATAAACTGTGTCACGGAGAGAAGACAGGGAGTTCTGTGTGGAGTTTGCATGTTCTTCCCATGTCTGTGTGGGGTTTAGGTTCCCACTAAAACAATATAAATGCAGAATGAATAACAAGTGGCTGAGACAATACAGACGTACAACACAGGAGCAGACAAAAACAAAGAACAGACAACAATGTGTGTGTGTAGGTGTGTATGTGTTTGTGTAGGTGTGTTTGTGTATGTATGTGTACAGGTGTGTGTGTGTTTCTGCATGTATGTGTTTGTGTAGGTGTATATGTACAGGTGTATGTAGGTGTGTGTGTGTACAGTATGTGTGTGTTTTTAGGTGTGTGTGTGTACAGTATGTGTGTGTTTTAGGCGCCTATCTGAACAGTTTGTTGCGTCCACCACCCTCTTTCCACATATTTCCCTCCCCTTTGTGTGCGTGTGTGTCTAAAGTGATGCATTGTGGGAGCATGTTTACTTGTGTCCTGTATCCTTAGCCATGTTTGTGTGTATCCTTTTCCTTTTTTCCTCTCTTCTGCTCAGATTATGTGACATATCAAGCAACACATTTAAATGTTAATGAGATAACACATTATACATAAACATTATTAATATACATGCACGGAGCTTTTCAGAATTATCTGTTCACGTTTTCATGACAAAAATAACTAGAAACCGTTGCAATGGCTGAAGCCATTGCGATTGACTGCGGAACAGATCTAATGTGGAATTTAGCTGAAAAATCCTTGAAATCCTTGAAACTGTTAAAATACTTTAAACATCTTTGAAACTCCTGAAGTATTTGAAGCTCCTGATATCCTTTAAACTGTTATCCTTTATACTGGTTTTCATGTAAAAACCCCTATTAAGTTCCATTATACTGGTTTACATGTAAAAACCCCTATTAAGTTGCATTATACTGGTTTACATGTAAAAAACCCTATTAAGTTGCATTATACTGGTTTACATGGAAAAATCCCTATTAAGTTGCATTATACTGGTTTACATGTAAAAAACCCTATTAAGTTGCATTATACTGGTTTACATGGAAAAATCCCTATTAAGTTGCATTATACTGGTTTACATGTAAAAATCCCTATTAAGTTGCATTATACTGGTTTACATGTAAAAACCCCTATTAAGTTCCATTATACTGGTTTACATGTAAAAACCCCTATTAAGTTGCATAATACTGGTTTACATGGAAAAATCCCCATTAAGTTGCATTATACTGGTTTACATGGAAAAATCCCTATTAAGTTGCATTATACTGGTTTACATGGAAAAATCCCTATTAAGTTGCATAATACTGGTTTACATGGAAAAATCCCCATTAAGTTGCATTATACTGGTTTACATGGAAAAATCCCCATTAAGTTGCATTATACTGGTTTACATGGAAAAATCCCTATTAAGTTGCATTGTACTGGTTTACATGGAAAAAACCCTATTAAGTTGCATTATACTGGTTTACATGGAAAAAACCCTATTAAGTTGCATTATACTGGTTTACATGTAAAAACCCCTATTAAGTTGCATTATACTGGTTTACATGGAAAAAACCCCTATTAAGTTGCATTATACTGGTTTACATGGAAAAATCCCTATTAAGTTGCATTATACTGGTTTACATGTAAAAATCCCTATTAAGTTGCATTATACTGGTTTACATGTAAAAACCCCTATTAAGTTCCATTATACTGGTTTACATGTAAAAACCCCTATTAAGTTGCATAATACTGGTTTACATGGAAAAATCCCCATTAAGTTGCATTATACTGGTTTACATGGAAAAATCCCTATTAAGTTGCATTATACTGGTTTACATGGAAAAATCCCTATTAAGTTGCATAATACTGGTTTACATGGAAAAATCCCCATTAAGTTGCATTATACTGGTTTACATGGAAAAATCCCCATTAAGTTGCATTATACTGGTTTACATGGAAAAATCCCTATTAAGTTGCATTGTACTGGTTTACATGGAAAAAACCCTATTAAGTTGCATTATACTGGTTTACATGGAAAAAACCCTATTAAGTTCCATTATACTGGTTTACATGTAAAAACCCCTATTAAGTTGCATTATACTGGTTTACATGGAAAAAACCCCTATTAAGTTGCATTATACTGGTTTACATGGAAAAAACCCCTATTAAGTTGCATTATACTGGTTTACATGGAAAAATCCCTATTAAGTTGCATTATACTGGTTTACATGGAAAAATCCCTATTAGGTTGCATGATTACACTGAAGTCCTTGAAACTGCTGAAGTCCTTGAAACTGCTGAAGTCCTTGAAACTGCTGAAGTCCTTGAAACTGCTGAAGTCCTTGAAACTGTTGAAGTCCTTGAAACTCTTGAAATCTTGAAACTGCTGAAATCCTTGAAACTGTTGAATCCTTGAAACTGTTGAATCATTGAAACTGTAGAAATGTCTGAAAGAGCTGAAGTCCTATTAAAATGCATGGGCCTATTAAAATGCATTGCAGAATTCTCAATGCAGATTTTTGTCCGATTGCGGAAAAACCGGAAATCGCTGAAGTCCCAAAAGTAATAGCAATAATCTCCCAAACATGTGGAACGTTTTGATGTATAACTTGTGGAAATTGTTGAAAATGTGAAAGCTGTGAAACGTGTCAAAAAAAATGACGGAATAAAGAAATACAAAACCAATGGTTGACTGCGGAAGGTTCCGCAGTCAATCAATAAAAAAGCGATCACAGTAAACCCGGAAGTAGCTATTAACATTATTTGAACATTATAAGACACATCTTCAGAGGATCTGATTATGGATATAGGTTCATATATAAATGATTATAGATATAGGTTCTGTATATAAATGATTATGGATATAGGTTCATATATAAATGATTATGGATATAGGTTCATATATAAATGATTATGGATATAGGTTCTGTATATAAATGATTATGGCTATAGGTTCATATATAAATGATTATGGATATAGGTTCATATATAAATGATTATGGATATAGGTTCATATATAAATGATTATGGATATAGGTTCAGTATATAAATGATTATGGATATAGGTTCAGTATATAAATGATTATGGATATAGGTTCAGTATATAAATGATTATGGATATAGGTTCAGTACATAAATGATTATGGATATAGGTTCAGTATATAAATGATTATGGATATAGGTTCAGTATATAAATGATTATGGATATAGGTTCAGTATATAAATGATTATGGATATAGGTTCAGTACATAAATGATTATGGATATAGGTTCATATATAAATGATTATGGATATAGGTTCAGTATATAAATGATTATGGATATAGGTTCAGTATATAAATGATTATGGATATAGGTTCATATATAAATGATTATGGAGATAGGTTCAGTATATAAATGATTATGGATATAGGTTCAGTATATAAATGATTATGGAGATAGGTTCAGTATATAAATGATTATGGATATAGGTTCAGTATATAAATGATTATGGAGATAGGTTCAGTATATAAATGATTATGGATATAGGTTCAGTATATAAATGATTATGGATATAGGTTCAGTACATAAATGATTATGGATATAGGTTCAGTATATAAATGATTATGGATATAGGTTCAGTATATAAATGATTATGGATAAAGGTTCAGTATATAAATGATTATGGATATAGGTTCAGTATATAAATGATTATGGATATAGGTTCAGTACATAAATGATTATGGATATAGGTTCAGTATATAAATGATTATGGATATAGGTTCAGTATATAAATGATTATGGATATAGGTTCAGTATATACATAAGTACCTCAGTGCAGATGTTCAGAATTCTTTGTTCAGTTTTCATGTAGTTCCAGAGCCTAATAGAGGCTTGATTCAGAGGTTCCGTGAAAACAAACAACTGAGCATGAGCAGCTACAAGCATCAGAGCTGATGATTGACAGCCCTTGGCATGACTCGATTGGTTAACCTCAACGGCAAGATTTAAGGCCAGGAGATCATCCATCCATCCATTTTTTACCCTTTAATCCATTTCTGGGTCAGGGGGGTGACAGTCAGAGATGCCACCCAAGTCTCATAGCACCAGCCCCTCACTGACCCTCTGCAGGTGGTGAGTCCACAGGAGGACGGCTGCTCTCTGAGTGTGAGCATAGCCTTGATCTTTCAGTGGGGGCTTTGGGCAAAGCGGGGTTAAGTGTCTTGCCCAAGGACACAACGACAGCAGTCATCAGTGGGAGTCGGTGGAGAAGGTGCAGAGGTGGAAAATGAACCCACGACCTTCTGGCCTTAAGGCCAATGCTCTACCAACTGAGCTACTGTCGCCCCACCGGCCAGGAGATCAATTTAATACAATTCTTAAAATTTGTAATTTATTTAGAGTTCCAGACTATCACTTTAAATGAGTATCGGAAAAGATTAGGCCCAGACAGATTAAGGATGACTTGACATGAAAATCTTGCATCTGGCTACTTTAAACAGTCAAATCTTTACATATTCATTCATTATTGACGTCAGTTTCTGTTTTTTAAAATGTTTTCGAGCACTTTTCCATAAAACCCTGAGAACTTAAATCCATGCAGTGTACATTCCTTCTGTTGAAAAGTCACAGCCCA